GCCAACGGAACCACCTGGGGCGTATCGTGGTTCGGAGCCGATCTCTTTCGTTTCTATCACAACCCTTGCAGCCTAAAACAGGTGGACCACGATGGCTATTATCGATATAGCTCGCAGGCTACCAAGTTAATATCTTCAACTCTTCATTGCTTGTCTCTTTATTGATCCTTTTTGTGGCCCGCACAGCCAATCGAAGATTCATAACCTCAGGTCCATTAGGGTGAAAAAAGCTTGACCGGAAACGGAAGTTTCTAAAAAAGTACTGGCTGATTAGTAACAGTTTCGACTTGGATTGCAAATACAGATACTCGCCCCTCTGCTCCGATCTCCTCGACTGTTCAGCTTCCTCCTACGTCAGACAAATACGCTCCGAGGCGCTGGATGCGGGCGCCGCCGCAGCCGTTGGTCGATGAGATGGGTTGACGGCGCGAGTATCAAAAGTGCGTGCATGCCTGAGTACTGTGTACGCCGGTCTCTTCCAGCGCCAAGCTCCTGATCGTAAGACCCCACCCTTCGCCAGCACCCTGGCTGCACTCGTCTTGGGGATGTGGCACGCATGCCCCCCTTCCCCATGTGCGCGGCCTGCAGTCGGGCCCTACCACCCTGCGCCTGCTTAAACCCTTCTCAACGGCAGGGGTGAAGAACGATCGAAGACGACCATAAGCTTCTCCCATAGCCTCGTCGTGCCCCCACGTAAGAAGAGCAGACATGGCGTAGCAGCCATGCCAGACAATGCACGCGGTGAGCTGCAGGTAACTTCATGGCTACTGCAGCCAGATGGCTTCCACGACCACCACCACTACGTGCATCAATGAGCGAGAGGATGGAAAATTACAAAGGCCATGGTTTACATTTGTTAGTTCTGTAGAACGCCAGGCTTCATTGGTGACTAATTTGCTTTTGCTGTGCTGGCTTTATTGAGTCGTAACCACAGCTAGGAACCAAGAATTGTGCCGAGCAAGAGTTGCCATCCTGCTATGCTATCAGATGCCGCGGTAAAATTCGTCTCGAGCTCGGTATGCACTGTACCTGAGACTCCTCATGCTCGCCACACTATGCTCATTCAGGAAAACATCCCCGTCCTGGGCAAACTCTTTCGCTCACCCTGGCGTCTCCTCGAATCCATTCGGCTCTGTGACAACCACGGCCAAAATCACACCAGACAACTGGCAAGCGGCGATCATCAGGAAATTGAGACACCTTGGGGCCAGTTTTTCCTGGCCCTGTCGTCATCTTCATTTCAAGATGACTCGAATACGAATGGGCAGACTTCGCCAGGCTCGGGGCAGAGCCTTCACGGGAAGAGCACAGCGGTCGACCACTATTGACGCGCCGGGCTCCACATGGCTAGCCACATCCGCGTCAGTTGCGCGTCAAAAAAACAAGGCCAGATACGAATGTGGACTGCCATGTGCCATGCACAGTACGCTTGCCGGTCGCGATTCTATGATACTTTGCACGGACTAAATGCCTATTCGTGCTGAAAATTGCAGGATTTGAACGGCACCGAGAAGCACGGGTGTGGCGCTGTCCACATACTATTGAAGCTAGGGGAAAAAACCTGTCATTTTCGAAATACCCGACATTTCAAATTCGCCGTGGCGGTGTGTCGGCAGTGATTGAATGGCAAAACATTATTGCCTCATATCTGCAACCGAACGCGTTCGCTACCTCAGGCTCCGAAAGCTTCGTCACCACGGCATGAGTGGTGCTCAGAAAAGCTGACCCCTGTTTCAGCACATCGCAAATCTGGCAGAAGGTGGCACGCTCGCAGTCCCCAAATAAATAGACTATATTCTCCTATCGAGCATGAGAGGCCAAGGGCCACCCACTTTCCAGCCCTACCAAAAGATGAACCCTTGGATGCTGCGGAGCAAGCTTCAGGGGAATGAAGGGTGAAGGCAGGGGGAAATGACAGGACATCCTCAGGGGTTCTCCAGAAGATCTCGACGAGACAGGTCCACTGGGGCATGACTTGTTGCCCGACCAGGGGAAATTTGCCCTGGGAGCGAGGTGGAGTCGGACGCACTGGAAGGGGGGGAGCCCAGGCGCCCCCGATATCCAAACCATGTCCAACCTTATTGTTATAGGGATAGGCCTGTGCATGCGCCTGTTGCATCGGCCACCCCCGGCTTCTCCGCGCGACCTTCCCTCCCCCCCTGCTACCCTCCCTGCCCCCCGGCAGTACGTAGGATCTAGACGCAGCGCCCAGGGGGGGACTGTGGTCCCCCGGGGCACCCTGGTACGCATGCGCGGTTCGACGACGACAACTGAACGACATGTCGTGCTTAACCACAAGCCATCGTCTTGAGGATGCATAGTTGAGCCAAAATGGAGGCAGACTTAGGAATAGAAGGAAGAGACTGCTGGTCGGGAGCTGGCTAGGCACCGTGTGTTACTGCCTGCGCCAAGGCTGCCATCACAACACATAATTTCCACCGTCAGGCACTTCCAATGTAGAGAAAGCAAATTGCTGTCGACGACGGCCGTCGCTGGCACGTGAGACGTTCGTCTACGTCCGACATAGTAGTTTCGCAGTCACACATAACCATGAAAGCTGCTTGAGGAGCCAAGGCGGAGACGGAAGAAGTAGCTGTCAGTTGTACCACCTGTCATGCGGCGTCCGCGTCGATGTCATTCGTCTCCGCTTCACGAGAGATGCCAAACGAGCAGGGCAGCAGCAAATCTCTGCGATCAAAGGGTGCCATTGGTGCGAGGGCGTACAAGACAGCACAGGGAATTCGCACGCCTGAAGATGCTGTGTCTTTCTTGGATGTTTTAGAGGAGAACGTGAAAAACAGCCAACATTAGCTCCGCCCCGTCCCATTTGTCGGCGAACGAAGGAACAGCATGAACCGGCGGAACCACGCAGATTGGGGTTATTTCCCACACATCACATCACATCATACCACGAGCCCGGGACGCTACATCAACCCAGACAGCAGCTTTCTTTGAGGGCTCGCTCAGATTTGCCGCGGGAACATCGGACCGCCTCTCGATATGAATCCCTTCCCCGCGGGCCACACCACCTCAGCTGATCACGTCGGGATGCCACCGAGGACGCGAGTGCTACTCCGGCGGCATCAGCCTGCATGCAGCTTCCCGCGGAGCCCATGGGCCTTTTGCTCCCAAGCGCCGACGACACAGCACAGCGCCGGAGATGACTGATATCGTCACCTCGCCTCGCCTGGCATGAGTTTCCAAGGCGATTGAGTCGTGCTCAAGGGGAGCGCGCTGAGGTGCCCTCCCCCTCCCCCTCCCTCGGGTCTGCGGGCAGTCCGCCTTTTCCAGAATCCGTGATTCTGGATATATCTGTGTTGCACTGGGCCGCGCACCGTCCACTTCCACTCGACTGGGCCAATTGATCCGCGGATGAGTACCATTCCATTCCCATCGTATTCCCGACACTCTGGATCAGGCAGCAGGATCTCCCATGCGCGCTGGCGGGTTCCGGTTCTACGAAAGCTGTCTCAGTGCGCTCCGTCGGAGGGAAAGGAGAGGTGAATAAAAATATTACTGGGAGGCCCGGCAGGGTGACCTGTCGCATACATGGTCCGAGACACCAAGACAACTGTTTCCCGTTCCTGGAGGGCCGGTGAGTTCACCGCCCCCCCAGAAACATCGCCCATGTGACGGCGACGAATGCAAGTACACGAGCTATCAACGGCGCTGGGAGCGCCTTGGCTTGCGATACTTCGTACACATGGCAGACCGCCGCAGCTGCCTGCTCCGCAAGCCACGCCGAGCTGCACTCCGTGTGGCTCACGCACTTGGGGAAGCTCAAGAGGCCCACGTTGTAACAGCTCATGAACGCGGCAGACGTGTCAGGGTGTTTCAACACTGCTTGACATCCTGCCCACCAGCCCGGCGCTGGGGGGGTAGGGGGGCTGGCGGGATGCGACCGCTGTTCCTTGCAGGTTCCTGCGAAGGCGATCAAAAGTGCCATGCTACGGGATCGAAACTCTCCTTGGTCACGCTTGAAGCGCGAACACGTGATAAGTTGCCGTGCTCGCCGCGATCGTAGAGAAGGTCGTACATCTACTGGGAATTTGTGGTTAGGGATCTCTGCTACGCGTCTGCCCATCTGGATACGCAGATGAAAGGACCGGATAGATCTGCAAATCGCGCTGGCACATACCACGGTGAGACATCCGCAATCAACAGCCATCGACCGTTCCACGAGAGGAGGGCCACCTCCAGCCGGGCCTGTCTCGCCCCAAGGCGGGAGTGGCTGACACCAGTCATGGGTGAAGCTTCCGTGCTGCCGTGAGGGCAGCTCGGTGAGGGAGTGGCATACGACAGGTCGGGACAGGCATGCTGTATGTCTTGGGTGTATCGCCTCAAGCCTGTCACTGTACCTAGGTAGTTTTTAGCAGGCCAGGCTCCCCTGCTCTGTCAATATTGAGTATCAAGGCTCTCAGGTCCTGTATATATGAAATTTACTCAAGCCTTTTTGTACTCTCAGCTGTCATGGCGTTTCTCGCCCACTCGACAAGCTAATTCACCGGGTACCCAGGTAAGGAACACGTCTGTTGGGTATACATCTGGTAAATAAGTACCTGTCTATACCCATCGGTTTCCTCGAGCCTATCGCTCAACAAGGAAAATGGAGGTTTAGATGAAGGTCAAAATGTCCATCTCCTGCAAACGAACGGTGAGCCAGGACTATCCAAGTGAAGCAGGCACCCGCGTGTTCTAACAACACACTGTGAGACGTGGTTTTTCCTGGACAGGCAGCATATCACGGTTGTTACGGGCCAGCAACTATTTCATTTCCAATTGAGCAGCCTCGGCCGAGACCCTTTATTCCCAAAACATGTATATACTTGTTATCTCGTGGTATCTATATCTCCATGCCAGATTTTGCCTTGTTTTTTCCCCCTCAATATCAGAACATAAGTCGCTCGTAAAAGAATTGTGACTACACAAAAGACGACGCAAATGTCATGAAGGCCTCTCGTCACTCATAAACAGACCGGAAATCCATGTGATCAAAATGTTCAGTCGGCCCTCACGCTGACTGGAACTTTCTCCCGTTCCCGTTCCCGCTCCCGGTGACGGTGCGACCGGTGTGGGAGGCCACCGCGGTCATTGTCATCGGCGTAGTACTCGAGTCTACGTGGCTCGTCGTCCTCTTCGTTTCGGTGCCGTTTTGACCGAGCGTCACGCTCGCGCTCCCGTTCTTTTTCACGTTCGCGTTCGCGTCTCTCCTCGCGTCGTTTCTTCTCATCCTCCTCCTCATCACGCGGATCTCGTCGGTGCGATCTATGCGGTCTCCGTCTATCTTCATCATCATCGTCGTCTCGGTCGTCATCTTTGTCTCGCTCTTGATCCTTTTCAAATTCTTGTCGTCGCATTTCTGTGTGGGTTGTCAGCCTTTTCCATTTTCTGAAAAGTCCCAACTGCAACTGCAGAGTGGGATAACGAAGCCGAGATGTAAAGATCAAAGGAAACGTGATGTTCAGAAGAACAAAGGAGACGACGAGCACAGGCACAAGGCACGGGCACGAGTCACTGGGCACGCAGGGTTGGGAACGGCGGACGGCGGACAGTCGGACGGGTGGACAGGTGGACAGGACGGGCGGGATCGGCGAGGTCACGGTGTGGGCGGCACGGCGACGGACGAGGAAGCGGAACGATTCAAAACAGAAAAATGGAAAGGAAGCAACCCACCTCTCAACTGTGCAGTGGCGGCCGTGTAGGCCTCGATCTCTTCCTTGTTCAAGACACGGAGGACGATGACAAAGTCATCGCGAACCTCAAATCGTTCTTTGCCGATGGTCAGAGCTTCTGGATTCACCAACTTGCGGCTGATCTTGGTCCAGCGCGCCCCGGGCGGCACGTTAGTCTTCGTCTTGTCGTCCTTGTGAGGCGCAACACCTTCTCGGACGGGGTTCAGGTCCTCCGGAAACTGGACTTTGGGCTGCTTGAGGATTCCCTTGATGGGCTTCTTGTCGTCCTTGTCTCTGGGCGGTGAAACAACCCGGACTTGTCTCTCGTCGCCGCCGACTGCTGTGTCACGACCTCTGGCGTCGTCGTTGGAGTCTGCTCCTCTTTTGGTTGGCGACGGCTGAGATTGCCGGTCAGGAGACGGCTCCTTGCTGGGGATTTTCTCGTTTTCCTTGTCGGACTCCTCCTTGGCCTTGAGCTGCTCTTTCAGCGCCATCAGGCCGGCCGTGTCGTTGGGCCTGAAGGCGGAGGACGGCCGCCGTCTTCGGCGGGGCTTGCTCTCGTCAGAAGAGCTTCCGTCGCGGGCACCGCTCATGGTTGGCTCCCCTGAAAGCCGAGCCTCAGCCTCGCGCCTGTTACGATCCTTGTCTTCAGCCTCGTCGACTTCTCGCTCCCTTCTCCGCTTTTCGTCGGTATCGTCGCGCGGCACAGGTCGCTCATCAGGTTCCTTCCTCGAAGGCTTCTGCCGCTCCTCAACTTCATCCTTCCAAATTTCGTCATCAGCACGTCTCTTGGGTGATCTTTCCTTTTCCTCCTCGTCTTTGCTCTTGTGGCTCATGGCGCCGAGACCAAGCGCGCCAGCTGCTATGCTGAGGCCGGTCGCGACTTTGTCGCGGATCTTGTCCTTGTCCTTCTCCTTCTCCTTGTCTCTGTCCCTGTTACGGTCATCGTCGCCGCGACTGTGATCATCCTTGCCACTCTTTCTTTCGGCACGAGGATCATCCTCCTTGCGATCTTGCTCCCGAACATACTTCCGGTTTTCACGACGAGTAAGGTCGTCGTCTGATCGGCGCTTGGGCTCACGTTCCCGGTCATCCAAGCGGGCATCACGGCGCTGCTCCGTGCGACGGTCACGAGGCGGTGCGAATTCCTCGCGTTCTCTGTCTCTTACGCGTTCATCTTTCTTGTCGCCTTCGACTCGGACGCCGAATCCACGATTGCCGACGCCATCATCGCGAGGGTATTCTCTATCACGGTGGTCCCGGGAGGCGTAATTATCGTCGCGTGCCCGATAAATGTCATCAGGCTGTGAAGTCCGTGTAGGTCCGTCTTGGTACAGGGATACAGGCCGGTGACCGGTGCGAGATGGGCGTCGTTCGATTCGATCGGCTCGTTCGATTGGGCTAGGTGGTACATCCAGCTGGCTTGACCGACGGTCAGGTACAGGGACAGGAATCACCGGGGGTGCAGGCATTCTCATGGAGGGCCGGTCGTAGATTCCTGCCGTAGTGTCCTCAGCTATCCTCCTGTTGTAACTGTCTAGAGCCCGCGACGGCGGCGGAGCTCTGACCCGCCCTTCGTACGGTCGGCTGGCATCGGTGCCGACGTTGACGGATGGGCGGTAATACGTATTTCGATCGATGCTGTCTCGGCGACGTCGCGTGTGCGCCTTGTCGTTGTCCAGGTCATAACGAGCCAAATCGCTCGGATTAGTATACTCGTAACCAGTATCGCCGAGGTCAACTGTCTTAGTGCTGAGTCGGGGCGGGTCTGCGTAAATAGACGATGGCCTTTCACGGCGATGCCCGTTCCGGGAGGGAGCGAGCCTGTCGTCGTTTGTCCGCTGCCTCAAGCGCAGAAACTCTTCGTTGTCCAAGGTCGAGCTGATTGATCCGGAGGCATGATAAGGCCGCGTATGGCTCCTCGAGCGCATGGATGAAGCGGGCTGGGTGTAATATTGGTCCTCGTCACTGGAACGGTAGGCATCCCGGCCCCTGTCTGGCGCAGGGCTCGCAGGATGATGGCTGGCTGTGCTGTGAGAGGCTGACGAAGGCTCCTTGCTCTGCCGCGTGGTAACAATGATGGGCGGTCTCTTGGTAGTGGTGTCGAACGTGGAGCTCCGGGTGCGACTGTTTTCCCTGATGCTTGAGCTTCTCGTCACAGGATCCTTTCTGACGGTGTACGTGGTGGTAGTCACAGGGATGTTGGGGCCTCGCCAGTCGTTGGAGTTATGGCGATGGTGATGGTGGTGAGACTGCTGGGGAGTCACGGATTCATATCTGGAAGCGGGCATGACGTGTATGTCGCCGCCGTAGAAGGAACTGTACCCACTACTCATCACGGGCATGGAGGCCCGCGCGGGGTTGAAAGTAGGGGATCTCCTGCCGGAGTTGTAGCGGTAGCGGTCGCCCATGGTCGGCCACGAGGGTTGAGAAAAGGCAGTGGAAGCCGTACTCGATCTCGATCTCTGGTTGATTTGACCGAGGAGGTCGCAACCGCACAGATGTTGTGACGATCAATCACAACTATATGTACGCAGTCCTTCTCCCAACCGCGGGAGGGTGGTTGGAAGGGCAGCCAGGAGTCTCAGGTTCGATGTTCGTGGTGAGAGCTGCGCAAGACGGGAGAGAGCGGGGAGGAATGGGGGCGACTAGAAGATGGCGGAACCAGCTTGGTGTCAGCTTCGCGGCAACACATTCCTGTCAGACGGTTAGCTTCAGAAAACACCAGACCCTGGGCTGCTGCATACATCTGTGGGTGGTGCAGGTATGACGGTGAAAAGTTACGAGGCTCCTCTCTAAGCTCCCGAGACCGAAGATTGACAAGCGTACATCAAAGGGACTGGTTGCAAATCCAAGTGTCGCCGGGTCCGTGGACGATGGCGCGGGGGGAAAGCGTAGGAGCGGTTGACCGTTGGGGAAGGCAGCCTTATGCGACGTTATGGTCCGGCGAGGTCTGTGAGCGGGAGAGGGAGAGAGAGCCGAGAGCCTGGTTGCTTAGCGGCCCCTACCAGAGGAGGGGGTGAGCAGTGTGGCGTTGGCTCGTTCGGCCTGGAGACTGGAGAGGCACCCGACCACTGGGAAGCTGGCTCCTGGGTAATTAACCAACGTTGGGGCTAGAGCGAATAGCGAGTAGTAAGCGGTGTGCGGTTCGGAATTCGAGGAGCCCTTGTGACTCGTAGCGGGTGGGTGGCCGGTCGGCGTTACGTGGTCGAGGGGTCCAAAATGCTAGGGGACTCGTCGACGGAGGTTGAGTGAGGAGAGGAGGATGAAGGGGGAAAGTTTCCTCGGGACGGCAGGCCGCAGATAACAATCAAGTTTGGATGGCAGACTGCAGGATGCAGGATGCAAAGTGCAAAATGCAGAGTGCAGCGCGCAGCTAGCTCCTGGGTTCGGGTCTCGCAAGGCAAGAAGAAGAAAAAAAAGGAAAGAGATGGGTTGTCCAGGGGACCTTGGAGTAGGGCCAGCAACCGATGGTAGGTGTTAGGTAGTATTTGTGGTTGTGGTGGAGGAGTTTGTGGTTGAGGAGGTAGAGGAGGGAGGAAAAGAATATTCCAAGGTTGGAAATGCAGGCTTGTTTTTCCTGGCCTCGCTTCTGCAGAGCTGCAGTGCAGTTCACTCCAAGGGCGTGTGGGCAAGGTCAAGGTCAAGAAGATCAAGGTCAAGGTTTCCCTTTCTCATTGCCCATTGCCCTGTTGAATTGGGCATCGCAGAGAAGTGGGGAGGAATAGGATGTACTGCACTGCAGGCTGCATAGTGGGTATGTGTGGGTGCCCACTGGGTATGGATATGGGTATGGGTATGGGTTGGCACGCACGTACGCACGCACTGCACGCATTGATCAGTCAGAGGGCAGTGACACAGAGGGGCAGAGGGGCAGAGGTCAAGAGACATCACATCGGGGAGGGGAGTGGGCCAGGCGATCCATGACAGCTCTGGGTGGTACCTAGCCTGTGTCGACTCAAGGTTGCTACTATGACGCCTAAAGCAAGGGGAAGGAAGAGACTGCTGTCTCCTCCTTCCACCACTTCCACCACTCATCTCACTCCATTCCACAACCATACCTTCCTACTGCCCAGGCCAGCACAGCCAGCCAGCCAGCCAGCTGCCAGGCCCAGCTTCGCACCTTCCACCTCTTGCACTTTCCACCTTGCACAACCCACCCCTGCCCGTTTTGCCAGGGCAGGGCCCACCCAGGTTTCGTTCGTCAGTGGCCGTTGGCCCAGTGGCCCAGTGGCCAGTGCTGAGCGGCTGCCCCCCGTACCCCGACTGACATCACCAGCAGGAATGACGTTGACGCTCACTGCTTGTACTGTGTGCTGTGCTGTGCTGGTTTTGGCTTGGATCTGGTCATGGACCCTATTTGCCAATGAGATCAGACTTAAAAAACCACAACATCCACAACATCCATACACGTATAGAGGCGTTCGAGATGGCCTGCATCCCGCCAGCCCGCCTCCTCCGCCCACCCCCCCTCTCGTCAGCACGTCCTACCGAGCTGGCCGAGTCCCCCTCCCCCCAAGGACCTCTCAACCCCTGTCCTCCGTTTCGAGGGTCCCGTTTTCCGTGTCCACTGTCCACATCTGCTGTCGTGCCTGTTGTGCATACAGTACACTAGTCTCCGCTTGCTCAGATGAACTGACCGAGACGAACACGTCCTTCGACATCTCCAGTGATCGATCAAGTTGTCCCACAAATGATGTGTGATGCCTAGAACATCACTTCTCCTGCTTACGTCAATGGCACTGCTACACGCCACATGGTCGGTCTACTGGATCGAGGCAGATGGACAGGCAGACCAGAGGCCAGGCTGCCAGGCTGGACGGACTTTCTCCTGCCTCATGCGATGACATGAGACGTGGTCGGCCACTTGGAGGAAAGTCCCGAGCCGAGCACCTGTTTGTTGTCAGCCCTCAACGCCCCTCAGCGCCATCATCTCGTGTTGCGCCGCAGCATCATATATGCTGTGGTGATGTGATGCTGTCGGTTGCCGTGGGAATTCTCCGACAGTTCCCACTTGGGCAACCCACAAAAGCTGCCACCTCGAGTTGGGCACTTCGTCGACCGCCCAGGAGTCAGGCACTTCAGGTTCGGGCATCCAGGCACATGGGTCTCGTATACTTTCCAGATTGGGCTGCCACCATCTACCGTAAGGTCAGTCTTGGAACCCGAGGAAGCTGTTCTTGCGCCTATGCCTCGCACGCTACTGTCAGGTCACTGGCAGGCGTGCCCAGGGGCACCGGACCCTTGTTTTTTTTTTTATGCTTTTTAAACTTTCTAGGTTGTCCTTCTCTCCTTTTCCCAGAACAGACCGGACCAGACCATGCTTCTGACCATCTTCTTCAGATGTTCCGACCGCCGCTCGTCCCTGGCTCGACCCACGACCAGCCAAGGGTCTTCTGGGGAACTTGCTAGCCGCTCCAGGCGCTATGCTGCCATCATGTCGCCACTGGTAATCCATAAGACACCCAGGTACCTTGAACTCTTAGACATCACAATAAAGCTCCACCATCACGACGCCAGACGAGGGCCGAGTAAAGTTGGCGCTTCTGCTGGCACTGCTGTGGAACATCTTTCTTCAAGGATCCTCTTGCGCTGCAGGCCGGTACTCACCGAAACTGACAGCAACGCTGTAGCTGTCCGTAGACAAGATGTATCTGTCAAGATTGATTCTGTCCTCCTCACGCGCCCAAGCGTCTTTCTGTATCAGCTGGGGCCGTGTAGCTTGTGCGAGGCGCTCGCAAGCCGAGACGGATCCGCACCTTGGGACGAAAGCGCAGGGGAGGGCATGCGAAACACGCCTACAGATCAGATGCTGTCAACCTCTGCTTAGTGCTGCAGACTTGGCTGCAATTTTTCGAAGAACCAGGGTGATTGGCCGCAGGGCTTACCTACCGTCGCTCTGCATCGCCAAGCTGTGGGCCAGGGTATGCCCATCTTCCGGTAGAGTTCTGCAGCCCTGTCCAGCTCCAACAACTTGGGCCCATCCTCGGCGGGCGGAACCTCTTTCGGGAAACATCCAGGGCCCGGCCACATCCAACCGACCAGGCGGCAAACCTTCATCTGCCTTCTCTGGGTCTGCCCTGGGGCTCAGACCTTCTTGGCCACATGGCACTCGTCTACCCACGGAGAGGAGGGATCGTCCCGGCTAAGAGCCAGCTACAGCACCGTCATACTACGTTATTGTTGTTGGTCAGTGCCATCCTCGGTTTACCACTGGCTCACACCACTCACTGTCTGCCGCCAAAGTGCCTGTACCCCGATCCCAATCATGGTCCATAGCGAAAACCGATCATTGACCAGTGCCCACTCGTCTGCACAACACCCAGACTGACGACTTGCTTGTTGGGCCAACTTGAGGATCTGCAGTGGCGCCCAAAACGGGTCGTCAGTGGAAGAACCTATCACATGCGATGATAGTACAGGTCGCAGTACGTACAGCGGCCCCTTGAAGCTTCGCATGCGGCTCCGGATGTTCGATGGCCATCCTGTCGATGCCCAGCCATTAGAATCCCAGAGTCCTCCATCGACTAAATGCCTTCTTAGACTTTGAGCACAAGTTTGTAGGTAGAGCTATCGACTCGTCGAACGTGTCAGAGTCGCAATAGGCTCTGTAGTACCGCACATGTGCTTGAGCAGTTGGGGGCGAAGCAAAGAGCGGTCTGCAGTATTATTCAATGCTCACTCACCACCCTTCATGCTCCTCTCCTCCTCACCACCACCACCACCACCACAGTGTACTTCCACACCAGAAGCGGCCGCCACCGGATGGGGTAGGCGCCACTCGGCAGGACTGCAGTCGTGGCTCGAGGCACTCTCTCATTCATCGGGGCTGTGGCAACGGCTGCTCCCTCCGGTTCCCACCCAGCTGCGAGATAATACTACCGTGAGGCAGAAGCCACTGCTTGCCATCGAGGACCCCAGTTCAAGATCGCGATCTATGCATGACGAGTCATTGTGATATATTCCCTGGGCCCTTCTGTAGACCATAAGTCCAACGTACTTTGCACCTCAAGCCTCTTCTAGGTTCGACATACCGCCGGTGGTCGCCGGTCAGGGTACGACTACGTGGACGCTTCGCGCGCTTCGCCCTGCTTTACGCCTATGCCACAAAACGGAATTTCATACCAAAACGACAGTAATAATGCTGGACCCTGACGCATGCTCCTGCTGTGCCTCCTCTGCAGACGCGGACGCGATGATACCAGGACATAGCCCCTCGGATTTGCGGAATTTCAAAAATGGCGGAGTCAAGAAGCCAATGTCTCTGGTCAGCCTCTAACAAGATATGATCATTTCGCCGTGTATCACAAGCCTTCATTCCACGCAAATGCATAATCCTTCTACTGGCTGTGGCCAAGGAATCCGGGGTCTGCTGCTGTGCGCGCATTCCTTGCTGCATCACTAAGCCAGAGCTCCCATCGGGTCCCACAGGGGCAGCACAATCGGCTCCTTGTTGAGGACGTTTCGAACCTCCTTGCTCAGGAACTTGGGGTCCACTACGGCCTGATAGACAAACTCATCCATCCCTTGTACCAACTCGTCAGTTACCATGCTTGGTATCATATTGAGAGACACAACATGGGAGAACGGGGGATATAGACTCACATCGGTCGCTCATGACGAACCATCCCTCCTCACCACTCGCAGTTCCCCAGCTATTCTGCACCCTCCACCTCACCGTCTTGCCCGTACGCTCATCCACGTGGACAGCGGTCAAGACCATCGCATGCGTCATGGCGCTCTCACCTGTCTTCAGCCTGGAGGCCTTGTCCATTCCTAGCAGGCTTACGTTGAAGCCGAGTTCGTAGTCTATCAGTTCCACGTCCATTACTCCGCTCACACGATCGCTGAACTTCCCGACATCGCTTCCAAAGAATACGGGCAGCCCGGCCTTGAGCATGGAAACGCACGCATTCTTGAGAGTCTGCATCTCGACGTTGATGTATGTTATGCCCCGGCCGCCGACTATGTTTCCCAGCCTGTCGACAGTGAGCAGGCTCAGGGGAGGGTTACGCGGGTCGTGAACCAGACTCACGAGCCCGGCGACGACGGACGAGGTCACGCGGTACTCAGAGGACCAGATATCGGTTGCAAAGTCGATTGGGGTGGTCGTCACCTCCTTGGCCTTGCCGCTCTTATCGACAAACTGCCACGTGAACTCCTCGGTGGTCGAGGGGGGCGGCCCGAGTGTGAGCGTTAGAATAGTGTGGATCTCCTTTACCATCTTGGCCTTCGCGGCCGCGACGCTGGAGGTGGAGGAGGAGGGGGACTTGAGCAGGTTGCGCAGGATGAGGGCGTCCTCGCGGAGCTTGGTGAAGATGATCGAGTTGATAATGCTGCTCGACATGGCGTTGAACGAGTCAGGATAGAGCACCTGGGGCACGAGGCCGTACTTGGCCACGAGGTTGTACACCATGTCCCACTGGCCACCGTCAGACAGCGGGGCTTGGACCAGGGTCTGGACGAGCCTCGAGTCCAGCTCCTCGTCCGCGGTGTCGATGATCTGCTCCAGGAAGTAGTTCGCCTTCTCGAGCTTGTCCCAGAAGAAGAGCCACGACTGCGAGAGCTCGAACGACTCCAGGTTGTACCTCTGCATGAGAGCGACCCGGAAGACATTAGTCGCGGCGAAGAGCCAGCATCGGCCTGATGAGCGCTGATTCGTGATGGGCGCGCCCTCGAATGGGATCTTGATGTTGTAGACTTGTTGGTCGGAGATCTTGGCCGCGCGCGAGGTTAGGACATCGCGCGGGTTAGCGGTGGAAAGGGCGGAGAGGGCAAGCCTGTGGCGCGCAGATGGTGTTAGCTTGTTCTCCTTCTCCAGACCGATATGGAAGCATGTAAGTCTTGTACCTGTTCTTAGGGTCCTCCAGCAACTTAGATTGCCAGTTCTCGAGCTGGGAAATGTCGAGGGTGGTAGGAGAACGCCTCAGGGCACCGAGGGTCTTCTCGTTGAGTGAACCGGACGGCTCGAACTCGTCGACCTCGACATAGCCATCGTCGTTGGCGGCCTGCTTCTTCTCGAGATCGAGGGTCCGAAGGCGGTCGATGATGGCCCTCTCAGCCGCGGTTGGCTTGGACTGATAAGAGCCCATTGTTGTGTGTCAGAGGGGGGGGGACGAAGAAGCGTCGGTGTTGGTCACGATACAGCTGCAACAGCTTTGGGCAAGGAACACAGTTCTGCCACCTACAGTCGGGAAGACGACGATGTTGAAAGAGGGGACGGTATGGTTCACGGGTCGAAGAAGGCGGGCGGCGAGTCAAGATCAAAGGCCAGCTGAGCTGTATGTGTCGCGGAATGGGGATGGGTGAATGACCCGATGAGAGAAGCTCTGAGACGCACACGGGCAGGTGGGGCTTATCAGATGGTCACAGCTAGATGCCTCAACCGGCTAGATCACAAGCCCCTATGGCCAATCGTCTTACACGTTTGACCCCCACCCCCGATTACGCGAGAACCTCTTTGGCTATGGCGCAATCTTGCCGACTCCTGCGCTGCAACTCCTCCTCACCTTGACGGCCTGATATCCGTTTGCAGGGAAGGAGCATAGCATTCGTGACTTATGATTAGGGTGCCTAGAGGTCCCTAGAATAAATTGTAGTCTACCAGCAGCAACTGATGCAGAAAATGTGTACTGTACGCGGTGCAACATATCTCAAAGCTTACAAGGTTCTATTGGTACGCCTCGAACTTGTCCATAATGGGTGCAATGGCCTATGGCCTTCAGGTTGTTTTGCTTGTGATATCGTCCTATTCTGATTGAATATTTCTTGGTGGATCATCTGTTCGAGCCCTCGCCAGGTCAGTGGCGCGAGAAACCCGCGGTGTTGAGAACGTATCAAGGCAGCTTTCCAAAAGGTGCTGAATGTGCCCGGCTTGCGCATGCGGCTCGTCACCGAGGGACATTCCACAACAACTTATTACTGTAGGGCTCAGAGATCTAAAGGTATCAAATTTAAAAATCTATCATGGTCAAAAGAAATGCAAAGCCTAAAACACCCGAGCTATGCAGAATATGCAAACATGAACGTACAAAGTCCAGAAATACCGAGAATGGAAGCCCGCACGCCTCCCCTCAAGCCCACGCCTGTCTATTCCTAATGTCCCGAGCTCTATCTCTCTTCAAGGTTTGGCCACTTGCTCCTTCCGGAAGAACTTGAAGTATCCAAACGGAATGATCAATTGCATAATCAACGCAACCCAAAACCACGCTTTGCCAATCCCTGGCATAATGCCCGCAGAAAAATCAGGGAAAACATCTCCTGGACCAAGCTTGTCCGGCGCCGTGGCCCTCGCCACTATGGTAGCGATACTACCAAGAATCTGAGCACCGATAAGCGTAGCAGCCACGTGCTGCCTGGTCAAAGTCAACAACAGTACCATCCCCACACCAACGCCCTGTATGGTATCCAGGACACCGAGCCAGAGCCATAAGATCCTTGAGACAATCGCAGAGGCCACCGCACTGCCGAGCCAGGGGAGGTAAAGCCCCACTCCTGAGGTGCCCCAGAGCATCTGAGCCCATCGCGGCGCCCCAAGACCAACCGAGAACATGGGCACGATCCAAGGGTGGCTCAAGCTGAACTTGGAGAATATCCAGAGCAGCAGCGCCCACACGATGACAAAGAAGCCGACGGCGAGGAGCACGGCGGACCAGCCTGGTATGTACTTCGAGGAGAAGAGGAATTGCCAGTTCCGGCCGTACGGCGCACTGAGCCAGTAGTTCTGGATCACCACCGCGAGGAAGAACCACGGGACGACGTGCCGGCGCATCAGGGACTTGTAGAAGCTGGGGATGTAGTCCGGAGACTGGCGGTAGTAATCTGGGAGCCCCACGAAGAGGACGATCCCGATAAGCCACATGATAATAGCAATCGGCACGGTTATGACGAGGACCACAGGGACAGAGCTGCCGGCGACGTTGCCGTTGATGGTCCCCGAGCCGTCCTGGATGCTGAGGACCGAGCCCCAGTACCACAGCGCGACGACGTACAGCTGCTGGATGCCCTGGATGATACATGCGCGGAAGATCCACGTGCTGATTGGGGAGCCGCCCTCGTCGCCAAAGTTCACTGCGAAAAAGATGCTGCCGGTCGACGCGCCAGCTGCGTAGAGGCACGTGGCGAGCGACTGCACCACTCCGCGGCCACTGTCAGCTGAGATGAACGGTGAGATGCCGATGAGGAGGAAGGCGAGGCCGTAGAAGAACCAGGGCAGGGACAGAGTGTATAGGGATTGGAACCGCCGGTAGATGAGCCACCAAAGGATAGAGGTTATGCCGTAGGTTCCTGCCACAGCGTACAGTTTCGTCTCTGTCTGTCCCACCTCTCCTGTCAAAAGGACGATCTGATAGCTGTTTGCTGAAAGGATCTGGCCCAGTGCCAGGAAGAATGAGTAGATCGGCCAGTCACCGAAACGGATCTGAAGGAGCCTGTGAAGGTTCATTAGTAACCTTGTCTCATGTGTGAGGGATTGTATTGGGCACCTACTTTTTGAGGCCCTTGGGTGGTTTGTAGCCCCTACCCAAGAGGAACTCGTCGTCTCGATCAGGGTCCGAATTTCTCATATAATCCTCATCACCTACATCATCTTCGTCACTGGGTGCGATGCTATTGTAGCTCACTGCCCTAGGGGATCGATTCGAAGACAAGACACTAGGCGATGGGCGGCTGGCACTCGGGCTTCGAGACCGGCCCAGCTTCGCTTCCTTGAACCTCTTGAACCATTCCCTCTCTGACTTGGTGAGGTACTCCTCAATACAAAGCTCGTTCTCACTGTTTTTAACCGTGAGACCTCCAAGCTTCTGCTCGAAGTCGCGGTAGTACTCTCCAGTGCTGTCATTGAAGAAGGGGTCAACCTTCTGCAGCTTGTAGTCAGTCCTGTCACCCACAACATCGATGACTGACAGACGTGAGCTGTTGCGGTGATGTGTCAAGCCACCAGTGACAGCCAGATTGCTCGAGTTTGCCCTCGGTTGCGATTGCGTGGTGCTATCGGGCGCCATGATGCGAAATGCGAAGGTGTCAACGCTTTCACGCGCTGGAGCATGATCATGATAGGGGCCCTCCCCAACGAGGTCGCGGTACGCGTTCTGGCGAGCATTATTGTCTCCAGCTGTGTTCACCGCGGTGGTCATAGTAGCTAGGCTATCAGAAGATGAGCGGTTCTCAGAGTCTTCAGCAGCGTAGAAGGGGTTGGGCGGGAGAAGACGGCCGGTGGCATCTGGTTCGGGCTCGTTGATCAGTGGTGGTGGAGTAGGCCGCGAGGTTGAGCGTGACCGGATTCCGCGACCTGGAATTGGTGGTGATGATGCTGGTGATTCCCCTCGAGTGGCGAAGTGGGGAAGGGAAAAGCTTGAGGCTCGTGATCCACGGGGACTGACAGCTCGGGACACGAAAGCCGACGGCGGAGGCGTTGGTTCAGTGTCATCGAAAAGCCTCTCGTTAGCCGCTGCCAGGTCGATATTCGAGGGAACAGTCAACAATGGACCGCTGGTAATCCGCTTGCTCTTTCGAGCCTCCTTGTTGTGGAGGCGAATTGCCTCGGACTGTAGCTTCTCAAGGTCTTGAAGCCATTGTGCGACGGGAAAGCGTTGCTTGGCTGACCAGGCCCTCATCTGGACGCGAGCCTTCGTCTTAGATTCCAAGGCCGACACGATGGCTCCGCGGAACTGGTGAAGCAGATGGCGTGGAGTGGTTGATTCGATCGTATACCAGAACCCAGGCATCTGTCCGAGACCACCCACACGAGCGCCAACACCGAGAGCTCCCTTACGGCCAAACTCAACGGCCACAAGCCCGAATGGTTCGTCTCGTGAAGGTATGAGAGCAAACTCAGCCCCGCTAAATATGTACGGAGGCAAAGCTGTAAACTCTGGCTTGCTATAAACTCTTTTTGGGTACTTCTCCATAAGCTTGGCCAGCTTAAGGGCGGCGAATTTCCCATAGAGATCGATGACAGGTCCAACGCAAATCAACTGAGTCTTGGGGTGCTTTTCCAAGATCGACGGGAAGATGTCAGCAATAAGGTCTACACCTTTCTGGAGACTCCATCGCCCGACGAAGACGAACAGTTCGGCCGTAGGGTCGACCTCTAGGCCAGCCCATTCTTGGGCTTGCTGGCGAAGCTCACCGCGCTTAGACTCAAATTCTTGGTCGATAGTGGGCTCTGAGATATTGTACTGCGAGTCGCTATTCCATTCAGCCGTACTAATATGTGTTAATCACCTGCTACGGATCCCAAAGTGATACATTCTAGAACATTCTAAAGCACAAAGATCAAGGAACTGTAGCAGGAGAAGAATAGTACTTACTCTGTTGGATCGGGATTAGGCAATTGGCCGATCTTGGACAGGCCCCAGAAGATAGGATATCGTGCATATGACCGATCGCCATACTTCTTCGAAACACCGACAGCACCGAACCCTTTCTGATGCACACGGAGATAAGAGGCTCCCGCGTGAAGGAGGTTGAAGACAGATCCGAACTGCACGTATTCCTTGACAATCTCCGGATCGAGATTGTACACTGAGCACACTTCCTTACTCTCTTCTGGCGTGCGCATGGGCCAAAGTCCTTGAAATTCGGCGTTGTGAAGAGAGAGACAGACGGGAATAGTCCGTTCGGGAAGGAGGTATAAGGGTGCTGCAGCTCCATGATAATCGTTGATATGGTAAAGATCAACAGGGAAGCGTCTCATTGTTTCCGCAATGCAGTAGTTCCAGGCGCTGTAATAAATAGCGGATTCCATATCATCCATTCTCGGCGGGTAAGGGTCTGCTTTCGATTGCTTCCGGAAGATGGGCGCATCCAGCAGCACATAAGTGATATTGTTCACACGGTGATACTGGACTTCCACCTCATACTCCTTACCCATGATCACAGGGAAGAAACTAGCCGCCCGCTGATCTATTGGGTATTCTATCCCCGAGACGCAAGGGACTACCCAGATCAAGTCCTGATGCTCGAGCGCCTTGCCCATGAGCTGAGCCATCACGCCGAGGCCACCGATCTTGATCTTGATGTTCCAATCGTCGACTAATATGTGTTAATTACCTGCTACGGATCCCAAAGTGATACATTCTAGAACATTCCAAAGCACAAAGATCAGGGAACTGTAGCAGGAGAAGAATAGTACTTACTATTATATTCCATGGTCGCAATGACAACTGTGCGTCGCTTAATAGCTACAGCACCAGCCCCAACATCGCTCATCTCCATGCTGTCACGAGGCTTTCGGAAGTCCTCGAAGGAAAGGCTTGATAGTCGGTTTGCGGCCCTCCCAAAGGGCGATCTGCCGCGGCGCTTGAAGCCGATCTTGTTCACCTTCACCTTGTAGAACGAGCCCATGAACGTCCAAATGGCAAAGAGACCCCCCGCAATTGGGAGCACAGCAAGAAGAATGAATAAAATGATTTGGAGCCACCAGTTACCTTGGGGCTCCACCACAAACTTGAGGGTGTTGTCGTCAAAACGCAGCTTGTAGCTGAGTGCCGAGCCTGGTGGAGTTGAAGAGATGTTGAAGAAGTTGGGCGTCAGAGCGGTCGGCGCAAGCCGATCCGCAACACCGTCGTTGTCCACATCACCGAGGATGTAGGTCTGGTCTGGCTGGCCATCAGGGTTCATACCCCAGACATTGAGCTGAATTTGCGACGGCCACTCGTCCATCAAGTGCATTTCCCAATCGCCGTCGCCATTGACGGACATCTTGTTGTGGATACCCGCATCGAAGCCAAATTGATTGAAACCTCCCATGACGAAGAGATGAGGAAATCGACTGGCGGATGTGGTAGTGTCCCTACGGACCAGCCGGCTGCCGGAGTCTGGTGCCACGTCGCCTTGTTGAATGATGCTGCTCGATCCCAGAGGAGAGGAGTGATATTGGACCATCACATGATCTTTGGACCATGCCTGTGCGGAAGTTCCCTTCCAAGGAAGCTTCTCAACCTTTTGCTTGCCGCCTGTGTATGGCTGCCAATTACTCCAGGACGAGCCCCAATTTGTCGAGTATCGCCATGAAGAGGCGCCTGCGGCATTGTGGTTCACGAAGAAGTCGCTTCCAGACTTCGTGAAGAGCGAGGTCGAATAGTTCGCAGTCATAGGCCACACAACAGGGTTATCGACTGAGCCGACTCGTAGCAAGAACTTGTCAGTGGAGTTTGTGCTGTCTTCCCCATCTTTTGTGGCAGCGTCCTTGACAATGATCGAATGAACACCGTCTTGAGCATTCTGTAGCGTCGCAGACCAGCTCCATTTCGAGCCAATTGCACCGATGTAAGGTGGTTTTTGATCGTCAGAAAGAGTGGTGCATTTGACGGTGGTATTGTCGATCTCAGCGTTGCCAGCATTCCCCTCTACAAGCGAGGAAATGGTGACTGACTCCGTCACGCCATCACAATCCATCTCTTGCGAGAAGGAGAAGCTGACATTGAATTGCCCCTTGGCATCTGCTGAATCGACTGAAATATCATGGCCGGGTGTGAACTTGGTGATCATCGGAGGCGCCTCTTTCCAGTCAGCCTTTTTCACGTAAGCTCGGTATTCGAAAGGGGCCATTGTGATCTCGTCCAGACAACCGCTGGCCTTCTCTGAGCCGTCAAAGCCAAAATATTTCGGCGAGCCCTTGAGCTCTATCTCATCGTATGGATAGAACAGATTCTTGAGCTCAGCGTTGGCGTCAAAGGGAGCAAAGAACCCCGTCTCGTTCTTGCTGCAGTCAAAACTGTATTTTGTCTCTGAATCGCGGTTGTGGTAGACGAACCAGACTGGGTCTGAGGCAAACTGCCCTTGGACAGTCGGGAAGAATGCTCGGGCAACGCTCCAGATGCCGCGTTCAGTAGGTGTCGTGCTCCCATTCAGAAGAGTCAAGTCAGTCTGGTTTGCAAGCTGTTGTACTAGCCAACCTTCCGAGAGCGTTTCATAATTCTCTCGCATGGCGTACATGGCTTTCAGGACACTTCGTGTTGGATGGCTAGGATCGCGGTGGTCGCGCGGAACCTCGTCGTCCTCACAGCCTCGTCGTCCCTGATCTATCGGCCAATCGATGTACTGTGAGCTGCCTAGACTGTAGCAGCCATGCATCTTCCACGCAGGCGCAGGGCTCATCGGTTGACGTCCAAAGATGTAGTTGTCTGCTGTACTGTCCATGACGTAGAGGTTCTGCTCCTGGCCATAATAGACCAAGGGGATACCGGGCAAAAAGAGCGTCGTGATGAAGAACCCCAACAGTTCCCTCTCGACTCCCTGGGTGATTGCTGGCCATCGGAAGTTGTCTTGCTGTAGGAATGTGTCAGTATACGATTTGAAAATTGAGTCGTTTTAATTGAAACGCAGTCGAATAGATGAGGGAAATAGTGTGTAATCGGAAGATAATCCGAAGGGAGTGATACTCACATTGGTGACACCATACATATGCCTGGGGTCGAAATCGCCAGTATTTGCGTTGACCAGATCGTTTGTAAGAATCATCTGGTTCGTAGCGTTCACCCAGTCCAGCGGAAGATCATAACCAGCCTCCAGATTACCACTCATTCCGAGGAATCTCGTGAGGAAATGATACACTGAATAGTGGAAAGCGGCTGAGTCGAGAGCCCCTTGACCCTTTTCGCGGAGGAAGAACTTGTCCTCGCTCTGTTTTCCTGTCAGGTTCATCGCCGTCGGGAGATCTTCAGGTTGTTGATCTGGCTGCCTGCCCCGGCCGTAGTAGATGGAGCTCAGACTGTTGCCGGGCGTGAGCTCGCCCGGAAGAAAGAAGTTTTTCTTGCCAACTTTGGCTGCACAGTCACGCATTGCGGCGGAGAAGCTGCCCTGAGCGTCTACTGTCACTTGGGCAGCTTTGTCGAACCGAAAACCGTCAATATCGAGCATGGTGATGACCATGCAAGAAAATGTCTCGAGCCGTTGGCGGACAGAAGGTACCCAGTCTCTGAGACGGTCTTGCACGGAGGCGAATTTTGTAATCTGCCGTTGGTAGTCTGGATGGAAACCAAAGGCCTCTGTATCGCCATACTGGTCAAAGTCAGAATTATAACAGCCCTTGAATTGTGCGCGCTGTGCGTCATCAATAGGGAAACCTGTTTCGTTCCAGAATCGAGGGTAGTCGCAAGTATCGTTGTAGTTGTTGCCGAAATCGAAGTCGTGGTACTGTCTGTCGGTCTTGTATGAAACCTTGTATTCATCTGTTTTGAACGGGGCCGAATCATTCAAGTGACCTTCAAAGCCAATAAGGTCGCCCAAACTGTGTTACAGAATGGTTAGTTTATGCCATCGTTGTTGGACAATGTTCACTGACGTAGCCATAGTGTTGTCCATTACCACATACATCCCTCTCGAATGTATGTCATCTATCGCCTGTTGCCATATTTTAATGTTGCCCAAGTGAGCATCGAGGAGGGTCAGGTCGATTGGCTGGAGAGCAATTAGAAGTTGCGAGCTTTCACTGGTGAAGGAACTTAAAGACGAACCGAATATCCATCCGCTCCCCATGGCTGATTGATGAAAGGTGATCCGGCAATGTAGACTCCCTAAAAATATGTCAATATTAGAATGAGTTCCGGCGCTGTTTGGATGGACGCACCTTGATTCCCATCCCCTGGATGTAGTCCAGAGAATCGATCAGGCCTTGGATGTCGCCTCCATGCCTAAGCTGTGTGCTCCATACGTCTTGCTCGAAAAGAGTGTCATTGGCGTTGTCGTTGGATGGGTCACCATTTACCCACTTGTCGAGCATTACAGTATAGAAAGGAAACCTCCAATTGTCCGGAGACGGGTGATAAGTATGTCCATCGCGATCACCAGAATAATCCAAGGGACTGACTGCTTGTTGGTTGGTGTTTAGGTTGTATTCGGCGTATGCTGGATCGTAACGAAGAGCTTGGGCTACTGAGGCCGCAAGCAGGAAGTAGGAGACAGGCATGACAATAACGACAGCGCCCACGTGGGCAGACCGAAGAAGGGGTCTCACGAGGGAAGGGGGTATCGGCAGACAATGAAAGGAAGACAAAAACAGGGTACACTAGAATTTAGAGGAAAGAGATCGCGGCTCCTCCAAGTTCATGAGGGCTAAGGATATATATCCTGTGATGAAGGGTACATTGACCAACAGGGGTGGGCCACCCTGGATGAGGCAGCGGTCTGAAATATGATGCTGGACAGCCGCATGGGAGGCTGAACCGTGGGCCCAAGGGCCTAGCGCCCCGGCAATGGCTGTGAAATTCCAAAAAGGAATATGCGAACTCAGCAGCAGACGCAGCAGGCACCCAGGTTGCGGGCAACAACTGAGCTTAGCGGCTGATGGGGGATGACTCTAGCTCTGCCGTCATCCGCATCAAGAGTGACTCTCTGGGTATGGGGAAGAGGGTGTTTGTTTGGAGGAGAAAGACACTCGTCGGCTCCCTGCCTAACCGGTCTGGGCACACAACTGATGTGGTTCGAGTTGACTGAAGGGCCCAGTCTCGTCTTTGGTCATGGGCGGCAACATTCTCAACCTGGCCTATCCCATTTTGCAGCATTTCTCAAATGTTGGAGCTCCTGTTGGTGTGATGGACTGGGGTAGGCGAGCTAAGATCCCGGCAGGTTGTGTAAGTGGAGGCAGCAATAGCCTCCAGATACAGAAAGAAAACATTCCAGTTACCAACGATTCAAGTTCGAAGTCTCGCGGGCGGTTGCCTGCCGTTGACCACTGCAGTCGTGGCCACCTCTGATGCTAGGAGGAGGCGATGTCCGGCAAGCATCATAGCCGGGTGTACTTGCAGGTCAGACGAACCATCCCAAGTTGCAGACCGAAGCTATAGTTACAGTATTAAGCGGGCGGGCGAGCTCCGCCGGCGCGGGTACAGACTGCAAGGAAGCTGGCCGCAGGGACCTGGCATGTAGTTCAACATGTAGACCGTAGGGCTGTGTTTTGACGTTTGCAAGGCTGTATGCGACTAGCACCCCCATCAAAAGTGTACCACCTGGCCGGGTCTGTCAGCCCATACCAACCATTTATTCTGCACCAACCCTGTCGGCCTGCAGTGAGCAGTTGACTGGGGTACAATTGGTCCATGGAGCGAGGTGTAAGTCCACGATGACAGCCAAGTCACGTCGGTTATTCCTAAATCAACAAGGGAAGAATATGTGAGTCTCTATACTCAAAGAAAATTCTGCTACAGCCGCTTCTTTCCTGCGCGACCTTCAGCGAGAGCGTACTGACACAGCGAGTATCCTATGGGGCGCTTTACCTAGAAACGAAGTGTGTTGCGTGTTAGACACGCGTATCGGCACAAAGAAAGCAGTGGCGTGTCTCGGAGTCTTGGTGCTCAGACTTCCGTGCCCTCTGGGTAACCTCCAGGGCGGTGCAGAGTGACAAGGGTGTCGGTCATGGTCCCCAACATGTAGTGTTTTTACACCTGGTTCCAGCATCGGCTGGGTGATGAGTAAAAGAGCCCGATGGCTCGAACAAGGCGCCAGTCAGATGTTTGAGAGGAAGCAGGGGGGTTGTCCGCAGCCTCAGCAATAGCTATTGGATGCGGCATTGCACGATGTCGGTGTTGGCGTCGCCAAGTGCAGCCGGATGGCATGGCTGATGTGCCGCTGGCGGGGAAGTGTTTACAGGATAACTTCCGAGTACATGGCCGAGTGACTCAACTGACGAAGGAGGTTTATTTGCAGCAAAAGCTAGGCAGCGTGGCTATCAGGGACAGGCCATGTTGCATGTCAGCTCCGGGAACCAATGCGGCCGCCATCGCGCAGCAACAGCATCAGCGCAATCATCAGCGCAAGCATCACGCAGGGATTCAGAACCTCCCACTGGTCGGCCGCTATTTGGATGGCATAGGTCATGCCGAATCGTCATATTTCATGACAAGTTGCGGTGGGTGTATATTGGATGGCGAGTTTCAAGGGCTCGGCGCAGTCAAGGGCAAAAGAGTTGGTGAGCAAAAGCGGACGAAGCTGAAGATGATGGGATGTCGTTGGTGTTAACGCCAAGGATCCACTGTACAGGGGTATACTTTTTGCTCAGGTACTCCTCCAGGGAAAATGTGTATATGGTTACTTTCTTATCTGCGTACACACATGGAGGAGTGTCTATGGGACAAGTCATGCTTTCAACGACGAGCCTCCCCTTCTCCCTCCAAATTCAACCCCGGCATAAGCGATAATTGGAAAGCACTTCAGACCTGAGTCCCTGCCACCTGAGCTCTAGTGGAAGCCAGCTGCGATGAAAATAGAGCAGCCAACGGGGCCTGAGCTTGACGTGAATGGTACGCTAAATCGCAGTAGGCCTGTGTTGCTGCATGCGCGGTCTGCTTTCTGTGTGAGCAATGTCTTCGTCGTCTCTTATCGTCCGCGTCTTCTCACGCGTCACTGTACACTAAGCAGCACGTCAGACCGTCCTATGCCACAGACAACCGACGGACAGAATCGCAGACGTTGTATTAAGCTCCCGCGTCATCTGCTGCTCCGTGGCAAAGCAGTTGCAGTTGTAGTTGCAGTTGCAGTCGCAGACCATGGTTTCAGTCAGAGACATAAGATGGTGGGTGACATCGGCCTGCTCACCATGCGGGCGCAACATGCGACTCGCCTCTGATTCCACCTCATCGGAGCCACAACGCCAAACCGCCAAACCGCGTCCCTAGGTGGTCGCACCGCAGCCACCTCTCAGAATCTTCTTGCTCCAACCCGCCTGCACCCACTGATGGGCAGCCCAGACCACCCTCCCGACCACGCCAAATCAAAGCGACGTCTGAGCAAGCTTTGTAAACAGCGCGGGACCGCAGATTGCCGCCCTAAGAAATGACGCATAACTACTGCGTGGGCTGTGGCTTGACTATTCCATCTCACATCAGCAGGCCACGCCGGGGTCGAAAGAACAAGATTTCGACGCCAATGAGGGGAGAGCCCTGCGCGGCGCCCAAGCCCGCTCTTCTGCAAGACGAAACCTATAAGATGACCATTTGAGAGAGCAAGTGCTTACACAGCATCGTCTGCAGCGCAGGCAATGAGGCCTCAGACGCCGGGTTGGCCGTCTGATACCTACCTCGAAGTTCCGTCCTTGAGTCGGGCAAGGGGGTTTGTTCCCCTTGTCGATATATCTTAATCTCATGAAAGAAGTCATTACTTCTTGAAGCTTGGAAGTTAACTTGATCCAAAGCTGTGTCGAGCAAGAAGCCCCGTTAGATATCAAAAAGATCCTGCCCCTTGTATCATTGGCAGTCAATCCGGGTAGCCTCATCAGTGAGCAGATTCTATCTTGTGGTATGTAGAAAATCTCTTCGAAGACAAATCAACCTGTAAAAAGCGTAGATTTGGTATCTTGGCTTCGCGGCAATCGGAGCTGAACGCTTAGCGGACAGCACAATGACCAGTTTGATCAGCGTTGGCCGGGAATGTAGTGGTCAGAGGGGACATGTCGACCGCGAAGTGGCTGTGCTCTTCCGCGCGCTTGTTTCGGCCGAGATGGTCTGCTATTTACGGAATGCCGATCAGATTCCTGTTCTTGTCACTGTACCTTTTCGCAGTATGGCTCGAAGGAAAGTTGAAAGCTTCGCGCAGGTATGAGAGGGCCCACTGTATAGAGACGAACGGACACAACCGACTTATTCGCAGGCGTGAATTTTGTAAAATCTTACAAATCACCCCTAACACCAGGTAATCATCTAGGTATATTATGCGAAGCTATTACATGTGATTGTTTCTCAGCAAAGGTCGCTGGCCAAGTTGTGCAGTGACGTGCGAGATCCCTGGGGACTTGACCAGGTGGCCAGGCAGCATCCACCCTCCACCACAGAAGTGCCCCTAAGCCTTAAGGAGGCCGAAGATCATCCCCGGTGGTAATCATCTTTCGACTCGTCGAAATAATGCGACATCTCCGTCCCAGAATTATAATAACCACACTTGACGTAGAATGGTTCGTTCTGAGGACCGCAGTTGAGGATGTTCTTGTAGCAGCCGACATTCTTGCCGATCGAGTCCAGGGCTTGGATCATTTTCAGTCCCAGGCCTTTGCCTTGAAGCTCTTTGGAGATTGCAATCTCTTCCACATGCCCGACGAGTCCTCGATTATGGATGCTGAACATAATCGTATGAGCTCTCCAGGCCCGAGGTACCAAGGTATGGGGAACAAGGGAAAGAAAGGAAGGGGATATCACACATACAATTTACGCTCCACGACCAACGAGCCTGTACCAACAATGCGTCCTTCGTACTCGAGGGCCAACAGGTAGTAAGTCCCAGCCGCCCGGAACATTTCATCGAATCGGCTATTCCATTCTTCCTCGGTGAGATCACCAACCCAAGTCAGCACCCTCAGGCAGTCTAGGTAGCCTTTCTTGAAGTCACCGCGGTCGAGGGGGCGGATGTCGAAGCCGGCCGGCAAAGATGATGTTACTTCGGTGGAGAGGAGGGATGAGGAAAACAAGGCTTCGTGTCCAGCCATTGCCGCAACAGATGGAAGTCCCAGGAGTCTCAAAAAAAAAATCTGGCTTTATTGAGGAAATTAACCTTTGGGTGACCGGATCATCTGTTAGAGGAAGAGGTTTCTTGCTGTGTTGCCGGTCCCAGCCGATAAGCGCTCCTAGGCTGGTAGGTATGTGACGAAGAGGGTTAGGTCTTTCATGAGAGGAGCGGGGGTTTATGGGGGGATCGACCCCCGATGTCATCCATTCCGGACCTCGTCTTCTTGCTGTTACGTTACAGTCGCAAAGCCTGGTGGGCTCGTCCTACAAGTACATCTAAGAAACATTCTTTTTGATGCTTCTTCCTGTTTCCTGTGCCTCAAACTTCTGAACATGGGTGAAGCTGCCTTTAATCTTGGCCGACTGCGCCAGCAGCTGGATCAATACTCGGTACCATCTGTCTTCCCGGACGCACCAGAATTCGAGAAATTGGCCCAGTCTTACAATCGAGTATTTACATACAATCCAGCTGTTATATGCTTACCAGAGAAGGACGATGATGTCGTCAATGCTATAAAGGCGGCCCAAGCCCATGGGGTCAAGGTTCAAGCTAAGGGAGGTGGCCATTCTTACGCAGGTAGGAAATTCACCTAGGATGTTCACTCTTTTGTCCTTTTGTTGTGATAATTTCCTGTTGTCCTTTGGGCTCATCATCAATTTGGGCTCACAAATGCAACCTTTCTTTCCCTCTGAGCGAGAAGGAGAAAACCGAATCAAGCTTATTTCCTCCTAGCTTACAGCTCCGGTGGCCAAGATGGTAGCCTCATCCTGCACATGAAGAGTTTCTCTACCGTCAAGCTTGACATCGAAACTAATACTGCTGTGGTTGGGGCCGGCGTTCGCTTGGGGCAACTGGCGACAGAATTGTTCCAACAGGGAAAGCGGGCAGTCCCTCATGGAACAATCAAGAATGTCGGAGTGGCTGGTCATTTTTCCCACGGGGGCTACGGTTATCAGTCTCGAGCATGGGGTCTGGCTCTGGATTCTATTTGTGGGCTGGATCTGGTTCTTGCCGATGGGAGACTGTTGCATGTTACGGCCACCGACCATCCAGAGCTCTTCTACGCCTTCCGCGGGGCTGCCGACTCCTTCGGGGTCATCCTGCGGTTTCATCTCCGGACGGTACCGGCTCCAAATGAAGTTGTTCTTTTCTCATACGACGTCGAAGGTATAGTCGAAGATGTTGAGGAGGCGACTGCTGCTTTCCTCAATGTCCAGCAGGTTGTACAGGATGCCAGTATCATCGACCGCGACATTTCCTTCGGCTTCTACATTCATGACGGAACATGGACCATCTGGGGTGTATTCCTAAGAGACAAAGAGCATTTCGAAGGAAAGGTAAGTGATTTCCACTCTAGTGGCCCAAATTTTCATTAATTCCTGATTTTCAATGGCTCGCTTCCTGGAATTAGCTGATTTGATCCCGAATAGATTGCACCCGCCCTGCTTCGTGGTTTCAAGAGGCCTGTAAAGAAATTCGTGCAGAGTATGCCATGGCTAGAGTCTCTCTCTTGGTTCTCTGGTAGTCATTCCAATAATGCTACAGACGAGGCATTTGACGCCTTCTACGCCCAGAGTGTACTCATCCCAGAGCACACACCACTCACCGAGAAGGTTGTTCGAGACTACTTTGAGGCCATGCGGACCGCCGAGGTCGAATCATCTCAGGTTAGAATTTCCATCTCTGCACAGACACGCTGTTGAACATTGAACTGAGTGTGTTCTTCAAAGTCGTGGTATGCCGTCATCAACGTTCATGGGGGCCCTGATTCGCAGATAACATCTGTTCCAGCAGAAGAATCAGCATACACCCATCGAGAGATGCTGTGGGTAATTCAACATTACGGATACTCGAGCAATCATCTACCACCTTTGCTCGACTCCACCAAGGCTGTCATTACTCGTCTTACAAGGACTGTCAGAGCCGGCGTGCCCGCATCATCATTGGGAGCTGAGCCCAACTACCATGATCCAGACATGGCTCGCGACATGGCTCACAGTCTGCACTACGGAGAAGCTGCGATGAAGCGGCTTGAGGCTCTAAAGAGCGAGATAGACCCGACCGAGGTTTTTTGGAATCCCCAATCAATTCGGCCGAGGGTGAACTAACACGAACAAACCAAAAGTCTTTTAGCCTAGTTGCATGCTGATACTACTGCCAAACTTGTCAATCAACGACCAGGAGGACAAAGCACGAGTCTGGCCTCGTTTCTGATACCGAATCCTTTACGGAGCTGGGCAGCCATGTTTTTCCGACCTTGCCTACACGGAGTCCTCGAATTCAACGGAGGATGCGGGACCAGTATTGCATCACCATATCACAGGTTTGTCGTTTCTAGTGGCCAGTATCATCGCGACAGGCCATTCTACGGTGACCTGCCGACCTGCAGAGAGCACCGCAGCCTCCAACTCTTTCCACTCGTTCGTGTCCCATGTCTGCTGCCCGAACCCCATTTGGCAACTTGCCAGGAAGCCTCTCAGCCAGTCTGCGTCCGCCTTTCGCCGCCAGGATTGATCATTGACATATTCTCTCGAATCCGGGGGACCAATTCGGTTCGGTGCCGGCTTCCAGCACGAGTGATCTTCGTCCACAAAGTATAGCGGCCGCTCGTCAGCCTCGTCAACATTTACCCATATTCGCCGTGCGCCCGGTTTGAAAAGCTCCACTGGAAGCGGGACGAAGTCTAGTCCTGACATGGCGGCTGCCAACCCCTTCACCGCAGCGGGGAACAGACCTTCCTTGATCAGACGCAGGGATTCTTTACTTGCGACGCGGTACCACATTTTCTCGAGCGCCGGGTGATCGGGGAATTTCAGCATGAAGCCATATGTCACCGCCGCTAGGGTACCGCCGGGTCTCAGTGTCGCTGCGATGGACTTGATTGCATTCGGCGCGTCGAAGTAGTGAAAAGCCACTGTTTTTCTTTTTGTGAGCCAAGTAGGCGGTCTCGTTGTGTTTACTTTATTTTGAGAAGCTCTTTGGCTCCTGAGACAATGTCCACGAATGAAATAGGGTATCAAGGACACGAAAAGAACATACTAGCCACGGACGCGAAGTCGATTGAGGATGGAGGTATCGATTTGTGGACAGACTCGGCAGGGCTGTGTATGAACGTGCATTTCGACCCAATTTCAGCTGGTGGTGCGGAAAAGGACAGCATATGTTTCGCGGCCACGAGGTTTGCCTCACCGGCATCACTGACAATCACCCGGTCGAAGCGATGGACAAGGCGTCGGGCTACTGGGCCTGGGCCTTAAGGGGGCAAGACATGAAACTGTCAGTACACAGGAGAAGCCAGAGTTAGACTGTGCGGATACTGGCTTACCTGCACCAATATCATGAGCTGATTTGAAAGTTCCATTCCCCAGGTCTTGATGATACGATAGCCTTTTGTTTTTTAAGCAATGTTTTTCCCACACGAATATGATGTGTATGAAAGTATGTTCGAAGAACAATTCCGGGCGTGATGCAAGATTTGTTTTTACCTGCCGTGTAACTCACACGCTTCCAAGGACATATACTGCGCAGGAGCAAAAAGCTGTACGAGCCTAGAAGGGATTGAAAGAGCACTGTAACGGGGACTTTTGGAGTTTATTTTGTGGGGAGGTAGGGAAATAAGTGACGAGGAAGTCTTACCACATGTTGAACATGCTGTTTGGATAAAGCGGCCGAAAACGATGATACGCCTCCCAGTCCAACTCCTTGAAGGCGAAAGGGTATTTTACCTCTCTCTTGCCGGTTGGATCCGCGCAGGACTCATGTGCCTCTTCAAGGGCGTCTGGTTGATACGATGCGGTTTTACCCATTTTGAATATTCAGTGTGAGTGAAGACTGCGCAAGACTGTCAACAAAGCGTCGAGGGATATCGAGAGCACGCTTGGGACTCTGGAGCAGCGGTAAATCGGCCCCGGATCTAATAAAGGAGCCCACGCGTTTATCATACCACGAGAACTTGTCAAAAAATAGGTTGGTCTCTCGCAGCTTTTATGCAAAATGGACACAGAGCAGATCGATAATTCACTATCGAGGGAGCAGCCAAGTCCTGGGCAAAACCCCGGGAGTCGCCACCAAGAATGATTTGTGAATCACGAATATTCGCTGCCTAAACGGGCAGCATCACCATTCACTCATCTGGGCGGACCGACCTTCAACATGTCCCTCTACGAGAGCCAACCGTTGGGATCGCCACAAAGTGTAGTTCCCATCCAGCATCCATTGGAGGTCTCCGCAAATACGAACATGGATTTTGCATCAGTATACATGGAAAGTTCCGTCCGCAAAAGAATCTTCAGAAGCATCTGTTCTGAGCGAGTTAGTCTCACTGGCCAGACACGCCGCATGGCCACGGAGCTTGTGCAGGTGGATCACTTCCGCGGCTTCTTCCATCCTCAACGCCCCTGCACGAAACCGATAGGTTATGTGACAGCCTACAAGGTGTTTCCAATTAGCTGAGAAGCAGAGGGTCCCTTCGCGGCAGTGCAAAGCAATCTATTGGTAAGTCTAATGAGAAAGGAAAGGATGGGCCCAGCTAATGCTGCCTTATATCCAGCCCTGCCAGCTCGGTGATGAATGGGGATCCGGTGAAGAGATTGTATTTCACTAGGAATATACTTCTCCATAAGCAGGCGTGTCTTTGCCCAAGGTCCTACTTTTGGCTATGGTCCGACTTTCCGTCAGGACAACAACAGCGGAAAGAGCCCGCTAACGCGCAACGGCCTGTGTTGGTATACCGTACGGTGGCCACGAGCCAAGCCCTATCATTTATACGTCAACCCGCATGATCGCAATCTGAGGCCGCAGTTTTGGCCCTCCCGGGCCGGGGCGTTGATGGTATTGACGGAAATGACAGCATCGACGGGCACATCTACTTGACCCCATAGACATCGCCTCCATGTCGAGGCAACCTCTCGCCGCCTTTTGCCCAAGCTGCGGTCTGCCGGCATGTTCCGCCGGTGACGTTTGTCAGAGCCTTGTGATGATGTGGCGAACCTTGCCGTAGCGTGGTCACGCTGCATAAACATTTCCCGGAGCTCGATTCCACTTCCTCATGCATTTGCTTCAGATTCCCATGCGTGCTATGGTCGAGAAAAAGCGGTTGCGTGACACGAGACATGCCTTTGTGCACCCACACGACGAGCCGCGGAAGCCACTTCCTTGTTCCTCTTGGCCATGCTCAAGAGTCTTGACCTCTGCGCGGCGAGTTGCCAGACAATAATTATCCTATTCGTGGGTAGGGTCCCGGTTTCCTGACGACCGCCAATAGACCACTCAAAATTGTCCATATGCCCGTATGCCTGATCAGCAGAAGACTAACCCAGGCTCACTCAAGAGACTCTTGCCTATTGTACTCGACAAAGGCTATCCTTTGGACACCGCCAGAGAGGTCCATAGTAAATGCACATAATCACCATGTACGAGGCTCGAGAATCCCGTGACATCTCAACTGATGCTATCGAATATCAGCAAGCGCGTGTGAATTTGTTTCTATTTGGCGAAGGTGATATGGGTTGATATGCGATGGGGTATCCTAAGCCCTGCGAAAACTTTCCGCTCGTACAACATAAATAGACCACATCCATAACTCGTTTCCATTCCCAGATGCGGAAGAATGCTACCGATGGCCATGCGAAACGCCAGATTCGTAGATCTCGTAAGATTGCTTTATACCGTCTCAATGTAGCGCTTCATTTCCCTGCAGGCGAGTTAGCGATCTGCGCCCAAGGTCAAGCATCCGTTGGGAGGAGGAAATATGGATCAGTGACGATCGGTACTTACCAGTCCGTGACGGCCTCGTCCCACAGCCGGATTTCGTGGTCCCGGGTGCCACCAAAATGCTCAACGAACTCATCTCCAAGGACTTCTCTGGCGATGCTTTCTTTTCGAGTGAAGCGCTCGACAGCGTCTTTGAGGCTCTTTGCCAACCTCTGGCCCTGATCGGCCTCACCGCCAATGTCTTCGCCCTTGCCCAGAGGTGGGCACGGGATCTCCAGCTTCTTCTCAATCCCCCTAATACCACAGGCAAGGATGGCAGCGTAAACGAAGTACGGATTGGCATCGGCCCCGGGAACGCGCACTTCGAAGCGAGTGGCGCCAGGTTTTGAAGTTGGCGGTGCGATAAGACGGATGGACGCAGCCCTGTGCTCCAAACCCCACGAGACGGTTACAGGTGCCCAGAAGTTCTCAACCAGGCGCTTGTAGCTGTTGATAGTTGGAGCAAACATGGGCATGATATCTGGCAAGCCCTCAAGGAGGCCAGCCAAGAAATATCGTCCAGTGTCGGAGAGCTGGGCGATATCAGGCCAGGGGGAGGAGGGATCAGGAGTCTCGCGGACTAGAAGATTCTTGCCCTCCTTATCAACCAGAGATACATGCATGTGACCAGAGTTACCAGGGAGGCCTTGCTTTGGCTTTGCCATGAAGCATGGCGTGACGTTGTACTTGGTTGCGACCGACTTAACGACGTACTTGAACAGGCTTGCGCGATCAGCCATGCCCGAGATGTCGCCAAACTCGAGGGCGGCCTCGTAGACGCCAGGACCACTCTCAGTGTGCCATCCCTCGATGTTGCATCGGAAAGCCTCGCATGTATTGAAAACGTCATAGTAGTATTCTTTGTTGTGGACTGGCCTTGTGATGCTGTAGCCAAACATTCCCTCGGTCAAGGAAGGTAGGGTGTGTGTCGGGTTGTCTTTGAGGTAGCCGGCCGCCGACTGGCTGTCGTCCGGCGTCTTGAACTGGTAGAACTCGTATTCGGCTGGAAAGACGACAAGAAATCAGCAATCGAGGATTACCCGCAATTGTGTATGCGACACAATGGCTGCTTACCTCCTGCCATGGCGCCCCAGCCCTTCTCAGCCAACTTATCAACCTGCCTCTTGAGGAGCTGCCTTGGGCAAGCACTCAGGGGCTCTTCGGTGTCCGGATCAAAGAAGCTGACGAGGAAGAAGGGCACATTATCCTCCCAGGGGATCCTGCGGAAGCTGGCCAAGTCTGGGATGGCAATAATGTCCCTGTAGCCATTCTCCTTGTTGCTGATCTTGAGCTCCTTGAAATAAGTCTGGTCGTGCATGTCCCAGCCGAAGATGACGGAACAGAAGCCGAAGCCAGCCTTTGCGATGGAGAGGAATTTCTTCTTGGAGACCAGCTTTCCACGCAGAACACCGTCGACGTCGACCCCGGCAAGCTTGACGCTGTTGTCATCGGCGAGGATGGAGGGGAGAGACTCGATGGTGATGTCGTTGGCATCGGGGGATGGTTTTTCGGAAGCCATGGTGTTCGAATTCTGGGAGCTCTTTGCTGTGTGAGGACAGGAGGATGCAAGAGACGGAGGAAGGGAAAGCGCAACAAAGCCTCAATGAGAGGGAGACTGGCTGAGGATGATTTGATGGCAGCGCGGAGGAATGGACAGAGCGAGCAGTCTCGGTCTGGGAATGGGAGGCAGAAGGGAGAGAGAGAGGGTGTAGAGGTGTGCCGTGGCCCAGTTCAGCTTGAGACTTGGAGCAAGGCCCTTACGCGCGGTAGATACCAGCCGTGGAGGAGAGGGATGATCTCGTGGGGCTTGCTGATCCCTAGGGTAGGGACGACACCCGACACCAGGGTACAGCTTGCATGTCCATGCAAGATGGGCGAGATAGGTCTCTGGGTGCAGATAAGCTTGGCCCCGAGATCGCAACGTCATTGGTGGCCCGTGCTGATACAACCCCTGCGTGTGCCCAGCTCGAGCCCAGCTATCCTGGCATCCTGGTTTCCTGATGCTGTCTGTGGCAGACCTGATGTGAGCTGCCCCTCACCCAGAAAAGGTACGTACCTGTCTTATCTGCACGATGCCCCTCATTGATATTGGAGCTCTCTCTCTCTCTCTCTTTTCGCAGCTTCAAATTTGCCAGCTGTCTGCCAACCAGGCAGCTTGACGAGCAGCTGTTCGGGGACGATAGCGAGACATTGAGCAGTTCATGGTGGGATGTTCGCATTGATCCATCCATTCCAATATTATTGCCTCGGCAGTCTGCCTCTTACCTGCTTGTGCTTTCCACATCTCAGTCCCCGCCTGGCGCTTTGTTTGCGTGCAGTACCCGATCCGGTCCGGTGATCGTCCGCGGGCGGCCGAGTCAGGGAGTCTCCGTCGCATGAGGCATTGGCTGATAAGAGCCCGCGAGACTTTTTACTTCCTTGGACGGATTTCAAGGATGCACTGATGTCTTGACTGTTCACGTCGCGTACACAAGTCAGATCAGCCAGACAGCCAGACGACGAAGGTGGGCTGTGTGTGGAATTTGTTGTCAGAACAAATCCCGTCACAGGCGAGGCTACCATCCCAATGTCCAATCAGCCCCAAGCGATGACAATCGCATGCTGGCCTGACTGGGCATTATGCGTGCGTACCACAGTACCACAGTACCGCATCTAGGTAGTATATGATACGAAACAGCTTGTGAGGGCCGCCGACAACGGAAGCTGCAGCTATCCTATCTACCTACCTACCCACAGTCTTACGGCGTGATTACTTACTAAGACTTTGCTGAACTGGCTTCATCTTCCTCCTCGACTGCTTTTCCGCTCCCGACAACTTCTTTGTGACTCAGTAGACACTCGCCCGAGACCCTGAACCTTCTCCCTCAGCCTCGCGCTTCAACACCAGACACACTGCACATCGCTCCCCTAACCACTCTCGGACCTACCAAGGCTTGGCCGTGACAGCATCACTTCTCTTCAGAACACGATAGGAAACAGCAAACCAACATGGGACGCCTCTCCGGAAAGAACGCCATTGTCACCGGCGCTGCTGGGTGAGAACCGTCTGACTCTGGCTTCAGGGCCTCCCCTTCTCTTTGCGCCGCCAACCTCCCAAACCCGCTGACCTCCATGGCTTCCAACCAGTGGCATCGGCCTCGAGACCTCTATCCTCTTCGCCAAGGAGGGCGCCAACGTCCTCATGGCCGACATCTCCGCCCCAGCTCTCGACAAGGCCAAGGCCAAGGTGCTGCAGCTCGTGCCCTCGGCCAGCGTGTCCACGACCCTCTGCGACGTCTCCAAGGAGGCCCAGGTCCAGGCCATGGTTGAGAAGCTCGACTCCGCCGGCGGCCTGGACGTCATGTTCAACAACGCGGGCATCATGCACGGCAAGGACGCCGACGCCGTCGAGACCCCCGAGGACATCTGGGACCTGACCCAGAACATCAACGTCAAGGGCGTGTGGTTCGGCTGCAAGCACGCCGTGCTGTCGCTGCGCCGCCACAAGAAGACCAAGGGCTCCATCATCAACACCGCGTCCGTCGTCGCCCTCGTCGGCGCCGCCACCCCGCAGCTGGCTTACACCGCGTCCAAGGGCGCCGTGCTCGCCCTGACCAGGGAGCTCGCCATGGTCCACGCCCGCGACGGCTACCGTTTCAACAGCCTGTGCCCCGCGCCCCTCAACACCCCGCTGCTCCAGGACTGGCTGGGCGACGACAAGGAGAAGAGGCTGAGGCGTGAGGTCCACTTCCCCACCGGCAGGTTCGGTGAGGCTGTTGAGCAGGCCCATGCGGTGTTGTTCCTGGCGAGCGATGAGAGCAGCTTCGTCAATGGCCACGTGAGTGATCCCACCTTCCCTTGCAGGGCAGTGACATCATGTTTTTTGGAGCGTAGCCACTGACAGACAACTCCCCTTAGGACATGGTTGTTGATGGTGGTATGACTAAGGCTTATGTGACACCCGAGGGACCTGCCAGTGCGGCACCAATCAACAATGCGCTCAAGGACTCCCTAGACGCGTAAGGGGTCTTCAGAGGCGGGACGCAAGGCAGAATAGGGTAGATGTGACTTGCATGTTCCACAAAGGTTCCACGACTTATACCAACCAGCCCTCAGGAGGGACTCAGATGGTGACTGGCGTGCTCAGATATACCCACCGCTGATGCGTCTGACCAGATGACGGACACAGGACACATACCATTCAAGAATGCACATCATTACTCAAAAAGCGGTCCTGAAATTATATGTAAGCTACTTGACATGTCCTGGGCCAGGGCTGGTCTCCATGTACAGCGGGCTGGGTGTGCCACTTCTACCTTTCGCAATATGCTACCTATGTGACATACTCAGAACTGACCCTCAGTGTTGCCCTCACCCATGCTCTTACTTCCCGAGCTCCCACTCTGAATGGCGCCAACGATGCCGTCCATGTAGCTCGCACCGCTCCACTTCTGATGTGTCAACACATCAACGCCGAGGTCCTTCTCGCGCCTCTGCACCAAGTTCACATACGCCAACATGCCATCCTTTTTGAACCCATGCGCCAGCTCGCTCGTGATCGTCGCCGTGCTGTGCAGCCCCGCAAGCGAGATGAGTTGTATGACGAAGCCCTCTTTGGCGATGTCCCAGATGAAGGATTTGAGCTTGTCCTCGGTGAACCCATGTGCCATCCAATTGAAGGACGGGCTCAAGTTGTACACCAGTCCCTTGCCGGGGTGGGCAGCCCTGACTGTACGTCCGAGCTTGGTGCAAACATCGACGTTGGGGTCGCCCGTCTCTACCCAGAGCAGGTCCGCGTAAGGCCCGAAGGCGATGGACCGCTTGGTCGCAGCCTCCATGCCGGCTTTGTAGTGGTAGAAGCCCTCGCGCGTGCGCGGCACGTCCCAATCAAAGAATACCTCCTTGCCACCCGGGGTGAGGCTTGCCGCGAGTGCGCGCCGGCTCGTCAGACCCATGTCGCGGTTTTCTCTCACTCTGCTCTCATACTTCGCGGCGTCGCCTCCCTCTGCCTTGAGGTGCGCTACGGCCGCCTCGTCGAAAGTGACCAGCTTTGTCTTCTTGACCCATTCGGCCTCGAACGTGTCGATCTCTGGCCCTGAGGCGCCGGCGGCTTCCATCTCTTGCAGAGTTTCTGCCAGAGACCTGAGGCTGGGGTCTGCCACGCCTAGTATGAACTCGTGGTCGCGCACGTCGATGGAGCTGCTCAGCAGCTTGCCACTCTCCGAGTCCGTGCGGGCGATGACGAGGTTTTCGGAGCCCATGACGTCCCACTGGAAGCGCGCCGCGACGAGGCGGTTGATGTGCTCCCCGACAGGGACGAGTACCTTGCCCGCGAGGTGACCGCATTTCTTGCCGCCGTGAAGCTGGTCCTCGAAGTGTACGGCCGCGGCACCGTTCTCGGCGAACAGCTTGGCCAGCTTCAACACAGCCGTCAGGCCGCCGTGGCCCGTGTCACCGTCCGCAACAATGGGCCTAAAGTAATCGACGTATGGGGTCTTGGCTCGTTCGGAGGAGGAGAGCTTCCTGCGTAGATCCCACTGCTTGCGGTCGTGCATGGACTGGGCCTTGAACATGCGTTGGACTTGATTTGGTACGGTATTGTAGGGGTAGTCGCCAAAGTCTGGGGAGACTTCGTTGGTGGAGGTCAGCGTGGAGGAGCACGCCCAGCCGGAGAGGTAGAGGACCTCTTGGTGGGGTGCTTGTTGGGTCATTTGGACGGGATCGATGGCGCCCACTACCAAGACACACAGTGGATATCAGCATAGGCTGGACGTGGAGGGAATAAAACACGCCATGGTGTTGGTCGCTCACTGGTGTGGATAGGCTCGCCAGCGCTCAGCTTCTCTTGGATCAAGTTCCATAGCTTTCTGGCCATGAGGGAGCTGGGATAGCTTTGCTGAAGGGAGCCTCGTTTTGACACGACATCTGCGGCAGTATAAGGCCTCTTGATGCCGGCGTATCTCGAGGTCGACCACCACTCCTCGACATCTCTGATTTGCTGTTCGTAGAGGGCATCTTCGGGCGAGCCTGCCTTTTCTTGCTCTGGGAGTACGTGGAAGGAGTCTGATGGCAGCGAGCTGGTTACGGGTGGAGAGACAGCCGGCAGCGAGGACATGCTAGGTGCCGTGGAGGACAAAGATCGAAGTGAGCCCAAGCAGGCCGGGGCGCGTGTGGTCGTGGACAACCTGGATGTTGGCCTCTTAGGGACCGATGCTGATATTCTTCGCAGCATGCTGGTCCTTGCTGGTCCTCTGTTCAACGACGAAGAGGTGGAATGTGGACGATGTCCAGGGAACGTGCAGACAAATTTCAAGCGAGCGTGCCGTGTGCTGTGCTGTGCTGTGCAAAGTAGGAGCTAATCAGCCAAGAATTTTGTTTCAATCAAGTGTAATCCAAGATAAACTTGCTGGAGGAGGCAAAAAGTGGCCGAGGAAACCGTGAGCCGTTGACGTCCCCGTTCGGCCGATGTCGCCGATTCGGAGCCGCGAGGGCCTCGGGACAGTGGAGTAGAATGTTGGACGCGGGGAAGCCTTCATTCCCTGAAAGCGAGGAGGACTGATTGGGCAATGGGCGGCGGGAGCAATGGAGCCCTGCTGTGGGTCGGCTTGCCTCGGCTCATCGGCAGCTGGGAATGATGGGGGATGGAGGGGAACCTGGGGTGCTCTGGGGGCCTCTAGCCATGCTCCTAGGAGCTTCCGAGGTCCCTCCAGCTTGGGCTCAACGTCACCTTCCGCGGCTTTGAAGCTTGCATAGGTGCGCTGGAATGGGAGCGGTGGTGGGATGGGAGATAGGCACTTTTCTTCCTGCCTCTAGCCCGAGAGGATCGTCAAAACCACACATTGAGAACCGTGTGTTGTTTTCTTTACTTTGAATACTGAGCTTGCCCTGCAACAGTTCTCTTCAACCACATTGCCTTTTTCTCCCCTCTTGCCCGTGAAGACAGACCGCTCTTGGTCTCACAACCCCAATACTCCATTTCTGTTCTCAGAGCAAGAGGATAGCCACCCAGAATCATCTTTTCGCAAAATGGCTGCTCGAGTTCAGAGCTCCTCGCGAGCCATGGGAGCTCTGAGGCCACGGGTAAGAACATTGTCTCCCTACTTGTCGTACCGCTCCTCCCTGTGCCTGGGTAGCATCTGATCCGTTCATCTTTGCCCATGTAGCTTCTGCAGTCCCGCCCTGCCGCCATTGCCAGCCTCTCCGCAAGGCAGTACTCCTCCTCCTCGGAACCCGACCTAAAGACCACCCTCAAGGAGATCATCCCTGAGAAACGTGAGCTCCTCAAGAAAGTCAAGTCTCACAGCTCTGCCGTCATTGGGGAGGTCAAGGTTGAGAACACCCTCGGCGGGATGCGTGGTCTCAAGGCCATGGTGTGGGAAGGCTCCGTTCTTGACGCCAACGAGGGCATCCGCTTCCACGGCCGCACAATCAAAGACTGCCAAAAGGAGCTGCCCAAGGGCAAGACCGGCACCGAGATGCTTCCAGAGGCCATGTTTTGGCTGCTCTTGACAGGCAGGGTTCCTTCCACCAACCAAGTCCGCGTCCTGTCGCGTGAACTGGCAGAGCAGGCCCAGCTGCCAGCTTTCGTCAGCAAGATGCTCGACGACTTTCCCACCGACCTCCACCCCATGACCCAGTTCGCCATGGCCGTCTCCGCCCTCAACTACACCTCCAAGTTTGCCAAGGCATACGAGAAGGGGCTTAACAAGGCCGACTATTGGGAGCCAACCTTCGACGACTCCATCAGTTTGCTGGCCAAGCTGCCCACCATCGCCGCCAAGATCTATCAGAACGCGTACAAGGGAGGCGGTGCTCTCCCTGCCGAAGTCGACCTCGAGCAGGATTGGTCCTACAACTTTGCCGCAATGCTCGGCAAGGGTGGCAAGGAGAACGAGAACTTCCAGGACTTGCTGCGCTTATACCTCGCTCTGCACGGTGACCATGAGGGTGGCAATGTGTCGGCGCACACAACCCACCTCGTCGGCAGTGCCTTGAGCGACCCGTTCCTCAGCTACAGTGCTGGTCTGCAGGGTCTTGCGGGACCTCTCCATGGGTAAGCCATCTTCCGTATCGAGACCGACAGTTTCCCGCTAACTTACTGCCACTTTAGTCTCGCCGCTCAAGAAGTTCTCCGGTGGATTGTCCAGATGAAGGACTCTATCCCCTCGTCCTACACCGATAAGGATGTCCATGATTATCTCTGGTCGACTCTCAACTCGGGCCGCGTCGTTCCCGGCTACGGCCATGCCGTCCTGCGCAAGCCGGATCCTCGCTTCGAAGCCCTCATGGACTATGCCTCCGCGCGGCCCGAGATTGCTCAAGACCCCGTTTTCCAGCTCGTCAAGAAGAACAGCGAGATAGCGCCCGAAGTGCTGAAGAAGCACGGCAAGACAAAGAATCCATACCCCAACGTCGACTCGAGCAGTGGCGTGCTGTTCCACCACTACGGTTTCACCGAGACGCTCTACTACACGGCTACATTCGGCGTGTCGAGGGGTTTGGGACCCTTGGCGCAGCTGATCTGGGACAGGGCACTAGGGTTGCCCATTGAAAGGCCTAAGAGCATCAATCTGGCCGGCATTTTGAAACAAGTCGAAGGAAACTGAATGCAAGAGACTTGAGAAGTATGAGGTATGTGCAAGAAGTGACATCAAAATCTGATTGAGATGCTCTGGGTTAGGGGCCCACTGCGTTCTTCGCATGTCTGACTCGTCCACTTGAAGACGTCCAAGTGATGACCCCTTCCCAGAATAGAGTTATAAGCCCCAATTTACTTGTTTCCAGCACATGCGACCACATCCACAAGAAAATATAGGATCCCGTCCGCTCTCCCTCCATCAAGCTTGTGAGAGGGTAATTAGTAGTTGGGTCGGTGACGACCAGCGAATACTGCCTGTTGCATGTTAATTCTTTTTTCTTCTTTTTTGCCTGTCTTCTTTCCTCCCCCTTCTGTTCTTCTCAATTCCTTGTCGCGAAACCGATTCGTCATGTCTAGAATTCAAGCGTGTTGTATGATGAGTTTTGGCCGCTCGCACATTCAACTTTAGCACACTCACTTGTTGTGCACAGGTGATTCCCTACTCCGTCACGAAGAATGTGTATCCGAGTAAACAGGCTTGATTGACTTTGCAGATGCTATAACATGCGATGAACAAACGTGAACGTTTCACAAAAGAAAACCCACGAGCCATCTCCTCCATCTGCTTTCTTGGCCAGCCACCCCCCAGTGCATCCACCCACAAGACTTCACTCCCAGCCGGCGCACAAGAGGAAGAGCAAACACTTCGTCGCCGAGGCGTCGGCAGCCTCCGGAGTCGCTGCCTGGACGGGGTTACTGGATTCGAGGCAGGCAGGCAGATCAACCTATCAACAATCCCGCGTCAGCCATGGGAGAATGACAGCCCGGAGGTAGCATCCGCAAGCCTAGAAGCTTAGCTCGACTATTTCGTACACTTCTGCCAGCTAAGGTGCACCTGCTGGGTGAACGCTACGGTGGCATCGTCGTCGGTCACCTGTCCAGAGGCAGTGCTGTTGGTTGAGGTAAGGGCGATGCGGTTGTTGATGTTGCTGCGGTGTCGGGATTTAGCAGTTGCTCTATTTGCGAAAAGGGTGGGCTCATGGGGTCACGGGATAGTGTCTCCAGGTGAAAGGGCACTCACAGAATTCCTTGGGCTCCGCATGGCGAGTAAATGATACTGGCGGTTGGGACTTGGTCGTTCTTGGTGTAGACCTGGCCACTGATGTCAGCTCCCTCGGCCTGCTCTCCTTTTCTTATGAACTCAAACTTACCTGGCCAGCAGCCCAGAGTCCGCCACCGCTGATGGAAGTCCTCGTGGTCGTCGTTGCGGTGGCATCCTGGGAGAAGTAGTAGGTGCTTAGGAACGTTCCCGTGACCCCAGTGTCAAGCTGGGCATAGCCGTGATAGGTGCTGTCGAGCACGGCGAACTGGAAGCCTCCTGGGTAGTTGAGCGTCAGGTGGAGCTGGCAGTTCTTGGTGCGGTCGGCTATGACAGTGCCCGGTCCGATGTAAGTCTGGAAGGCGTCGAAGCCGAAGGTGACAACGGTCTTGTCCGAGCTGAAGGAGGTCGACACGGTACCTTGCGGGCATCCGTTGCCGGAGAAGCTCGCCGCTGAGATGGTGATCTGGCTCGGATCCGGAGAAGTCCCAGGGCTGGAGCCGCCGGGGAAGTTGAGGCCTGGCAGGGCCGCAGCTGCGACTGGGAAGAGAAGAGTAGCGAAGGACTTCATCTTGTCAGATGATGGTTGACTGAGACGGTCTGAGGCAGTTCTGGGGGCGGCTGTGGGGAGGAGCTGGTGCTACTGGACAGGTTCATCTCAAGATTTGCGATTTCGAGGAACTGAGGCCGTATTTATACCCAGAATCAGGAACCGTCGCTGCTGTCGCATTCGTGTTTATGATACACATAAGCGCCCTCGTTAGCAATGCCACCCTCTCTCCAGCAACTCGGACGTGACCAGCTCGACGATGACACCGCGGGAGAATGCGAGCAGTCAATGGAGGTATCGCTCCGTCGAGAACAACCGCCAAGGGCCACTTGATTGAGTGGTTCGAGAGACTAATAATGTGTAGGCGCGCTGTCCTGAAGCCTCCGGTCAACACGCACCTGGCGCGAAGTAACTTCATGTCGAGCTAGAGGCCCCGCGGGAACACTTCTTCAGAGTAGTGCGGCAGGAGAGGCTTGTCAGGTTCGTACAGCAAATTTGCGGTTGAAAAGGTAAGATAGATGAAAACATATTAACCGGGGGGGCCTCGAGCTCTCAGAGCCCTGCGAAGGAATGGTCAACGGCCGGGTCCAGGCAGAAGCCTCGAGGCGGTCAACAGACTAGTCAGCACCTCGATGGGCTTTATATGTGGCCGCTACGAGATGTGTGTAAGTTACTTGCGTCGAGACATCTGATCTGTTGTTGGCAATTCTCATTCGACGAGGAAGATCTTACGAGCGGAACAGCATGAGAGACGGTAAGAGGAAAGACACCGGAGGCGCTGGAGGACACCGGGCTGTCCCGAGTCGTGACCTGAGCAATTTAGATCACGAAGTTTACGTGATGGAAAGGCTGGAACCGGTGGTCTGGACATGATGGAGTTGTATCCACGATACTAATTCAGGACAAGATTGTCAGGGTCCAGTTGATTAAGCTTAATTATCCCTACACCTTTGGGTTACGCCGGCCAGCCACCAGGGCTGGTGGTAGCGTCAGCAATGGTGGACTTGGCACCATTTAAACAAAAGGTCTGGCCTCAGCTGGACGGAGCCGAGAAGAGGGTCACCTGACGGCATGATGGCCTCGAGGACGAAAGTGTGACTATGGGGCCACCAACGACCTCGCTCCCTCGGTCTGCCGTACTATCGCGACAGCCGGGGCAGCCAGGCGGCTAAATATCCAAGGTCCTCAGCACCTCAGATACTACAAGGATCGAGACCCCTCTGGCCGACTGTGCCGACGATTTCCAGACGCTTTACCGAGTCTGAGACAAGCCCATTGACACGTTCACGCAAGCGCGACCTTATGCTTTGCCCTTGATGTTCTCAGTAGAGGTTGTGAAGAAGGCCCCCATGTGTTCTGGCGTCCTAGGCGTGGGATGGGTAGGTAGCCCTCACTGTCCGGAAATCCTCGGGCTCGTCAGTCCCGAAACCAGGAACAGCTCCTCTTTCTCGCCCACACTTTGGAATCTAGACAGAATCTAGACCACACGTGCAGCCTATAGCCTAGTACACCAAGCCCTGGAACCTTTTCCGAGAGCGTGAACCGTCCAGTCGCAAACGAAAGCCAGGCCGCCGTGCGCTTCGCAATGTTTCATCGGCCCAGGCGCACCTGACAAGCCACTTGGGTATATTTGAGAGAATATTACCTCGCCATGCCCCTGGTGTAGAGCAAATGGAGAGACTTTACCGCGACAGTAAGGGGTTTATGGATCGGTTTGGAAAGAGAAGAGAGACGCTGTTGGCGACCCAAAGGGTGGAGTTGGCGAAGTAAGGGTCAAGATCGAGGTCGTGGTCTTGGTCCAGCTCCAGCTCCGGCTCCAATCCAGCTCCAATCCAGCTCCAAGCGGGTCCATCCGCCTCGAAGGGGACGAACCGTGGTCTCGGGAAGCCGATCACTGCTGATCACTCGACGACTGTGGGGAAACGCCCCACGGAGAAACTCAGCCAGCAGTCCAGGCCCTTCTGTCACCTGCGAACCCCCAGCTGTCTGCGTATGCGCGGACTTCTCTCAACCTTGACAGCCTTCTCGAACTGCCCGAGTACCCGCTGTCTGTGGTCCGCTGTCCGCTGTCCGCTGCCACGTTGCCTGCTGCCCTCTCGCCATCCGCGAGGTCGTATTGAGTATTTTATCTCGATTGCTGTGCATTATTATTATGGAGCTGTCAGCCAATGCTAGCCACCTCTGGGAACCACAGTTTCTGTCATTCAGCCTCTCTATCAGGCTGTCAGTTCCTCTGTTTTCCTCTTGAGACCCTCGTCCCGCATGCCGGAGCACCTCGGGCGTTCGCTCTTCAAGACACCCGTCTCTCTCATCCCACTCTTTCCCGGTAACCGGGCCCGGGTCGTGCTGATGTCCTCGGCCTAGATGCTCGTGCTCGTGGCGAGACAGAGCTCGTAGGTCGGGCGATCAATGGCCCAATGCCTTTCTGCCTTGGCCTCGTCCGCCATGACCACTCACAACCTACATGAGGATGCGCAATCGGGAGTGATGCCAAGTTGAGAGGGGTTGCAAGTGCGTATCCTCGGCCGTCCGTTCCAGGGAAGCCGACCGGGATCCAACCTTCGAGCCGTGCTGGCTGTCAGCTGGTCTACAGAATCACAGTGCGTTTAGCCTGTAAGACCATGCCCTATATTGACTCCCAAAACTGCTGCTCCTCCTCCTTCTCCTCAGACGTTGGAGATCGCCAATCATGCCGTCTACTCCACGCCCAGAATCCTTGCAATGCGGGGTGCAGAAGACTCTTACATCCTTGACAGCTCCATGAGAGACGCCTGGATCGCGCCCAGTCGAATGAGATCTCCTCTTTGAGGAAGCGAGACGTGGACTATGGTACAGAGGCAGCTCTTTATTCTGCCTCGATAATTTTTCCATCAGTCACAGGCCGCCTTCCGGGCTGATGGAGCCACCCTACACATACGCGAGTAGTTCGTGACGACCGTCACCCCACGGGTTGTTCCCCTCTTATTCCTATCTGGGTTAAGCCAGAAGTGGCCACCACCAGACGGTATTCCTCCCGGACCACAACACATATCTCATGCCGATACTGCCTCGACATGTATAAAAGCCGGGATTTTCCATTAGAGAGTCCAGCATCATCTCACCAGAGTGTCCCTCATCTCTCCCTTACACACGACAGATTAATACAACATACGGCTTACACACAGCCTGATATTTAGAAACAAATATCCCAGCTAATAATTATCCACCACTCACAAGACTAGCCACGCTCAACATGGGCTCCATCGAGAAAACAATGAACGCAGTACAATACTATGGGCAGCGAGACGTCCGTCTGGAGAAGGTGCCCCTGCCCGACCCAGTGAAGCCAGGCTGGGTCCGGATCGCACCCAAGTTCTGCGGCATCTGCGGCACCGACCTGCACGAGTACGTGAGCGGCGCAAACCTGATCCCCACGCCAGGCCACCCACATCCCATCACTGGGGAGACGCTGCCCCTGACTCTGGGCCACGAGTTCTCGGGCGTGGTCGAGGAGGTTGGTGAGGGCGTCACCCACGTCAAGAAGGGCGATAACGTGTGCATCCAACCAACTCTCTGGGACGACTCTTGCAACTCATGCAAGAGAGGCCTCGTCAACTGCTGTGACGGCAATGGCTTCCTCGGTCTGAGCGGCTGGGGCGGCGGCATGTCAGAGTTGACCAACGCCCCGGCCGTGGCGGTCAAGCCGCTTCCGGCCAACGTGTCCCTCGAGGTCGGCGCCCTCGTCGAGCCCCTGGCGGTGGGCTGGCATGCGGTGAAGATATCGCCCTACAAGGAGGGCGACACGGCGCTCGTCCTGGGAGGAGGGCCCATCGGGCTGGCAGTCATCCAGGCGCTGGTCAGCAAGGGGTGCAAGAACATCATCGTTTCGGAGGTGGCAAAGAAGAGGAGAGACTTCGCGACACACTTTGGTGCGCACGCCGTCATCGATCCCACAACCACCGACGTCGTCGCCGAGGTCGACAGGTTGACAAACGGGCACAAGGTGGACGTGGCCTACGACTGCGCCGGCGTGCAGATTGCGGTGGACTCGGCCTTCAAGGCCCTCAAGACGAGGGGCATGCTCGTCAACGTCGCCGTGTGGAAGGGCAAGGCTGCTCTGAACATGAACGACCTCGTCTTCAGGGAGCGCGCATACATGGGAGGTAAGTCGAGACCGATTTCCCCGGCCCCATCCCTTCTGCTCGTTGTCTATTTGAATTCGCTAACGTTTCCGTCCAGTTGCCACGTACGTCCATGGTGATTTCGAGGAGGTCATCGAGGCCATCTCGACTGGTAAGATTAAGCCCGCAGACATGATCACAAAGAAGGTTGCCATGGACAAAGTTGCCGACCAGGGATTCAAGACGTTGATCGAGGACAAGGACAGTCACGTCAAGATTCTTGTCGACATGACTCAGCAAGTTGCTTGAAGCGAGATCGGGATAACGGAGTTGATGCATGCGGCGGGGTTTGTCTTTGCTTGACCTGGTGTTCGCTTCGATACCCGGCGGACTTCTGACGATTAATGTAGTTTTTCGATAATCTTGGCATAATTTCATAATGTAAAATTGATTGATCAAATTCTTTTGCTCAATGTCATTGTCAACAAAGACGAATATGCTCGGAAGGCTTCAATGGTACTGGCACGTTTGGGTGAGTTTCCTCGGGGCCCGGTATAAAGAAGTATGTGTGCTCATGTTCATTCCGATGATATCAATCTCACGAGCTAGGAATCACTCACTTCTCACGCGACTCATCTCCCCCTCCCCTATTCCTAAATTGCAGATGACGCGCGCTCCTGCTGTGAGCTCATTGTTAACTCTGGCTCCCCGTCTCGTTGCTCGTCCAAAAGTGCCTCTGTATGTCAACAGGAACTGGAAGTGGGGGAGTCCTGTGATATTCAAAGATCCTCAGCTCAATCGGTTGTACCGTCTTGTCGCATATCACAATACATCTCTGGTCAGTTGCGTTCTTGGCAGATTCTCTCAGTGTGCTGATCAGCGACACCAGCTTCTGGAGACGGGGTTGAATCTCATTCTCGTAGGGGATGAAAGACGTTGCGTGGTAAATCACATCAACCTCTGTGAAAGAGCCATCGATATAGGTGCCTCGAATCAGGAAGGGGACCCTGCCGAACCATAACTGAGGCATCTTTCTGAAGGGGGCCAAAGTGCTTGCACTCAGCTCCGCCGCGTCTTTGCTGAAAGTTCCGTTGCCTCTTCGGATCACCTTGGAGCAGGGTGCGTGCCGCAGTCGAGGGCTTTCAGGGGACGTCTGGCTTCCACGCTTGAACACAATTCTCTCTGCCACAGTATTGGGCTGATACGCTTCTGAGAGATCCTTCTCATCGACCCGCGAGGGCTTTGGGTGAAATTTCCACTGTTTGTCATGGGAAGATATCGCTTCACCGGAACTTGGTAGAGCAACGTCTAGTTCTGACAGAACTGCGCAATTCAGAGGTCCCAGGTTGTACCGGATAGCGCGGTGATAGGAGCCATTGTCCTGCAATGTACGTCGCGCGAACAAGTCCTCAAAGTCACGACCGTGGTTACCCTCTTCTCCCATCTTCTCAAAGACGCGCTCCCAGGTAGGCGTAACGACGAGAGTGTTCTGCACCATGGCCAGGTCTAAACGAAAGTGATGCTTGGCCTTCCCGTTGACGAAGCGCAGGAGGTGGCCGAGAGAGTTGCGGTTGATGATCAGGTCGACATCATCGAATCGGAAGCCCGGGTTCATGACAGACATGCTCTGGAACATTGGTTCAAACGGATATAAGGGCATCCGAGCCGTGTTGACGTCCCGGTAGTGCCTCATCCAAGACCTCCTCGTTACTACAAACGGTAGCTTATGTGCGATTAGCACAGGAGCCTCTCCTAAACCATGAAGGGCCCAATTAGCCCCTGAACTAGACGTTTGTTTGGTCCACGTCGAGAGTGGATGGTTGGCCTACCCGGTACATAGATCTGTGGACGCAACGGGCGTTTCTTGAGCTGCATCTTGGACTCGACTCTCCAGCTGTAGCTACAGAGGAGATCGAATCCTGAGGCACTGGTAACGTGGTCCTCGCATGGTTTCAGAGCCTTGGATTGAATACGGCCCAATTTGCTCCCCAAGTTCCGGGCTAGCCATGCCTTCTTCTCATCAAGCCCAGCGTGTCGCAGTCGTCGTCGAGCCAGGAAGCTCACTTGGGGTTGCCCTGCTGCCTTTCTGGCGAGGGTAGGCAGCATCAGGCTTTCGTCTGCAAGGCCTCGAGCTTATGTCTCATGTCTCATGATTTTGATGGTACAGGACTGTCATGGCCGGGCTAGAAAGGCGAGCGTCAAGTGTTGCAGCCTCTTTCAATAGTGGATGTCTGGAGTGAAATTGTTAGCAGGTACTCCTAAACCAATCAGTGGCACCGCGACGTGAAGCAACAAGCGCCCCACCCCCCTCCAAGTCCCAAAATCTAGGGTTCGGATGAAATGGAGGTACGCAAGTAGCGAATCGAACATATAGACTAGCATCACTTGCCATCTTCTGGCGAACTCTCCGGATACAAGGGTGAAGAAGATACATGGAAAGCTGATCGAATATGCACTTAATGTCTAGAAATTATTCGGAAACTAAGTGCACCGACCATTGTCTGTACCCGGGCAGAGGTCATTCAAGCCCCCCCCCAAACCTGGAGGCTGCGAAACATCGAGGTGCATATACAAATGTGAACGCATGCATGTGGGCAGGCTCACGACAGAGATACTGCAGGGTGCTGAAACTCTTTCCTAGCTACCTGAGTATGGTACTTGAGATTTGATAATCCTTTGATGCCCCATATAATACAAGTCTAGCAGGAGGAATACATGAGCAATCCTCGATGCTACTCTCTCATTTCCCTTCTCAGCGCCTGATCGGCGTGATGTGTGGTTTTCCATACTTGTCGCGGAAACAGCTCTGGCTGTCGTGAAGGATAAGCCTGGTGGTCCGCGGGTCATGCTTAACGTCCATGCCTTTATCCCCATGTACCTCCTCCATCTCCTGCCTGAACTTGCTCTTCGGCTTGCCCTCCTTGATCCTCCGCTTCTCAAAGAAGACATAAGAGCCATAGAAAACCGGACTAGAGCATCCAATTGCGGGTCCACGCAGACCCAGGAATCTTCTCAGAACCCTGGGTTGGATGCTAGCCTTGTCCGGGAGACACTTGGAAATGGTCCGCAAATACGCCGCCTGGGTAACGCCGTCCTTTTTGAGGAAAGTACGAACCTGTCTTCGCATCGTATCGCATGTCTCGTAGACCGGCACGGTTCCATCCTTCTCGCCCGGGAGTTCAACGTCGGTGGGCACCTCGAGTAGCGCCGCGGCCTTGGACTTGTCTGTAGGCTTGGCCTTCTTAGCTGCACTGGCAGGAAGCTTCTGGGGCAAGCCTTGAAGCTGGCGCTCTCTGAAGAAAATGCCGGCGGCCTCGTACGTTCTCGACTGCTGGCCTGCCCTCGGCCCGTGGCCGCGCATGAAGGTGTTGTAGGCCGACGCGCTGACACCTATAGTGTCCTGGAACTCTCCCACCTTTTGAGCCCCAGAATCGATCCAGATGCGGATCTTGCTCCGGATGTCGTCGGCATTTGAGGAGATTTCGTACAGGCGTGGGTCGTACTCAGATATTTCAGGGACGTCCTTGGGAAAGAGCTTGTCGTCTTTCTCATCCTCAATGGCATCGGACTTGGTCTTGGGTCCGAAGGTGGGTGTTGCTGGTGTATTCTCTTTGTCTTGATCAGCATAGAATTGTGCGAGCTGATCGTATGGAGTTCTCGTCAGCTATCATTCAATAATGTAGATGGGGTACATCACTACGCGGCTCCACGTCTGATGACCTACACTTCTTACACCAACGTAATCTTCGTTGGATGTACCCCGTGAAAGTGGTACTGGGGTTTGGGCTGTCATCATCACCGGAGGTGGTTGAGTAAGGTATAACTGTATTATTTCTCGCGAGATAGGTGCAGAAATGAGTAGGATAGTCAATTGAAGTCAACTCATGTTTGATCGAAGAACTCAAGCTACCTCCTCACTCTATATGCCGACGTATTGGTCTACGCTGATCGGCGAGGTGACGTCAGTCGAAGACCGTCAATCATCTCTCGATCCAACACCCTGCTGAGGGACGCGTTACGCGTTGTTTATTTACTTTCCCAGGGTACTTCAGTTAGCTTCGATATTGCTGAAACAAGCTAGACGATTTATCTTGCATCCAGACTCTAAGGCCTTTCCTTGAGATAAACGCCATCTGCCAAAGAGTAAAAGTGCCCAGATAGGGAACTCTTACGTCATGCCCCCTGATCAATACCTAGGTACTTACGTCCATTGAAATAAAAAATACCATTCGGAGCTAGCTATCTTTGCAGTTGTCTAGATTAAATAGGTCAAACGCATGATCATTTTATGCCAAGTTGTAATAAAATCTATATGCTAAAACGCAAAGCGAGAAGTATACAAAACTCACTGGCATATCACTATTTCCGTGCAGTAGACCGTGACGAGGATGTAGACACATTTTCGTCGTAGACATACCGATAAATATATCTATATATATTAAGAAAAACACTGAAGTCCACGTTCTGCATTCTGTCTAAATTGCCTCGTCAGGGCCTCTTGACTAAGAAAAAGATATCGTGCTGCCTTGGTGCCCACCCAACCGCCACCTAAGCTTCAACATTTTAAGAGGGACTGGTGCAGGATCCTCCAATGTTCTCGAAGTAAGCCAGGCTATTGAATTCCGTGTTTATCTCGCTGAGCTTCCACTGCCTGTCCTCCTGATTACAAACAAATCCCAGAATGGCGATGCCAGCTACAACTTTACCCGCTCCAAAAGTTTGCGTGTACCGAATGACCACGGTGTCGTGAGTAACAGCGTAGGTGCCAGTGACCACCACGGGAATCTTTGGTTGAGTTGCCTGGCTGGCCATGAAGGCTTGCTTTGAAGGAAAAGTGACAGATCCCAGGGGAATGCCGGCCAAGATGTTGATGCTGTCAGACGTATCATTAAAATCCTTGAAGAGGTAGGATTGAGCTAGGGCCTCGGAGTAGTTTCCAACCACCTGAGCATAATTGTCGACGAGGGCGGCTACTGTCTTCGGATTGTACTCTAGAGCCTTGGAGCAGGACAACAAGGCACCAGAAGACGGAGAGGAGCGGTCATATCCCAGGCCAGAACCAAGGGCGGTGGAAATGAAGAGGAAGAGCGAAAAGAATTGCATCTTGAATGACTGGAGTCCGGGGACTCTGTCATACTTAGCTAGCGTCAGAGACGTGGGAGGTCCGCTAGAATTGTGTGTGATTTTTACTCACAGATGGATGTGCTTTGGATGTCTGAAATGTCGTGGACACTTGGTTGTTGACCAACAATAACACGGCCGCCGAGTTTTGAATACGAAAGAGGAGCAGGCGAGTACGGGTTGGCTGTGACTGACTATCGGAAGCAACGAAGCAACATGTATCTACTCAGAGGATGTGAAGTATTTATACACGACGGCTCGCAGTACTGTTGATGGTTGCTGCTTACTGTTCCCATCCGCTGCATGCCCACTATCGATTTGACTACCCGCAGAAAGGGAATAGTGAGATAATTGTTCTCTAGTACGGACAACATCAGCAATCCTCGGGACCGATGACTGGAGACGAGAAAACACCCAGGCTCGTAGCCCCGAGGCGTGCAGTGGCGGCTGAGGAATTCATATACCAGTAGGTCGGACCCGAGGAGGAAGAGAAGCAACCTCTAGGAATCGACGCTGCATGAAGTGGCTGCATGGGGCATATTCTCTTCTCCATCGGCATGCAATGCAATTATAACCGAGGACACAGAGCTCGTGTAGCACTCGCTCGTAGTCTGGAGCGACAGTGCAAATAGACGGGTGAGGAAGACAACACAGGATGGAGGGCTGGAGTCATCAACACCGCCCTGCAATTCATATGAGATGCATACGTGTGCAGCATCCATATAAAGCTCGATCGACCCGAGTCTTTGCGAACAATCCATCACTAATCATGCAGGAATATCACGACTGATCCTCAAGCAGAAGGCCGCACTACTGATAATTTCTAAAAGACCACGAACAAGCGTGTGGCTGGGAAAAGATCAGCTGCATGTCTCCGGCTGAAACATGACCACTCGTCCAGGTCCTCGGCCAGCGGTAAGGCTGTCGACTTGCAAGGTTGGGTGTTGTGGAGCGAGTCGGCGGTGTTACTGAAGATCTGACCGGATGCCATGTGATGACGAGTCGAGTCGAAAAAGAGGCGCTCATGTCCCGAAAAGGCTTGAATAGTCAGCACTGCAAGTTACACAGATCGAAGCCGTACGACCTGCCCAAATGAGCGAGCAAAGTTAGATGGCGCGGGGGCCGCTCACGACCTTGCTACCACAAGAGGTGTTGGCCGAGGACCTCCCCTTGATGGAGGAAGACAGGCCCAGAGGCAGAGGCAGACAACTTGTGCGTGGCGCGGGATGACTAGAACCACCACCCCGATTTCATCTGTCAGCAAGACTGAAGACGTGCTTCCGCAGCACCCATTGAAGAGATTGTGATGCCAAGGCACAACGTAATCAGGTTGCGCCCTTGTTGGTTTGGTGGTGGACGCATCTATACACCAGATGCGTACACCAGTCATGTACGTGACCAAGCGAGCCGACAACTGAGCACTTGGAGCGGGAGGAACCGAGAGAGGCTATGAGCGCATGGAGGCATCCTTGGGAACGACGGCATGGGTGGAGGGATGAACGATGAGCAGGGTGGAGGCCTTCTGCCTTGTTTCTGGGGACAGACAGCGTCGGAATTCCGACATTGTATTTGACTGATACGAGCAGAAATCGAATAGAAATAGACACACGTCGTCGATCTCTTGCCTCTTGCTTCCCATCAGTCCATCCTTCCATCCACAATGTGCATCTGTCTGTCTATCACCAGTATTCAATCGACCGGACCAAAAGAACAAGCGAGATTGCCGATGATCATCGGTCTGCTGCACCCAACAGCCGGCCATCGTGGAAATGGGGAGGGAACCCGATGAGGCGGGTATTTCATCGACTCAAGTTGTATTGGCCTGCCTAAATACTGTGGTGCTGTACCTGGCGATACCCTCATCTTCCCCTCCTTTCACAGCGGGGGGCCGCTGAGGGCGCTAGATGGAAGCGAGCCAGGGCAGCCCCGGCAGATAAGGCCAGCGGCCAATTACATGCTGCACTGGCCCCCAGCATCCGCAAAGGAGAAAAGATGCACAGGGGGTCCCAGTGCTAGCGGAAACGGTTCCTGCATTGGCGCTGCCCCTGGAAAAATGGAATATGAGAAAAGGAAATGGAAGAGTAACCTCCACCGCCCGAGCCCAATCCCAAAGCAGCACGAGGAGACCCTCATCTCAATCTCAATCTTCAATGACCATGGGACCCAATCCCCAGTGAAACGTACCTGCAGCACGGCATCCATTGGGCCACGCCGTGTTGCCGGCCCCCTTTTTTCCTTTCTCGCGGTGCCCTGCCGAGATCCACGGTGAATCTCCGTCCTCGACGTCCCATTCCCTGGACTGAACTTGGCTACATGGGGAGATCGACTGTGATTCCTGCACTCTGAGCCATATCTGCGAGGGCTGGTGGCAAAGCAGCACACTATTACATTCATTTGCTTGGCTCGTCGCTTTGCATTTCCACCCCGTCTTGTCCGTTCCTTTTCAGTCCATCCCTCCCTTGCCCTCTCAGACTCTCGACCTCGACTCGCCGTTGACATTCCTTCTTCCTGAAACCACCTCCCTTTTCTGTCGACGCCGCCCTTGCCGCGTCTCCTTCCATATCTCGTTCGCGTAGACCTGGGCGCTGTACTTCTGCTATTGACTTGGTCGTTGAGCAGCCGCCACTTCTTGCGCCCTCTTGGTGTATGTACGCTCCTGTTTTGTCATTGTCTCTGTATGCTCTCGTCTGCTTCCACCTGAAGCTATATAAATCCACCACCGGCACGCAACACAAGCCAGCCCGCGACGAGTCTAACGTAGCCTAGGCACATAGACACAAGATCAGGCACTGGATCTTTCTGGTGGACACTCCACTCCTTTTTGGTTATCCCAACAGGCATTTTACACGATGCCGTCGTTACGCTCATTTCTCTTGCCTGCGGCTGTGCTGCTGGGCGCTGCCCAACTTGCCTTGGGACAGACAACTACGGATTGTAATCCCTTAAACAGCACCTGCCCAGCGGACCCTGCTTTCGGGACAGACTACAATTTCGTCTTCAATGCCACTCCGGCCGAAGGAGCCTGGGAGAACCATGTCGGCAAGGTCACATACAGTGACGACGGCGCCGAGTTTACGATCAACAAGCAGGGCGACTCACCCACTATCCGCACAAAGTTCTACATCTTCTTTGGCCGTGTCGAGGTGTGGTGGAAGGTCGCACCTGGCCAGGGCATCATCTCGTCCTTGATGCTGCTGTCCGATGACCTGGATGAGGTTGATTGGGAGTTTTTGGGCGGCGATGGCAAGCATGTCGAGACGAATTACTTTGGCAAGGGCGTGGGCAACTATACGTGGATGCGCGAGTACGAGATCCAGGGTGGCACTACCAGCGACTATCACAACTACACCCTCGACTGGACGAACTCGAGTCTTTCCTGGTATATCGACGGTGAACAGGTGCGACAGCTGACGCCCGCGGAAGCCAATAACACCTTGAGCTACCCCCAGTCTCCCATGAGGTTATCACTGGGAATCTGGGCTGGCGGTGACCCCACAATGCCCAAAGGCACGATTGAGTGGGCTGGTGGTGAAACAGACTACACCAAAACTCCCTACTCCATGTACGTCAAGAGCTGCCGTATCACCGACTATGGTCGCGGTACCGAGTACAAGTATTCCGACATGTCTGGAACTTGGCAAAGCATTGAGGAGGTCGAGTAAGTTCAGAATGTTCATTGGAGTTTTCTTGTCTGCTGTTTTTCTCCCTGTGACTAACCAGCGCCCTTGCGCCTCGCAATAGATCCGAGAAGAACTCAACTGCCGCGGAGGCCGTTAATGCTGAACCCGAGAAGAGCGTTTCGGAGAAATTCAACGAGCTTCCTACGGGTGCCAAGAGCGCCGTCTTTGCCTGCAGCGCTGCCGCTGCCGTTGGCCTGGTGGTCGCTTCAGCCTTCTACTGCTTCCGCCAGCGCAAGAGAGGCCAGCAGGAGGCGCAGATGGCTGTTGCAAGGGCCGAGGAGGAGCGCATGGAGATGGAGCGATACAAGGCCGCCGGTGTGAACCCAGACGGATTCACCGATGTTGCCCCGACCCCCAACGAGAAATTCGGCGCGGCCGCTGCGTCCAGGCCGTTGCTGAACAACGGCGCCTCGGGCTCACCCCCTGGCACCCCACACGACGGCCAGAACCCTTACACGGATGGCTTCTCGCCCCTGGGATCCGGCAACGGAGGCTTCTCCTCAAACCCGCATGCGGGTCGCAACGACAACTACTTTCGGTAGACCATATGCCTAGACCACAGGTCATGGTTTTGGCGACGAGATGAGTCGCAGGCATGTCGAGGTTTTCTTTGCTTACTCTGGGGTCGGAGTCGGGTGGATCTGCTCTTTTTCTTTTCCTGTCTCGGATCGGCCACATCTCTTGACTGGTCACGTTCCTGGCCTGCCAAATTTGGGGCCGTTCCAAAATTTTGTTCTATCTGGACATGTTGAGCGCATATTCCCAGAAGACCTGTTTTAGTCAGCTCAGTTGCGCTTGGCTAGGTTCATGGATACGACATACATATATACCCTTTAGTGCGAAGAGCGAAACGGAGCAATATCTCAGACCGCAAGTCTGCAGCTTGAAATCTCAAAAGTTCCAGCGTGAAAGTGCAAGATGCGTGTGGCCTAATATCTCATCTCTTGAGACCACGACAAAGCAGGATGACCACGGCAAGGAAATAACTGCCGCTCTCGGTCACATGTCAGTCTGCGTTACCAGTTGATAATCACCTGTCTGCATGGAAATGACGACTCCCCGACATCTCATGACACAGACTGAGTTGCAAAGTCTTGCATGATTTTCTTGCCGCTAGTCCAAGTAGATGCCGTCTGGGCCACGTAATAGCGGGGGTCAATCATATGGGAAGCCAGGCTTGACGACAGCAACATATCCGCCCGCACAGAAACTCGGGCCGGGCCACAGCTGGGCGTCCCATTTCGCTAGATTATTTCCGTGGCCCGACCCTAGTGGCCTACGGGGCAGAAATTGGGGGCCGGGCCAGAATTGTTGACTTGCAATTGTTGTTTCCATGACGAGTTGGATGTAAGCTTTGGTCAGATCTTCTCAAGTTGCTGCACCTGGAAGGGGACTTGGCCATTGCCATCTAGCCCTGGCATTTGGTCAGAACCTAAACTGTAATCCTCCGAACCGGCATGATCTGGTCGTACAGAAGAAAATGAGAAGATAACATTATATCAACTAAATCAGTTGACGAGTGTCCGGCAGATTGAAGCGCAACCTCCTACAGTACAATGCCACGGACCCACACCTAGGATGCAGATGTCTTCCGGAATTGGAATCAAGATTGCAGCCTGCTGGGTCTGCTGCGTGGCGCCAGGAACAACAACAGATTCCATCTCTGGGTACGTCTGCTACTGACCAATGAATTGAGACGTAGCTCTTCAAATTTTCTGCTGTTGGCAGTAGCCCCCGATGGCCACATCAACAGCCTCGTTCCTGCAATGGGTAGAATTTGGACACAATTAGCATCAGCTACTGCGGCCACGTCTCAGCCAGCCCGTTGTGGCCACCTATTGCCAGGAGTAGGATCTACCGCCAGAAGGAAAGGTCCGGGTAAATATTCCTAAGGCTGGCAAAGGAACTGTCGGCATCGTACTTGTTTCTACTCACACCCGCGGTTTGGAGACAAGTATCCGTTAGGTAACCACTGGTCCACGATGGATGCGGTCGCCGGATATTAATAGCCGACCCTAACCCGACCGCCAGACTTCTGAAACTGACCTGAAATGTCGACCACGCTGAACCAACCGATGGCAGCGGATTGCCTTGCCTCTTTCGGGGAGAAGGCCCGGCAGGGGATCCACGCGCAATCAAAGAGAGGGCCCACATAAAGTGTCGTCCAAACCGCCGTGGTCAAACACTCCTTCCCCTTGATGATCTGTGCAGATACATATACGAAGTATCGCGCGTCACATTTCTTACACAACGCCCCTTCACCCCTTCTATTGCACAGCAGGCCTTCGAAGCTTCTCGTAGAACCTTAATTTGTACTTTGACCGTTCGACCTGTCTCCAAGACCATCAAAGACCACGTAGATCTCAAACCGATCACACCACATTCGACTCCAACAATGGTAAGTCCCTTGCCTCACAACGACAGTTCTATATGAGATCCAGTGGTCAACTGACACATCAAACCACAGGCTAAGCAGCTGAGCGCCGAGGAGATTGCAATCTTCCGAGACTGCTTCAATGAATACGTATGTTGGCCATCCTCAGCGGCACATCAAGATGGTGCCCTGTGCTTGCATACGCAGAAGCTGACTGTAGGTCCTCAGGACACGGACAAGGGCGGCAACATCACCGTCGAGGAATTCGCCAGAGTGATGCGTAAGACGAATCCGTCCGTCTCAGATGAGGAAGTCTCCAAGATCATCAGCGAGGTCGATCTTGACGGGGACGGAACTATTAACTTTGATGGTTAGTGTTCTATCCCACCCTTGTATATCCACCTTTGACTAACAACGCCCTCCTGGGTGAGCAGAATTCATTACCATGATGACGGGACAGCCTTACAAGAGCCCAGAGCCGGCTGCTGCTGCCGGTGAGGGCACCACCACCGGGACTGACGGTACGCAAGCGAGCATCGTGGGCAGTGTGGCAGCATTCCGGGGCGTCAGCAACGTCTCGGCTCTGCTCAAACGTCAGCGAGAGACTAATAGAGTTTTCAAGGACGCGTGGCTGGAAATTGATCCCACCCTCAAGGGGTCGATCACCCCCGGCGAGATGGAACAGGTTGCGGCCAAAGCCGGCCTGGTTGTCACCGCTGCTGATGTCGAGGGGATGATCGATCCCGCGAACGGAGAGGGGAAGATTACATGTGAGCATCCCACGACGACCATTTCTATAATGTGACAGACCTGCTGACGCTGGGAACTATGGGGCAGACGACAAGTTTCTTGAGTTCGTGAAGCGGCAAGAAGTCGATGATATTGTGAGCGGATACGAGTGATGGTTATGTGAAATGGTCCCAACGATATTCTTGGGTACATATACGTGGGTAGGAGAATCTCAATCGATCACATAGGTTAAAGCCAAGTAAGACTTGCGCTTTTCGCTCTACTCGCGGTCCTTGTCTGTGAATCCTTGGGCTACATAATCAGGTATCCACATACACCAAAAGCCGCTTGCGAGCCAATACCACTGTACCTGGATTGTTTCCAAATGGAGGACAGCATCTCTACCAGGCTACATGAAAACACTCTCTAGAATACCTCCTATGCCATATTCCGAACGCCTTCAATGTTCTGTGCCCGGCGTTGGCAACTGAGGGCTACCCGCTAATATGCAGGTTTGTAAGCAGGCTAATTAGACACTACAACCGCCTATCTGAGACAACAGACAACAAGTGCTACGAGATATGATGGTTACACAACGATTTAGAAGTTGGTCTTTGGAGTCAGCAGTGCAGACAGCCTCGGTGAATAAGTTACACGTGCACAGCGCTGAATGTTACAAGACGGTTTCTTGCGCCTCCGATGACGTCAGAATCACTCGATATCGGTTCAGCTCGAGACAAGAACCGCAGAGCACTGCAAGTGCCAGGCCAACATTTAATCCATCCTGCACCGCGCATCGACATCCAGATCATCTAAAGAGACACCTTGATCTCATTGAAAAAAGTGACATATCTGTAGGCACGCTTCAAAATCCGTATCAGACAGGGTTGTCAGCGACAAAGATGCCGTTCAACTTCTCCTTCTCCAGCTCTGCGACATTTGTCTCCACCAGCTCCGTCAACGGGCGGACAAGCGGTCAGGCCTACCAGAGGCAGTCGTACGCGACCCCTCAGGGCTCGGGTGTCCGCACCACACACCAGAAACTCGGCGAGGCTCCTGTCACCAACACGAGGCTGTACGATGCGCAAGGAAGGGAGCTCATCGGCGATGGCAGCGGCTACGATCAAAATCACGGAAACCAGGCATACGCGCCTAGCAGAAGGATCATTAGTATTGAGGATGTGACGGAGGAAGAGGCTGAGAAGGCCGTTCGGCAAAATGGGAAGCAGAACGGTCCATAGGCAGAGAGGCATAGCTGGAACGAGAACGTTTTCATCCCCACTAGTCTTCCCTACTTGAAGAGTTGATTTGAGACCAGCCAAGAAGATTGTCTAGGCGTAGCGATTGTTATATTTGATCGAGGACCTCTCTATGAATCTTGCAGGTTGTTATGAGTTGCAATTATCACTATTACGAAGACCACGAATTGGACGCGCGCAAGGAGAACATTGACGGTTTTGGGCACTGGCTAGAATGTATGTGTGTACCCTTTTCGAAGATCTCGCTATGCAGCAGCTGCCTTAGTAACGGAAGAGCCGTAGAAACATCTGAGACTTGATATCACGGAATTTGGAAGGATGCTTCGTTTACAATATTGATGACAAAACAATGTCGTGTCTAAATGCTGCCCGAGTTCCACATGCTCCTAAACCTCCCTCCCTCTACTGCCAATAGTTGCCCTGGTGGTCCCATCTCGACGACACTACCCGTGTCCAGCACAATGACTATATCAGAGTCGCGCACCGTGTGCAGTCTGTAAACGACAGACACTACAGTGTGCGATGCAAACTCGGTCTCCAGTATTTTCACAATCAAACTTTCCGTCTCTTGGTCAACTGCGCTCGTAGCCTCATCCAGAATAAGAATTTTGCTGGCCGTTTTATTGACGACTGCACGAGCAAGGCATAGAAGCTGCTTCTGGCCGTGCGAGAGGGAAAAGTTGGAGATGTCGGTATCGAGCCCACCGTGTAAGGAGACGACAGGCCAGAGTGAGACCTTAGTCAGAGTTTCAACAAGATGTCCATCTTGGTGCATTGTCGGCTCGGTTTCCGGAATGCTCCCATCCCGAGCCAGGACTAGGTTGGACCGCAAAGTTCCCGGAAATAGCAGAGGCTCCTGAGGAATGGTGATGAGGCGACCCCTCAAGACATCATGGGGAATGTTGGCAATGTCGACACCATCAATGCAGATGTTGCCCGAATCCGGTTCTAACAAGCGGAACAGTGCGAGCACGAGGGATGACTTGCCGCTTCTGGTACGACCGCAGATAGCAAATTTCTGACCAGGACGGATGGTCATAGAGACGTTATGGAGGGCAGGCTCTGAGCCGGTCGAATATGATGCAGTCAGGTTCTTTACTATTATCTCTCCCTGAGAAGGCCATTGGGCTGAAATTCCTGCGGATGACCAACAGGTATTTCTGAAGGGGTCTGCTTCTCAAAATCCCTGAGCCTGGATATAGCCCCAAGTGACGCCTCTAGCTCCGTCCACGACGTTATGAGGCGTGCCAGTGACTCGTTGAAGTTCACGATAGCGTACAAGGAGATGGCGATGGCGTTGGCACTTGTTGAGGAGGGTGTCAAAATGTCAAATGCTACTAAAATCACAGCCGAGGCTGCAACGAAGAGGTCGAGGACCAAGGCCAGCCATCTCTGAATGCAGAACATGAGATAATAAGGCTTCTGTAACTCGTCGAGCCTCTGGAACGACGTGGCCCGGAACGCGGACTGCCATCCAAATGCTCTTATGGTAGCCAAGCCGTCGACCATTCCTAGAATGAGGGCAAAGAGGGGCGCCTTAGCCTGGAGGTCAAGGTAACGCATCTGACATGATGTACGGAGGTAGAAGACCTGAAGGGTGTACATCACCAGGACTGCAACAGGAATTACGGCGGCAAGATACTTTGCGCCCGCGAATATCAAGCCTGCATCGGCCAGACATGAAAGTAGGCCTGTACAAAAGGGCAATCAATATTATTTCAGACAGAGAGAAACACAGACATTGCATGACTGACCATGTAATGCAGCATAAAGTGCACTTGGCAGTTTCTGGTCAAGAAGTGTCATATCTTGACTGAATCTAGATTGGCAACACTGTCAGTAAGAGCTACCAGCCATAATCAGCAAGAACCAGAGGTATTCCAGCACGTACCTATTGATCAAGTCCCCCGTATCAGTTCTTACAAAGAACGACAACGGAGCCCTAAAGATTTATCAGTTCAGTGAATTTCAAGGTCTTTCATGTTAGTGTCATTCGGGTGTCTGTTCACTTGGTGACTGTGGAAAGCAGCGTCCAATGCAGATTTTGTGAAGACCTTGGAGCAGTTTTCACGAAGGTAAACCTGCACATAGTTTCAATTGTCAGAACCTCTCTGTTTTTCTGGGAGATGAAGAAATTTGCACGGACCATATATCAACGCCCATAGCGAGAAGGCCACCGGTACCGATCGCGACAAAAACTCCGTAATTCATGGCAGTGCTGGCCTGAGGAATGGCATTCGCCTCGGTCCAGAGCTTCAGCCAACTTACTGCAGGAACATTTTAGCTGGGTGCATATGTGTCAAGACACGCAGCTGTCTTAGGCTAAGGAAGTGAGTAAGAAGTCAGGAGTACACCTAAAACTTCAAATTGCATTATATTCTAGCAAGAATTAGAACTAAATTCGAGAGATCATTTTTGCAGATCATCACGCTCCTGAAAGGGTCAGGTGGACCAAGATCGATTGTGCAGATTGTGCCTTAAGCCGCAGCTTGTCTGAAGGAAGCAATTGACCTTGGTTCGGTTAGTCAATAGCGCTGTCGGTCGTTCAGAGGATATCAATAACAAACAACCGAGTGTGACAGTGTCTAAGGACTCTGGGAGGGACCATTGAAACATCACGCAGGGGTTACACTACACTGAGATGTTTCACGCGGGTAAGCCCGTCAAAATCCAGACTCGATTTAGATATGCAATGAAAGTTTCGCAGTAAAAACAGTTCCCTTTAGATAGTACTGTTATCTAGCATTTCAAGCCCAATTTACTCTCAAAGGGACCTGCGGGATGTATTGGATTGACCTTGAAGGAATTAAGCCCTGAGAATTGCCCTTGGGCGGGAGGGACAGCAGCCATATGCATGTACTGGTAGTAGGTGACGCGAGTCGAGGAAAACTGTGCCGGTGTGCTGGAATGGGCTGCACATGGGCGGGCGAAACAGAGACATGCCGCTTGGTGGGGCATGGGGAAAGCGGGTTCCCAGCTTGGACCCTTGGAGGACCCCCCGGCCGAGCTCCAAAGCTGAAGTGCGCTTGGTGAGGCCAAGAAAGGCTCGTGTTTCAAGCTTCCATCGCCACCTGTCTGGACTGTCTGGACTGCGGTGCTCAACGCCCAGGCTAAAAAGGATGTCGTCCCGTCTTCTCGTCCTCCTGTATTTGGAGACACTCAAATCCTGCAAAGACCCAGACCAAGAACTCTCGTGAGAGTGCGGAAGGGCGGCGCAGAGCGCAGAGCACGCAGCACAGCACAGCACAGGTCCTGTGAATGACATCAGCGTGGATCCTACCAACTTCAATTCGACCTCGACCTCGACCTCGACCTCGAACTCGAACTCGAACTCTGATTTTCACCTCAACCTACACAGCCTGGAGCCTTATCTCTGTCTCGCTGTGCGAGGAACAACCAACCACCATCTCCGGTCTCGGTCCAGACAGACTTGCAACGTCTGGTGAGACGGCCCTCCGCTCCGTCTGTCTTGTCTCGCTCGTCAAGTATCGAGCAAGGCTAAAGACAAATTAACCGGCGGCTTGGCCACCAAGTACAACTACCAGAAAGCACCCGGTTCGTCTCTGAGCAGACATTACCACTTTCGTCCCTCTTAATACTCCATAATTACAACAAATCCTGCAAAGATGATGGACGAGAGCAGGGAAGGGCTCCTCAGCCCCTCTCAGCGCGAACACGGTCGCACGTCCTTCGATGGCCCTGAGAAACAGCCTTTCTCACGCTCCCGCACGTCACTCTCCTCTGATCTTGAATCGGACCTCGACGCAACAGAGTTCCTAACCTCGGATCCCCTCGATTCTAAAACCGACCCCAGACCAGCCTTCCTCACCGGTCAAAAGAGGTTCAACTTCAGCTCTCTCCGCCGACCTTTCCGCAATCGCTCGAAATGCTGTATCGTCGTTGGCAGCGTCATCGTAATAATTTGGCTGATCCTGGGAGCAGGCGGGGCGGTCGTATACAAAAAGTTCAAGGAAGAGCCCACGTACGGGCAGTCACCACCCTGGTATCCCACGCCCAAAGGAGGTTCCGCCACAGGCTGGACTGAGAGCTACAAGAAGGCGGCAGCCATGGTGGGCAAGATGACACTGCCAGAGAAAGTAAACGTCACCACGGGTACAGGCTGGATGATGGGTCTGGCTGTTGGTACCAACGGCCCCGCCTCCCTGGTTGGGTTTCCTCAGCTACAGCTTCAAGATGGGCCCTTGGGGCTGCGCTTTGCCGATAACGCCTCTGCCTTCCCAGCTGGCATCACGGTCGGAGCCACCTGGAACAAGGAGCTCATGTACGCTCGTGGCAAGGCTCACGGGAACGAGGCTCGTGGAAAGGGCATAAATGTCCTTCTCGGCCCTTGTGTCGGGCCACTTGGACGAATGCCCGCAGGTGGGAGAAACTGGGAGGGTTTCGGCGCAGATCCTTACCTTCAAGGAATCGCTGGCGCCGAGACGATTAAGGGAATTCAGTCGGAGGGAGTGATGGCGAATATCAAGCATTTTGTGGGCAACGAGCAGGAACACTTCCGGCAATCATGGGAGTGGGGTCTTCCGCACGCCATTTCCTCCAACATCGACGATCGTACCCTTCACGAGCTGTACGCCTGGCCATTTGGGGATGCGGTCAAGGCAGGCGTGGCCAGCGTGATGTGCAGCTATAACATGGTCAACAACAGCTATGCCTGCTCCAACTCGAAGCTGCTCAATGGTATTCTGAAGGACGAATTGGGCTTCCAGGGCTTTGTTGTGTCGGATTGGGGCGCCCAACGATCTGGTGTGGGCAGTGCTTTGGCAGGGCTTGACATGACAATGCCCGGTGACGGCCTGCGCTTCTCAGACGGCGAATCACTATGGGGCCCGGAGCTTACAAAATCCATTCTTAACGGTTCTGTTCCTGTCGATCGCCTGAACGACATGGTCACTCGAATCGTCGCAGCCTGGTACCAGCTTGGGCAGGACGACACTTCAAAGTTTGACGGTAAAGGCCCCAACTTCTCCTCGTGGACGAATGATCGCATGGGGACGAAGGTACCTGGAAGTAAGACAGAGCAAGACATTGTCGAGGTCAACAGCTTTGTCAACGTGCAAGCTGATCACAAAGACGTCGCTCGTGCGGTCGCGCGTGAAGGCATCGTTCTGCTGAAGAACCAAGACCTACTGCCCATCGACCGTATGGGGTTCACCGACGCAAAGAAGCGAGGTCTTCCCACAAGACATGAGGGTAAGCTCAAGATTGGTGTATTCGGTGAGGATGCTGGTCCTGGCAAGGGCCCAAACAGATGTGTTGACCGCGCATGCAATCAGGGCACGCTTGCTTCTGGTTGGGGCTCGGGTGCCGTCGACTTCCCCTATCTTGTGACTCCAGTTGAGGCCCTCCGGACTGGCTTCAACATGACCAAGGTCCAGTGGTCTGAATACCTCACCAACGCACCAGCCTTTTCTTCTGACCCCAGCATTCTCGACCAGGACGTGTGTATCGTCTTTGGCAATGCAGATGCGGGCGAGGGCTTTGTGCGCTGGGAGAATGTTGCTGGCGATCGACCGGATCTGTTCCTGCAAAAAGGCGCAGATGACCTCATCGTCAAGGTCGCGCAGGGCTGCGGTGGCGGCGCAGGTGAAGTCCTTGTCGTCATTCACGCCGTCGGCCCTGTCGTCATGGAGAAATGGATTGACCTTCCCAACGTTAAGGCAGTGCTGTTCGCCAATCTTCCTGGGGAGGAAAGCGGAAATGCATTGGCAGACATTATCTTTGGTGACGAAAGTCCTTCCGGGCATCTCCCTTACACAATCGGCAAAGCCCTTAAGGACTACGGTCCTGGCGGCCAGATTATGTACAGGCCCAATGGTGTTATCCCGCAGCAGGACTTCACCGAAGGCCTCTATATCGACTACCGCTATTTTGACAAGAATGGCATCGAGCCCCGGTTTGAGTTTGGGTATGGACTCAGCTATACAACCTTCGAATTTTCTGGCTTGCAGGTCTCCCCTCTCAAGAACAAGTCAACGCTTCCAGCCAACAGAACACAGTCTTCAGCCACGCCACCTGAGTACTCCAGTGATATTCCCGACTCCGAAGAAGCCCTCTGGCCGGATGGCTTCCGCAGGTTGGACAAATACATCTATCCATACATCGACACAATGGACGAGATCATTGATGAGTCTTATCCGTATCCCGAAGGATACAGCCAGCAGCAGCCTCTCTCCCCTGCTGGAGGTGAGGAGGGCGGCAATCCCGACCTCTGGGAGACATACGTCCAGGTGAAGGTGAATGTAACCAATACGGGTGCCAAGGCAGGCAAGGCTGTTCCACAGCTCTATTTGGGATATCCCCAGGGGAGCAAGAAGACAGACTTCCCCGTCAAAGTGCTACGAGGATTCGAGAAGATTTATTTGGAGCGAAGTGAGTCCAAGATTGTCGAGTTCAACTTGACGAGGAGGGATCTCAGTTACTGGGATGTTGAGAGCCAAAATTGGAGTATGATGATGACGGGATTATACACATTCATGGTTGGACAAAGTTCGAAAGACTTAACGGAATTTGGGACCTGGTAAATGGATTAGATATATCGATACTGTCCTTTCTGAAGAATCGGGCATACAATTTATGCATTATGAAAACTAAATCACCGCATCTGTGCAGTGGTGGATTCTGCTCTCAGTCTGAGAGGGCTTCAGTAATGTCACTTGTAAGAGTTGAATGCATCAGAGCAGCTTCGCACAAAAGAATGACAGGTGTGCGGCCGCCCAACTGCTGAACTGTTATGACTACAGTTCGAACTCATCGTGAAGCAAGGTGCCGCATCTGATGCAGCAAATATATGAAACAAGCCCTTCACCACCTGGTGACTTGCCCTTCAAAACTTGATCCATAAACATACAACATTGATATATGAGATTATGAGACCATGTGGGCCTCGCAAAGTTTTCTGAGCTTTGGAGGTTGATGTGACTGCTATCAAGGATACAAGTTGGATGATATGTCCTCAAAGCTGATTTCTTTGAATGTCACTTCCACATCAAGGTTCATTAGAGATCCAAATTCAAGATAGCGGAACTCACTAAGATATCACTAGATATATATATTAGTTATAACGATGTAAGTACAACGTGTAATCAAAGGGCCGGCTGTGAGAAAAGAAATTCATGGTGAAAAGATTCATGATTGGGGTTGATAAGAGCTGATGAATGATTCTATCAACGTTATAGACGTCGGAAGCTCGAGTCGCTGTCGAGAGATGTATGGACCGTGTACATTTCGATATGATGCAACAGCTATTGGTAAGCAAGGTACAATGAGTTTATGGGCTTGGTTGAATAATACCAAGCGTACTACTGAATATGTCACTAGGCGTTGAAAACGTTGATGTCCCCTGCAAATCAGCACCGTTGAAGTGCTTCACTTAGATCTTATGTCATCCAACGGATTAGTCAAATTGCAATCTAGTTTTCCTAACAAAGGAGTGCAATATTTTCGGTCCACTCATCCTTACTAGACATGGAGCTTAAACCACCAAAAAGAGATGGTCTGTTCACTTCAAGATGTACTAGGCACGCTTCACCTAAATCAGATAGTGTCTTGATATGATTTCACTGTGATACCATTATGACTCTCATAGTCACCTAGGAGAACTCAACAGGGCTCGGCTGTGGGGCGAAATCAATGTCCTCCACGAAAAAGAGCTGTTTTGTCCACCGTGGCTGTGTGAGCACTGTTCGTATTAATAGACAGGCTTAAGAACAAGTGGTTTCCATAAGAAAATGAGCGCGTATTGGCAAGCAATGTGGAACCACCACATGGTCTTGAATTGTTTCCTGTTCAGCAGCAAACCTCACAAGAATTGCCAAGGGATAAATATTGCCTGGCTCCAGGATATAGTGACTTGCTACACATCCCAAGCATCTTGTTGAATGATGCCCGTCCAGAACCCCATCCAGGGTTTGTTCAAGTCCAACCGGTCCAGGAAACACTTCATTATTACCAATCCCGGCTGCGGCCAAACATTGAAGTTCAAATCGATTGAGCCATCAACAAGCTTGTCTCGGGAGAACGATTCTCCAATAACTCATCTTCTTCCACGCGACACGGCAGCGAAGTTGTGTCTCCTCTGAACGTAGTCTATAGCAGGGCACTTTGGGTGGGTCAGCTGGTTCAGGAAAGCTTAGCTCAGGTCCACTAGCGACATTTTTGGCCATATGTTAACTTCAGTTTCTACACCCAAAATTTCCGTAGCAAGATGAGAAGCCAGAAACTCAACGCACCAGTCAAATTGTCATCGGTCGAATTCCCGAACAGAGGTTGTGCAGCACGGTGAGCTTGGTCAAATCCCGAGAACGAGCGCCCGCTAAGTCAGACATGTGCTCAGATTTGACGGGCTCGAGAGCGACGCTAGATGAGATGCTCGACTTATTATCACCGTTTTGGGTAAGCTGCGATCATTACGCTCTTTGTGTTCAACTTCGGAGAGACGGTCGACGGGATGCACGAAGCATGAAGTCATTTCAGCACCACCATTCTTGCAATTGAGCTCCGCCCAGATCAAAGTTCCCAGTATATGCAAGGCACAAATTCTTGATGCCCTCGACCGATGAACCACCTCAGATGGACTGGACTTTTGGGCCTTGTAGTGTGAGTGGCCCATACAAATCTCCAGCATCGGTTTATGTCCAATATTTTTGGCTGACTTTTATTCATCATGCGGGAAGGCCTCATGCATAGCAGCGCTGTGCTCTTCGCCTACTGACGAGAGCTGTATCTGCCCAGACAAGCGGTCTGGGGCACCGCCATGGAGACGCGACCTCATGGAGTGCCTATACGCGAACTGTACATCACTGGAATACTATGGTTTGTACAGACAGCGCCGAAACACACAAGTCGTCGCTGACAGGAAGCGTAAGAAACGGCTGGTATCACATATCACACTTGCGGCATATCGAACACTGTTGAGCTCTCGCTGGGCCCTCTCATAGCTATCACCTCAGCCTTCCAGTTGCTATTTTTCGCTACAAGAATGGCCTCCATACGAATCAAGCGCGAGCGGGAATGGTCTTGGGAAGACATAAGTTTCGTGGTGTCTTCAGTCAGTCACACACCCAAGTGATGTGCGACTGAGTATGATGCTGATGATAACTCATAGGTTCTCCTGGTTCTCACGCTGCCAGTGATCAGCCTTGGTACGTAGCGATTGCTGATGGCCAGCTTTTATTCTCAACCGCAATCCCTTCCCAACTTCCCCTCCGCAACCGCGCCCGAAAACTCCTGTATCTGGTCTGACAGGTGATCGAGATAGAAAATTACTATGGCTTCCTCTCAAACATTTGGACCCTCCGTATTTGGAATATCGATGACTTCGCCAAGGTTTTTTTCTGCTATTCTATCCTATACTCGCTGTCACTCGCCATGATCAAGATCTCCATTGTCTTTTTATACTTACGCATATTTCGAGCACAAGGAGTGCTAGTTCACTATATAATTGTGGGTACACAAGTATTTAACGTGATAATCTTCATTATCTTCCTTGTCGGACTTTTCTTCGCATGCCAACCTTTGGCCTATTACTGGTCATACGCGGCTCCGCTCAATGGCACATGCCCGGATCCCATCGATCGAGGTTTAGTTTACCCTTCTCTAAATACCATTATGGACGCATGGTTATTAATCCTGCCAATGTCCCAAATATGGTCCATGGGCTTATCTTGGAGGTCAAAATTGGGCGTCCTAACCATGTTCAGCCTTGGTTTGGTGTGAGTCTTCCGAACACTGCCATGTGACCGTCGTACTGACTCTAACTTAAATCTTCCAGAACCGGCACCAGTACGTCTTGTCTTCAAGCGAATTCCTACAAGACCCATCAACTTAGACCTAGGGGCCACTACCAAAATCTCCTGAAACGTGAGATTTGCCAGGTTTCTAACGAGCTTGAGTAGTGACGATCCTGCGGGTCTTGGTTTACCGCGAAAACATCGATGACTGGATTTGTAGGTCTTCAACAAATCCATCAAGTCTAAGATCGACTCTGGGACGCACCATTCCTACAAGATTTGGGTGGAAGATTCTGACTATATACATACAACGCAGTGCAACTCGACATCTTTGCCGGACTCAAATGGTCTGTAATCGAAGTCACTACGGCCTACGTGATCTCTTGCATGCCCGCAACCCGTTTTCTATTTGTGCAACTTCTCCCACGATTTCAAAGGCTCCCAGCCGTGCAACAAGCACGGCCTCATCTTGCATGGATGTCATGGCCAACGAAATGGACAAGAAAGGGCCAAAGTAGTAACGGCACTTCAAGAGCCAGTGACGTCAACACGGCTCGTATAGCAGCTAGGCAAGAGCGTCACCTCGAGATGGGAAACTTCAGCCTGAAGGACGGCACGACTGAGGCTTCTACGAAGTTTTGTGGATCTATGGACTACTCGATTGGCTCATCAGAAGGCACAGTACGGAAGCATGGCTCAACATAATGTTCCAGAGCTGTTGCGTATCACTGCGTTGGGCTCCGAATGTCGTTCGCCTCGGAATTTGATTCTGTAAAATATGCGTTGCGAAGTCAATGGCTTAAGATGCGAAAGTGGTGATTGTAAATTGTACATGTAAACGCACTCGTTGGACAAAAAGCAATGAATACACATCTGTGAACGAGACACCATATGAGTGATTCTTCCAGCAAAACTTGTCGTTCAAGTACGAGTTATATACAGATAGAAATTCTATCCCATGTCTACAAGACGAAGGCGCTTTGAGCAAGGCTTGTTTTATCTTCGCTGATCTATCATTCCCTTCTGTCTCTCCCGATTAGTGCAATCTGGCTGGTTAGCGGAAATTTCGAGCGGACGGCAAACATGTTTGGACTCGACTTGATGGAAGCATACAATTTCGTAAATGAATTTGCGCCTGCCCATAGGCGCTGAGGAAAGTCTCGATACTCGGTGAGCCAATTCGATTTTCAGTGAACACAGGCAGCTCATAACCCGGATCTCATCTTATCGGAACTGTAATGTATGAAATCAATGGAAGCTACATAGAGTTTTGCCAGCAATAACGCCGGCGAAAGCGCTGCAGTCGGAGGTTTGCAGTCAACGAATTGTAATATACTCGATTTGAAAAGCACATTTTTACGGTCTGGGCCTTTCATAGACAACCCATAAGATCATAGCCCGCTCAAGCATTCATCTTTATCATGGAATGAACCCTAGAAAGCTAAAGAATGTGCTCGAGCGCTGTGCATAAGACTATTCATTGCATTTAGGAATGTAGACAATACAATGCTTTAGGTAAATGAATTCCGATCATCCAGAGAAGTCCTGCAAGCCACATCCAGGTATAGTCTGGTGAAATAAATGCTTCAGTCAACGGTGGGAGCGTCTTGGCTGAACTGGCTTGGTCTCATTATATGACACTTGCTTGTGACGACGTTAACCCTCGTTCTTTAGCAAAGGAACTAGCTCTATCAGAAGCATTTTCGGATCATTGGCTATGTTTCATGGCTAAGATAGTGGTGTAAAATACTGCAGGTCATTGCAGCCAGGGGACTGGTCCCTTATGTGTAGTCAACTCGGGCCGGTTGTAATATTCCGCCCCAGAAGATTGAGATATTGATCTGCTTCGCATTATTTGGTCACAATGTGGGCCTACTGGATCGGGACTCTTCAGCGGAGTGCGAAGCCAGACGGCAAGTCCGAACGCGTTGTGCCAGAATGACGGCTGGGTATGTTCAAATTTATTTTGGGACTGTCGCTCGTCAACAGGCTGCAACGGATCACGGCAGTCATTTGCAAAGAAAAGGGAGATAAATTAAGGCACATGGGCTGACAACGGCTGTAAAGCGGCTTGGGATGCATACACTAGCACCCAAGACTACTAGGCTAATTCGCTGGCATCTTGGCTGACATCGTTATACCAGGAGAAAGCCTCGCTGAACAGGGAAGTTGTACATGTGAGACTCCTAAAACAAGGATCAGGCTGGGCAGCGTCCTGGCCAAATACCCCGGCCGGCTTAGAAACCTTGGCTGGCTCAACCAAAAGCAGCATTGTAATGGCAATCTTACATGTGCGAGGGCATCATTCGACGGAAACGACCGTTATGCCATTCATGCAGGGCATCGGCTTTCGGCCAGCTCGACGGGGATTCCTTCGTGGTAAATGGTGTCTGAGAAAAAAACAGCAGACACCAGATCCATAAGTATCAGGACCATTGTCTCCAAGCCCTGGAGCACGTTCAACAAGCAGGATTGGATATTAAAACACTTAACCCTGGCGCATGACACCAAGAATGGCACGGAATCGCTGAAGTCTCTGCTTGTGCCCCGGACTCTTTACTTCACGGAACCCTTCTTGGCTGTCCAGAGTTCAAAAGCTTATCATACTCACTCAACCTCCAGCCAAATGGCCAAGACTGATCAGACCGCTTTCCGAATTGACAACTTCCATACAAGTATTGACTCGAAGACCACACTAGATGTACCGACTCTCGGTCATCATGCCCTGACGATCCGGATCAGTCACCGACGTCCTTTTCGTTTGCTACGGTCACGCCCAGTTCAGCGACTCGTGTACCTCGCTCTAGCTCTGGCTGGTCTCCAGCTGTACCTTCTACATTCCGAATACTATGGTGCGCTGATTGCAAAGTATTCTCCTACGCTGTTCACGAGATTGTCTCTTCAAAACGAAGACTTGCTCGCATCCACGCATTGGCAGGTGGACAAAGATGATACAAACGGGAGTCGACAACAGCTGCTGGATAATCGCCAACAATGGAAGCGACTAGGCTCCGGGTGCGAGGGAGACACCTTTTCCTTTAACGACTCGGTCATAAAATTTTTTAAGCCTAGGCGTAGTCCACTGAGGAACTGCATGCCAAATACTGCTTCCAAAATGCGTTGGCCACCAGAAATTCCAGCATCTCTAATCCTCGGGGGACTGTCGGATCGTTTACCAGACCGCATCGACTTTCTTCCAGTCTTCGATTACTTCCTCCTGCCAACTAGTGGGAGCGGCAGCGATACCGGCCAGTGGCATCTCGTCACCCCTTTTTTGAAGAGTGGCACACTAGAGCACCTGGCACGGAGACTGCAGAGCCAGAAGATCTCACAGACTGCCGAAGACATCGACGTGCGCTACCGATCCTCATTCAACCGCCTTTTGAAGGCGCTTAGCACTATGCACTCACAACACGAGCTGTGTCACGACGATATCAAAATGGACAATATTTTTGTCACTGATGTCAATCAGTCTTCTAACCAGAGCACTACACCAAGTGAGAAGAATGCGCACTGGCTCCTCGCCGATCTCGGAAATGCTCGTCAACCTGCCCATAGCTACCACTCTTCACTCCTGTGGGCGCATGACAATAGCCAAAATACGGACTGTCGCATAAATGATGTCGTTCGGCTTGTGAAGTCGTATGTGTTGTTCCTTCAGTCTGCAGTTATGGCTGGGGAGCCGAGAGATACTTTCAATGGGGTGTTCCTCACCGCTTCGGCACCTTGGAGTCGACTATACTGGTACACCATCAACTCCGCTTATGGTCGTTTGAATGGAACGACAGCAGCTCGACAGATACTGGCAATGTCGTCAGGGGTCTTTACACCTGGTGAGACGGCCACAAGATCGGAGCTTCCATGGTCTTCCGCGCCAGCTATGGAAATACACGCAGACGGAGGTGATGACTGGGAAGGTTCTAGTAGGCCAAGACTTCAGCGCTCCTCGTGGGGGCAGTGGATTTGGTCAGGACTTGGGGGCTCAGTAGACAAGGCAGGCTTGGTGAGACAGCAACTGCGAATGGGAATGAAAGCCAGTGAGAGATGGGCGAAGATTTACGGGACATTCGGAGTTTTACCAATTCCTAGCGAACAGTGCTAGGGGCAAGCATGCTGTCTGCGATTTCGTCATTTTATTGCTGATCAGCTTGCACATTGGACATGATACCCAATTCCTATTTAGTCATAGACATTACCTTAGATTCAGAAATCTAAACACCTTGCCCAGCAATTATTAGGAGTTCCTGTACTGACACATGAAGCACCATGTCTGCTTAAGTCTTATCTGCCCGAGATGTGGTGTTGTTTCGTGGATCCAATCCCCCAAAGGCGATGACCACCGGCCGAGGACTCAATTCCAAGACATACAAAAAGGGGGGGAAATAGTATAATAGGAACAATCATAGCCGCGATTTTTCAACGTTCAGAGATGGTTTGTCAAGGGCACCGAAATGGTATGTGATGGACCTTGCGGTCCATACAAAACAAATGCTACAACCAAACGTAAAACATTGTGAAAATGTGCTCGGGTTCTAGTATTTGTACAACGATATTAAGGTTTGAACGACTCACGCCAGGATGCCAGTTGGTACTCTTAAAGTTGCAGTCATAATTTACGGAAACCCTGGTTATATTAACGCGGCGTTCAATGACGAAGACGTCAATGCTCTTCTTATATTTATTGCCATGTCTTTCGGTCTATCGACATCACAGCGAATCTCCACGCTCTGTTCAACTGAATAAAGTCGATCTGTAAAGACCACATTTCCCCAATAGAATATTAAAGTCATGTCCTGTGCCTTGAGACTAGTTACATCCTCATAGTTCATTCATCTTCATAATATCTATTCGAATTACTCTTCCGTCTTGAGGGGGGAGGGATGGCTCCGTAGGGGTTAAATACTGGTATACCGTGAAATCTGCGTCTATGACATGGGATATCCGGGACTGTCTTAGTTGGGATTATTTGAGAAGTGTACATGATGGCCCACAGCATGACTTCGCGTGAATGAGCCTTCACGGTGGCCAATATTCTGCGTCTCCAGCCAGTCAGGTGTTGACGCACTTTTATTTGATGGGCGGATATTTTTAACGAAATAGCCAGATTCAGACGACTGAGCTGAAGTAGGCATGTTCTCGCCATCGGGCCAGTCGTCATAATGTCGACTTGTATTAACCCCTAGAAGCGACCCGGGGGCTTCTGTCAAGTCTAGGCTATGTCGGTGGTGATGATGTGAACAAGATTCTCCCTCATCGTGGTGATGAATATGCTTGCGATCAGAGTGGCGCCGAACGTCGCGAGAATACTGATCCTGTTTGTGGTGGTCCGAATGACCGTGACTGTCGTGCTCGTTTCCCTCAAACATGCCCCGAGAGTGTTGTTTCTGTGGACGCTGCCGGTTGTGACCATTATGATTTTCGTGGTGATCCCTATGTTCCCGCATCATCATATTCAAAGAACCGACAGCTAGAGCTGTACTCAGCCCGGCCTTGACAAGGTGACTGCCGCGGTTCTGGTGGCTTTGCGCTATCTTGACGACTTCGTTGCCTGCCAAGGCGGCTGCAGTGAGGCCAATAACAAATTCAACATCTTCGCCGAGGCTGAAATCTGCGATGTGAGGCAAGGAGTGCTGTACGGGTCGTGATGACTTCATGAAGTTTCGGAGCTTGGCTAAGACGTGTTCCAGATTTTGGCCTGGGGTTTCCCTTCCTTAAAAGTGGCTTGCTTTGTCTCCGTGTTTAGCCTCACAGGTACGCTGGAGATTTTCTTCAACAAACAGCTGTTTATATACTGCGCAAAAGCATTTACATTAAACCTTGTCCAACTGTGAACACCGGCTTTGATCGGGATTCGGAAATCTTTCCTCGCGTCGCGTCCAGTTTGTCAGCACCGAAAGGCTCACCTTTGACTCAAGGATAACCATGCTGTAGAGTATTTCAAAGCGTCATTATTGCAGGCAGGTAGCGTTCAAGATTTTTAAGCAGGACGGGCTGGGATCTGGGGTTGGAATAATGCAACCACGGAACATTTCGCCGCATGATCGACTCCGTTCCACTGATCAAGCGGCAAGTCCGGCGTTTACTCGTCTTAGAAGATCGGAAACGCTTAATATGCCCGTGTGTTGACAGTCATCCCCAACCGTGCTTCAGATCGGGGCACTCCGCTTTCGGCTTCACCGATGGGCGATTGTAAACCGGCCGAGCTCTTATACCTGCAGAGAGGGCTGCACAAGATCCGGGATGTGAATCACAAGGCATTGTCTGTAGAAAGTAGCTACTACGCCATTGCTTCTAGTGTCCTTGGCTTCATTCATAGCGCCTAATGTAATCGTCCTCCAGGAGCTACCTCGCCTACCCCAAACGTTGACGGCTCAGTTCCATCGCCACGTCAGCAGTCGCGCCATCAAAGAAATCGTTCATAACGACCACAAGGTCATTATCTCCACAAGCTCGCAGTGCGTTTTCTCTCACCCATGGAAGTGTCTTGCTGTCGCAGATGGGCTTCGTGGCCAATAAACAGCTTGTAGAGGCGCTTGCTTCGAGAACACTGTAAACCACTGCCTTCGGGATATTCGAGGCTGTGGCCTGGCACTGGATGTTGATGAAGCCCCGCCCACCGCAGCATTCCGGATGCAGCGTGGCGCCGAAACCCTCGACAATACTATCGCCATTGAGCGTGGCATTACCTGCATCCGTGTAAGTGGACATGGAGTCAACATCGCGGAGCATGATCAGACGGCGCCGATCGCGACGTAGATCACCGATTGTTCTATTCCGAAGATCATCTAGGTTCCCAGCGATCACATGTTGCTGGTGTCCCTCGAATTGGCGCAGAGCAGCCTGTAGGCATTCGTTCTGCTGCTCATCATTTGGACGCTCACAGTCACCAGGGACGCCATCCCATCGAAGCTATTTACGTTGAGCGGTCAGTACAGTCCTCTACTGATCAGGGGTCAGGTGGCGTGCCACGGAGCTGGCTTTCTTGTATCGACGTCAGGATGATCAAACGAATCGGGATTCTTACCTGAACAACGATGATCTCGGTCGGGTTGTCTACGAGAAATCGTACGACCTCTGTCAGAAACTCATCGTAGGCCATCCCGGGAATTGCACTGTGTTGAAAATACAGCCTGTCTGGTAGGTGCTGCCTGACCTGGTGATGGCAATGAGCAGGCCGAAACTCAAAGTACCTGGCTCCTAACGCGAGGATAACGGGAAGAGGATCCTTTTGGGTGATTGCAAGACTCGACACGATACTCGGCGCTATGAGAGACACGGCTGGCCCCGAGATCTTGTCGGCAAGATCTGCCATGACCTGTGTATATTTCTCTTCGTTGGCGACGAGCGTTCGGACCACTGCACCACCAGCGTGCTTGAGAATTGTAGCACAGTTTTGCATGCTATTCATTCCCACATCATGGGCTGCAGGAAGGACGAGCTTCCGGAATGGTTGGTCTCTTTGAGGAGATCCGATCGGCGCCAGCCGGCCTAGCCAGTCAGAGTAATTAGGCGTGACGGTGATGTAGCACTGGTGGCGGTTGGGGAGAATGTCATGACCTTGGCCTGCTTCGTAGAATCCAAAGGATACGATGACGCTGGGGTCCGGGTGCACGACTGAATGCGTATTTGCGATCGTTGTCATGGTACCCTCGCCAATGCCGCCTGTGATCGCGTTCACCTCGACCCATTGCTCCGTGATAAGTCTACCCTCATGTAGAACCTTAAAAACAAAACGACCAGTCTTGTTGAAGAAGCTGTCGATCTTGCTGGATTCGATCTCGAGATCGCCGTTCCAGAACTGATGCAGCTCGTGCTTGACGATAGTCTGACCTGGGACTGAAAGCTCGACGGAGCAGCCCGGCACCGCGATATAGGTGTACGTCTGGACACCTTTGCTCGGCATGTTGATCCTCTTCAGCCGCTAAATCGTAGTGTATGAGAGCCAGATGTCGTGAGTGATCTTTGCTGCAGTCTTTGATGATGGAGGGGAAGAGTGCTCAGGGCTCGGCCGCTGTCAGCCACAAAATTACGCCGATTAAGGGACGGGACGACTTTGTCTTGGCCTCTGCATGGCTAAGGGGCGAAGTCATCTTCGACCAAGGTCATCCCTGTGAAAGGGTTCGGGTTGTAAACTGCTCACGATGCCGCTTGAGAGCACATACTTGTGCATAGCATTTCTTACTCGACTAGTCGGTTGATTAGCAGTGAGTAAGGCAAATAAGAGTTCGGCATGAATAAAACAAATTGAATGCACAAGTAAGTGCTTAAATATAAAGATCACCGAACTGGTAAGGATGACCCTGCTCCAGGCTCGGCTCGTTGAATGCATGGTGACATGAGTTCACACTGATTGGGACCCGGCTAGGGACGGACAGTTCATACCCTACGTCAAAAGACATGCAGGGGAAAAAGTTGATGTGGACAAATCAGAAAACAAATAAATTATTGAATACAGGTACTCTTGCGTCCACTTGGTATTCCAGTCACCTGTCGTCCTACAGCAGCACAAGCGCAGCCAGTGCTACTATCCATCCAAGCTCTACCGCATTCTGTGTACTAGTAGCAAGCACAACTTGGGGCAAGGCCGACTGAGGTCTCGTGCTCTGTACTGAGCCCGAGCCTATGGAAGTCTTTGTGGCATTGGTCAGAGTCATGTTGGATCCATTCCGAGTGCCGATAACACATCGGCTCGCAAGCTCCTGGTCAGTGAAGTTCCCAGCTGAACCCTTCGGCGTCAAAGTCAAGTTGTAATCAAGCGGCCTAATATGCGTTAGCTACCTGCTACAGAGACCAAGCGATGCATTTTGGAAGATTGTTATAAAGGCGGATAAGCAACCGTGATGGGGGAAGGCTTATACGTACGAGAAGCCCCCAGCTGACCAGGCAGTATAACCGATATAAGCTTCTGTATTCGTGTTAATGAACGCGAGTTCGTTGCAGAGGTCCGTGATGCACTAAAGTATGTTAATCTTGAGAACTTGAGCGGCGGCGGGATAGAGAAAAGTTTCATACCGAAGTTGTATTGCCTCCTCCAGTTTCACTCAGGATGGCCTTCCGGCCATTGGTCACCAAGAATTTCGCAAGAGGTGTGAACGTATCCTGCACGTGGTCTGACACACATTCAAGATGAGTTCCACTTCCATCTGAATCCAGGTACTTATGCACATCAAAAATTAGACTTGTGTTTGACCCGTCCAAGTTGTGTACCCGACTGAGATTCCCTGCAGATCCATTGCTGACGAAAGTCTGAGCTCCAGTGAAATCAGTGCCGGGGAGCAAGATCATTTGCTGTGTAGCACCTGCCATCCGGATGGCAGTGACGGCGGCTTGTACCGTGTCGGCCCACAAGCAGAGATCTGGGATATCATGAGGCTCATTCATCACACCAAATATTATCCTGGACTCATTTTTATACTGCCAAAATCAGAGGTCAGCTATGCTCACCACGGGACATGCGATTGATCCTTAGAGAGTGTGTACATACCATGTTTGCGATTTGCGACCACAGGTTAGCGAATTGTTCATTTGTTGGCCCTCCCTGCCCGATAACCTGGCCCTCGAAGCGCGCATAGTTGTGAATATCAATGATACAGTAAGACCCGGTTGCAAGACATCCTTGGACAAGCTCGTTGTACTGTCCCACGTTCTTTTGGTCCAGCTTTCCATCAGAAGTGGGCAAAGCGCTGGCCGAAAGATTGACTGCACTGCCGTTAAGATTGTTGCTATTGATCATAAACTGCCATGTTGTTGCTGCGCCAGAGAGTCAACGCCTGAGCCTAGACCGCTGGGAACTTTGCAGGTGTCACTCACGTAACCTGAACGTATTCAATCCTTCCTGCACAAAGTGTTGCATCTGGGCTGCGCCATCACTATTGCCGTTTCCGATGGCGACTACCGGACCGAAAGCACTGGTGAGATTGTGCTTCCCCTGGATATCAGAGCCGAAATCGAAACCAGCGATGTTGACACCCTAAGTGGAATACTGCTATCAGCCAACCGCAGCAATCATCAAGCTATGTCATAACCTACTGCAAATGGGGAAGCGGCGAATGAAGCGGTAGCTTGTAAGAGAAAAAGTAGCCAATACATCATGGCAGCTCGTGCAATCAAAGTGAGTGTATGCAAACAGTGACCGGCCATGAAGACAAAACCGGCGATGGCGAATGCCAAGCAGGTAGCGATGTCGATGTCGGTATATGAAGGAGTCTGCCTGCTCGAAATGACTGCATACTGCATGAATTGGCCAAATGAGCCAACGAGTGTCTCAGGGATTTAAGCATATCATTTGCAGATCCAAGCTCGGCCCGGGTAGAGCTTGACGTGCGATGTGAAAACGCTTCGGCGCCAGGATCCAGCAGAAGCCATAGGAACACACAGGCAAATAGGCTCCTTGGCCAATGCTTGCCTGAAGACAGTGCACGGATAGTTCGGCAGAAGATCATGGGAAGGTTATGGGACGAACATGAAACCTTCCAAGTCGGAGGTCGTCAGAGCTCTGAGTTCGACCCAAAGAAAAGAACACTGAGGGTTCGCGTCGATACAGCATCTATTCACTTGACCCCGCACGATTGGCAGTACTTGGAAAGTTCAAAAAGGTGCCGTCGTCATCCGAGATTTTTGGACAAAACTTAGACATCCGTGGACGAGCTCCTGGTGAGTCCAGACTTCAGGAGCTCCATGGCAGAACCCGACTACAATGTATTTAAAAGTGTTCACTGTGATAACGACGTCGCTGAATTTCAGCCGGACCTCTCAAGAAAGACTACCTCGATAAACTCATACCATCAAGACTCGTAACCTAGTACCAAGGTTCGTCCCCGTTTAGAGATTTGAGGTCAGAATAGTACCCGAATACAAATTTCGACCACCACTATATTCAAAGTCACTAGGGGGGTATATAACGTTTTGCGACTCTACAACCACTTGTTCATCCTAATTAGTCTCTGCGCTCTGGCACCTGCAGTTCCATTGGTGAATCACGTCCCTCCCCCCAAATGAAGCTTTGAGATGACACCTCGGGATTCGTGTCACGTTCTGTTTGATCTTACCATTCCCTGTGTGTGAAGCACCCACATGCTCAGATTTGAGTCGTCTTTCTCACTTTTCGGTGGGTGTAACATCGCCAGGCGATTCTTTCTCCCCAAGTTCCTTGACCTGCTTTGATTCTTCATGGTCGCTCTTCTCTCCTTGGCCTTCAATTGAATGCTGCACTTTGCTAGGATGGTAGTTGCCAGTGATGTCGCGAATGATGAACTTCGTAGTCTCGGCAAGCGTCTTGCGTCCTTCGTAGATGGGGAACAATCCAACAGCGAAGAGAGAGCAGAATATCCAGATAATTCCCACGACGACCCAGCCAGTGAAGAATTGCTTGCTAAATATGTAACCGGTGCCGTACATCGGCATTGGCCAGAGAACGAGAAAAGAAATGGTCAAAATGACAGTCATGGTCTTGCTGATCTTGCCTGCCCTCGAAAGCTTCTTTTGCTCTGCCTCGAATTCGGCTGAAGTTTCGACGTGGCCACCAGGAATGTTTTCAAGGTCAAGATGAGCCGCGGCAGCCAAGTCATGATCGTCACCTTGCCTGATGAGCATCATTGATTTCCAGTCGTAGTGCTGAAGTCCAAACGCGAACGTGAGGATAGGTATGATTATCGCGGGCGAAAGTAGTGCGACCACGTTCCCGGCCAACATGGGGTTGTTAGATCCTGTGCATGATACTCCCAAGTCGCCGCACTCCTTCCTGGCCGTAACTAGCCAGGCGACAAGGGCAAAGGCAAGGCCGAGTATGGGAGACAGAGCCGCAGCCCATTTGTTTTGGCCGGACCAAGTTAGAGTAAGGGTGGCGGGAAGAACCGCGGATGAGATGATGACGCCCATCATAAGATAGAGATATCCCATCGAGATCCCTGCGTAGTGAAGCCCTACGGAGAAGCTGGCAATAAAGATTGCATAGCCAACAACGATGCAGTGACTTATCCAGATAAGGCGCGTCCCGCTAGCATCCGGCTTGAAGTAAGTCCGGTAGAGATCATACGTGAAGATAGACGAGACAGCAATGAGTTCTGATGAGGTTGCCGAGGTTACTGCCATAAATACAATGAGTAGGGTTGCGACCGCGCCGCCTTTCCCGAGCAGGGCAACTGCTGCGTAAGGAAGTACTAGACCAGCGGATACGTCTGCCTCACTCATGCGATCAGGGTAGGTGGGAAATCGAGGATTTGACTCGAGCGCCAACGCAGACAAGCCCATTGTTGTGGCAGTCAGCCATGGAATTGCGAACCAAGAGAGGCCGCCGAGGATGTACCCAGGTAATGCGTGAACAGGTGAGGCGGCGATGGCTTTGTTGTAGTAGCCATTGTCAAGAAACACTGTACCGAAGTTTCCGACGATATTTATGACGAAGAAGATGGCACCCTCCTTAGATCGCATTGTGAGATACGACCCGTCTTTATTGCCATCGACAGGATGGTCGAAGGCAGCCTTGACCAGAAGATCGTATACGGCGCTCGGCGAGCCCAACACGTCGGAGGATGCATATGCGGTCAAAGAGAAGATAATAATGATGATCAGTAGAATGAAAGTGTGGATCCAGTCGGTCAAGATGGTCGCCTTCAGGCCGCCAACAAGCGTGTACGCCACAACACCGACTGGCAACAAGTAGATTGCTGCAACCGTATGCATTCCCGTCAATGCATTAACCGTCGCTGAACCGCCGACGATGAGCATGAGCGACACCAGAATGTTCGTCACGAGGCCGAATACCATAAAGACAATGTGCGGAATAGTGCCGTAACGAGCCTTGATGACCTCGAGGAAGGTGTGTGCGTTGGGAGCTCTGCGCTTCAACTCAATTGCGAGTGTGGCAAACAGGAGAATCTGAACAGTGGCGCCTGACGCATACCAGAAGGGGCCAGATACACCATACCGGTAACAAACACCGGTGGATTGGAGCTGCTAACAGTTAGCAACTGTCTTGCGACGCCGAATGTAATGGCAGATAGCTTGAGCTGTTTACATACCAGGGTAGCTGCCCACGTCCACGATGAGACTACGGCAGAGCCAACAAGGCCAGATTTGACGGTTCTGCCGGCAGTGTTGAACATCTCAGATGTCTGCAGCTCGCTGTTGTACCGCCTAAGAATGAATGTAACGAGTATCATGCCTATCATAGTCAGCGGTGATTCCCGTCTGAAGTGCTGAAGCTGGCTGGGTGACCAGACATACCCACGGCAAACAGGGCGCCCAAGCCAATGACAATGCCATAGCCGACGCCCTGATCCAAAGCTGCTTGCACCATCTCGTCGTCGTCGTCGTCGTCGCGTAATGGGCCTCCAGATGTATACTAGGGATTGGGTTTCTTCCACAAGATGCAGCAAGGGTCGACTACCTGGGACCTGAAGGGCAAAGGGTCCGGAAGGATGCAACCTCTGCTGCCGAAGCAGGAGGACATCCCGTTTTGATGTATGACATGCTGCTCGCCGAACCGCATATCAAACTTCATGGTTCTCGCCCGATGCGACGGCCCAAGAGCTTGCCAATGCCATCTAGCTTTGCTGACACTCACTGGTCAGATCGCACAGAGATAGGTTATCGGTCGCACTTTATTGATCGGTGATTGTATTAGCAGCAAAGTGCAGCAAACTTGGGGCCATCTGACTGGCTGACTCGGATGCGTATCTCTGCTTTATCTTTTGCTATAGAGACGCCGTGTCACTGCCGGGGATAAGTTCGATAACACAAACAGACGCCAATGCCTGTTAGTGGACGAACCGCGCATCAGTGGGGCTTTACCGCCCCTGTTAGCAGCCCCCCACGGATCATGGAGTAGCCTGCCCCGGAGATAGTAATATTTGAGACTTGGATTTGAGGCCTGATTGTGGCTGGGGTGCCATGTCCAGGACGGCGGATGGAAATTTGTTTGTCCGACTTCCAAGACCTGCTCCCACTCCGCTTGCTTGGCCCCACTGCCAACGACGTCGTTCGAGGCCAGATGTTTGTAGTGGGAAAGCATCTAATTCATCAACCACGGCAACAAAACACCTAGACGTGGCGTGGGCCTGGATCTGAAACCAAGAGTGCGAGGTTTCATCTTTCGGTTAGCTTCGTTTTCAATCATTCCTGTTCATATCACACTAGATCTGCTACTGTGTGGCAGTAGCGACCTGTCAAACTGCCTTCGAGTACACCTGTACTGGTTGTTCTTGTTCATTGTTCTCAGAGACCTGATTTCTCAATGTCCTCGTGAATCCCTTACGCTCTTGTCCTTGCAAATATTCTGTCCAAACCAGAGAGGGGATCAATTGTAATGGTATCAGCTCAATAACCATATGGACAATAAGTTCTCGGCGCAAGACCTCTCCGAGGCTGCGCTTGGTGGCCCGCTACGCATCCAAGATGGGCGCTTTGTTGATGCCTATGGCAGGACAGTATGCCTGCGAGGCTTCAACGTCGCCGGCGCAAGTAAGATGCCAACCAAACCAAACGGCTTCACGCACCTGTGGGACAGCGACAGCTTCTACCAACACCGCACTGTCGACTTTACCGGACGGCCCTTCCCGCTTGAGGAGGCACCTCTCCACTTCCGACGGCTGCAGGCCTGGGGGATGCCTTTGATCAGGCTGCTTGTAACGTGGGAGTCTCTGGCCCACGCTGGTCCTAACCCGAGCACAGACCTCGATCTGGACTATGTTGCCTACCTTCGGCAGCTCATCGAAATGATGCCCAAGTATGGCCTGAAGTGCTTCGTCTGCGCCCACCAGGATGTATGGAGCCGGTTCTGTGGAGGGAGCGGTGCTCCGGGCTGGACCCTGGAAGCTGCCGGTCTCGACATGCAGGCTTTCACCGACACAGGCGCTGCCTACATCCATGGACAGGACGAGGCAAGGCGAGCCAGAGCACCGCCTAATGAGCAGGAGCCAAGTGGCCCCTTTGTGTGGCCTTCGGGAAATCAGAAATTGGCCGCCTCTACGATGGCGACGCTCTTCTGGGCTGGTGAAGCCCTAGCCCCGGAACTCAAGTGTCTTCGCTCGCCTCTAGATGGCCAGGGTGAGGCCGAAAAGGTTTCCATCCAGCAATTCCTTCAGGATGCCCTCATCGAAGCCTTTGGCCGGCTCGCCGACGAGGTGGGGTCCCTCGAGGCATGTCTTGGGTTTGAGCCCATGAACGAGCCGGACCGCGGCTTAATAAACCTGCAGAACTTCCACGGCTGGAACTACAACACAGACCTGCACATAGGATTTTTTCCATCCTTCATCCAATCACTCGCGCTAGGCAGCGGGTATCCCCAGAAAATACCCTATTACGTCAAGTCGTGGCCGTGGCCGACTCGTCGGTCTCATCAGACATTGGTCGATCCCAAGGGCCGTTCTGCCTGGCTGAAAGCAGCCGGCCCTGGCCCTATCGTCGACCAACCTCGAGGCATGGGCGAATGCATTTGGCGCAGTCACGGCGTCTGGGGTTGGGATGAGCAGGGAAAACACCCAGTTGTATTGCAACGCGACTATTTCGACTATGACCATCGGCCTGGTCGAGAGGCGCATAAGATTGAATGGTATAAAGACTGCTATGCGCCTTTTGTACTGAAATTCACTAAGCGCGTGTCTGGCCGGTTTCAAGAGCACCTTGCCTTCGTCGAGCCTCTGCCTAACCAATTTATGCCGCCATGGCAGGCTGTGGATAGTAAAATTCACCAGGAACGACACCGGACAAAGAATGTCATCGATTCTGTTCGCCCACAGAATCTTGTGTATGCCCCTCATTTTTACGACCTGAATGTCCTCTTTAGCAAAATCCACACAGCAATGAGTGTAAACGTTCAGGGCTTAGCGAGGGGCATGTTCATTTTACGTGCCCTCTACTTTGGTGCAGCCGGTCTGCGTAAGAACTATACAGCTCAGCTTCGCAACCTTGTACACCATGCTCACGCCTACCTTGGCCAAGTGCCGATATTGATCGGCGAGGTCGGCATCCCCTTCGACATTAACGGACACACAGCCTTCAAGACAGGGAATTACGACAGTCAGCGAGAACTTATGCACGCCCTCATATCGGCTATGGAAGACAACTTTGTCGGTTTCACTCTTTGGAATTACAATCCGATCAACGATTCCGAGCACGGGGATGGTTGGAATGACGAGGATTTCTCGGTCGTCACCAGCGACAGGACTGTGGTTGACTACCGAAATCAGCAGTACGAGGATGACGATCTGTATCGCGGCGCCAGGACTCTTGACGTCGTGGTTCGCCCCTATGCAGTCAAAGTTGCTGGCATTCCGACTCGGTCGCATTGGGATCCGCGGACTCTCAAGTTCGACTTTGAATGGCAAAGCGGTCCTGATGAGCAGATGACCAAAAAGTCTCGAGTCACTGAGATTTTCCTTCCGAATTATCACTACGCCACTCACGACCTTCGGATCGAAGTCAGCGACGGAGAATGGTCCGTTGACACTGAGAATCAGACGCTATATGTGGTTCACGAGACAAATCGTGTTCAGCATCGACTTGTTCTTCAAATACATGACCTCCAACAGCATCTGATTTCCAGAGTCGAGCACCAACGCAAAGCATTCCCGCGCAGCTTCCCGCTTAGCATAGCCCCGTCCTTCGCTGAAGTCTGGATCGAATTTGTATCCTTTAATCACGTCTTCTGGGCTGTTTCTTTAATCGTAGCTCTGGCCGCCATCTTTGTCCTTCTGTGAGGACTTCATTAAAGCTTTCAGCTGATGAATTACCATGGCGACATACCGAGAGTTAGCTTTACCAAAGAGCGATTTACATATATATTTACTGACTTATCAAGATTTCCAGGCGAGATTGGAGCTCATTACTAGGTAGTCTATGAGTCAGTTTGGCCAGAATTTGAGCAAGCAAGTAGCTCATGTAACTTATGTTTGGCTGCGTGGGAAGTGAAGGATGGAATCTCGTTGTCCGAAGATAGAACAGTCTGTCCCAATGGCGAATATCCTGGAACAAGCAGATGTCTATCGAGTAACAGTACATTCCGCCGAGCTTGACACACTCCCATCAGATTCAGAGGTGGCAGTCAATCTCACCACGGCTTCCCCGTCCGCGGCGTCGGCTGCGGAAACAGCAACTACCACCTGTGTCTTCCCCCCAAAGTCCGCTACAGCAAGTTCATTTGGCAACACCACTGTCCAACCTTCCCCTCCTGTAGCCTCCGCCTTGAGGCGATACACATCGCTTTTAGTGTATTGCCCTAAAGTCGCATTTGCGCCTACTGTCTGCTTGCCCGTATTGGCGAGGTCAAATAAGCACGCCACTCCTTGAGCATTCGAGGGACTAGAACCCACGACAGACCCGGAGCTCAGCTCAACACCGCCTGTGCTTGTGCTGTTGCCGCTCGACAGGCTGCGGGCTCCCACTGTGTAGTGCAAAACGCCCAGCTCATCGCGGCGACGGTTGAGGACATACAAGTGCAGGCTGTTTGCCTCGTCTATATACTCATACTGGCTGCCCGACCTGGTGCCGGCATGAAACAAAGCATCAGCCAGCTGTCGGTAATCACCGACTGTCAGCTTCTGCTCTTTTCCGTCAGGCCGGATGTAGTCCACAACATCAATATCTTGAGGGTTTGCATCAATAACCCACTGGAATGGCTGGGTGCTGTCCGAGTCTTTGCTCTTGCTGATCAAGACTCCACTATCTGGAGTAAAGCTGTCGGCCCCCATGCGATCGATGACCTCGATTTCGTAATTGTTGTAGCCTCCGCCGTCACACAGAGGGGCGGTGGAGGTGTTGCAGTAGGGCGATAGATCGGTGCCGAACACGATGCGGACGCCAATCAGGCCGTCGGGGGCGTCAACTGCTCGAGCAGTCACCTCGGCCGTAACAATCCCGGACGATTCGAGGTCGGCTTTCTCAACAATCAGCACGTTGGATTTGTCTGTGAGACCGAGCTGAAGCTTGTCGCGGACAGTGTGGAGAGAGCCCATTGTCGCGCCTTGCAGCGAGGGGATCTGCCAGCGAGTGTGAGGACCTCCCGGCCCATTAAAACTACCACGGGACATCATACTCCACGGTCCCGTGTAAGCTCTTCTTGCAGGGACGCCGTATGGGTTGTTGTAATTGTCGCCAATGCCGAGAAGATGAGAAAGCTCGTGAGCATAGGTGGCAGCTCCAGAGCTCTCTGCCTGCGTTGAGGATCCTCCGCCCGCGTTAGGCCAGATTGTCGACGCCGCTGCCCACGAAGTCCACTCAACATATCGAGTTTTTGCGTAATTCGGTAGTGAGCTATTGCCAGGCGGGCCGAAATCATCTGTGACATCTTCGTTGGTGAGAAACTTCATGACACCGAATTCTTGCCAAGATCCCGATTCGTCCTGGCCAGCACTCAGGATGAAGACGAGTTCAAAGGTGTCAGCAGTAGCATTGCCGACATCTGCGCGCCATGCTCCAAGAGCATCAGTACGTAGGTCGGCGGTGCATGGTTCTTCTGGACACGCTCCAGGGTTGAATCCTTCCTCGTCAACGCCGTACTGGAACGACTTGGATGGGAGTCTGTAGGCTCCGAAAGCAGTCAAGTCGACGCCATAACGGCCCGCAGAATCCTCCATCCAGTACTCATGCAAGGTGTGGTTGCGGTTGAGGGCCTGCGGCTTGTTGAGAAGGTCCCTATAGAAGGCGGGAACATCTGCACGGTCAAGCTCAGAGGCATCTGGCTGGGGATTATTGAACGGGGTTGATCCGACAGGCTTCGTAATAGTGAAGTTCTCGTCTGGATAATCCACAGCAACAAGTGCGATCTTGAAGTTTCTGATAGACCCGGTCTGTGCTGGGTTTGACCAGTCAGTGCCAGGAGGAGCCTTGAAATCTTCCCATGTCATGTTATCCGGGTTTACCCAGTTCTGAGTGTCAAGCACCGCAAAGGGGTCCTCGATGGCCCTGCGGTCAAGCGAGAGCAGTGCTGGGGCACCGCGGACGATGCCGGCCAGCAAGGACGCTGATAGGTATCCGGCGCCTTTGAACAACATCTTCAGACAGGACAGAGCTTGGATCGGGCACACCCGTTGCGTAGTCGGCGCCTCATGTCACTGCAGCTTGTTGCCCTTTTATGGGCATCACTGTTTGCCGCATCATCTCCGCACGTTCTGAGACCCCATGTTAGGGTGACATGGTCGAAGATCTGCGGGCCAAAGGTTGCATGAGCTGCTGCTCATTTCACTTATCTACCTGCTGCATTTGGTAGCTGGTTACTGCATAATGGAGATGCCAAGGAGGATAAAGAGGTGCCAAGGAGCTTGCCTGAAGTAATAAGCCTCACAGTGGGGCCGAGTAGGACAAGCACGCCTGCAGGCTGAACAAACAGTACAAATTGCGTTCTCGTGTCATCCATTCTTACTTTCGCTTGCTGAACCTCGCGTCATCCTTCTATTTTGCTGACATGCAAAACCTTATAGGAAGTGATCTCGGCAGGGACTGTACTCGGGCCCTTCTTCTCTATTTATCTGTGATGAAGAACATTTCAATACATGATAACTCGATTGGACCTGTTGCCCTTCTTTACAGAGACTTGAGTAGGCAGTGTGAGACTAGGCTGTAGTTCCTCGCAGGTAATATGAACATGCGAGCCGCCCGCCGAGGCAGAGAAGGAAGGCTGCAATTCAAATAGCGGAACAGGAGAGCTGATGACCGCATTTTCAAATGAAGAGAAGGAACATTTGCTAGAGGACGCCCTATTGAGTCTGGGAAGTAATATTCTGGCTATTCCAGCTTTCACGGTGATGGGCCATCAAAAGACACCCTCCGACTTACCACACGACTCCTGACGCTAGTATCTCGACTAATAGCCCTTCTGATCTCGGCATCTTCCTCCTCTTCCTCATCCAATTGCTCCTTGGGCAGCCTGACAGCACGATCCAGAGCCACAGGCAGACCACGGTGCCTCCCACGTATCATGACCAGCACCATAACAACTTTACTACCCGTATATAAACCTCCACTGAAACTATAAGCCTGATTGGGCAGGCCGAGCGATAGGCCTATATTTGTATAACCACTCACAACCTCGAACATGATATTGAACACGCTGTAGACCTCTGGATCAGTAATGCTGTGTTTTGTCTCAATTATTGCAATTAGAAACATCGCGAGAGCCATCCACCAAACGTCGTGAGAGAGCTGGCTTCTAACGTGCTGCGAAACGAGGTCGACTTCTCCTTCGTTCTTGGCGGATACGGATGTGACCGTTGCCGACGATGAGTTGGACGGCGATGGGGAGTAAGCGGGATTGGGCGTGACGTGAAAGAAAGTGCTCTTTGATGCACCTCCATTCACTCGACCTGTCCTCCGCGGTGCGCTAACACCGACTCCTTGGAAGCCTGTCATACGCCGCTGGATCTGGCGGCCAACAAACGCAGTCCCACGCCGACCAACTTGTGAGAGTTTCTTGATGGATCGTGTGGACAAATTCGATGTCTGAGAAAATGCTGAGGTGGGCGAAAATGGCATGTTGTTGCGCTGTGATGGCACAGCCAGCAGTGTCTGAGCAGCAAACTGAGCAGAATCTCCCTGCCCAGGGTCCGGCTTCTCTTCACTAGGTGCATCATCTCCGGCGTAAATACCGAGCGACCGCTCCTCATAGACGTTCGAGTTTCGCATTGTAATGGTTCCAGGATATGTCTCAAGGTACATGATAACCAGCCAGAGCAGTTGGATATCAAAGTATACAGCACCAGGGCTGATGATAGCGAAGCCTCCAGACCAAATCGCTGGCGGATTGTCAGCACGCGCGTGCAAAGCTTCCGGTTGAAGGGCAGCACTTACAGATTGATTGAAAAAGCATATTAAACACCCGTTCACCCGCTGGATTTGTGTCCAAAGCCGAGTTCCCGATACTCAGGACCAAAAGTGCAATCCAGTCTGCCGCCACAAGGACAACAAGCATGGCCACCAGCAACCAGGTGGGTTTTGAGGGAAACAGCATGGTGTACACACGGCGTGGATACTTGAGCGTGAAATCAAGCGTCTCCTTCATAACGGCGTAATCTCCCTCAGGCGTACCATATTTCAGCACTTGAGCGATGCACCAGAGTGTCAACCTCAGGAAAGCTGGGAATGCCGCACTTCCCGCCAACATGAGGAAGACTGTGACGACCAAGAGGAACCACGAGCTCTCAAATGCCGCAATACCAGCATCCAAAAGCGTCAAACCGCCGTTGTTAAACGCAGAGATAGCAATGAAGACACCCGTCCACCAAGGGTTTTGTGCATTCTCCGCAGCCGCTGAAGGGTTGTTGACTGCAATCCAGGCACCAAGAGCGATTGCACCGATGAGCTGCCAAAGAAAGAAATACACCGTCACTGTAGCGATGAGGAGCTTGATTGCGCGGTACTCGACACCGCCGAGATACTCGCGCTCCGCCGCTGTCAGATTGTGAAACTGGCCATTTCGCCCGACATTGACCTTGTTCTGTTTCAGAAAGGTGTCGATGCTGAAGGACTGTTGCTGATTCGAACGTGCAGAACGCTCGTTTCCGGTCTCTTGGCTGACTGCAGATTTCTGTTTAGACAACGGGGGGCTGCCACGATGATAGACACTGGAGACTCCAAGTCCCGTTGCTTGACTGGGCTCGCCTTCAGTAATAGGATCCAGGAATTTGATGCTCCGCCCACCAGGACTCATAGGCATATCTGCAGAGCTGGCCTTTGGAGGAGCTAGGAACGGGCTCTTCGCAGCCTCTAAATCAACCTGTGCCTTTTTCTCGGCCAGCTCGCTTGGCGTTGGTGACTTTGACTGAGGCGACTTGCTTGTCTCTGGAGGTTCCGTAATCTTGGTGCCCATTCCTGTCATATTGGCCTCATCTCGCTCGCGAGTGATGACATTTCGAAACCTTCGTGATTTGGACTCAGTTTTATCCCGGGAACGAAACGTAGACATGACTGGCAAGCCAAACATTGCCCCTGCCATCCCAACAACTGCTCCCGTCGCCTTCATTTTCCGGTCTCTTTCCGCTTGTACGATATCCTTGAACCGCCTTTCAAAGATATACATACGGAAGACGAGCGTGAAGACCGATATCATAATTGGATTCCCAAGCATAAGGAGGATCGCCAAGATGGCCTGCTGACCGCCAGACATTGCTGCAGTCTGTCAGAAACTTGAACCCTGGTTTCGCATTCAATCTTAATTGTACTGACCACTTATGTTGATAGTATTCAGACCTGCCGAGGTGAGGGCAGAAAACGCCATAAACATGCTATCCCAGAACCCGACGCTTAGAGCAGGATGAGATGCGCCCCAGAAAATAAGGGTTGAAATAAGTCCAACGATGAGAAAGTATGCATAATGAACGGTAATGTAGTTGACCGGGGGCAGCCATGGTTTGATGTTTGTGCCTAAGTCTGAGAGGCCACCTCGGATTCTTTCCCAGCGATTTAAGTTCACGCGGATATTAATGTCGTCGCTGTCGTCTTTGTTGTGCCACAATCGATTAAGGAGCCCCATGATGACGACTTATGTCAGCTTGATGTCGGATTATCGGGTTGATGCATCAAGAGATGCGTTCAGAGTGGATCTGGATTCAAGCGGGCTGACGAGCAGCTTCTTGTGTTCAAGTACATTTACAGGCCGGCTTCACCAACATGGCGTTGGCGGCCAGCAATACCTTCTTTTAGCAGACATGCTGTTCGGATGTCTACAGGCAGCGGATGGGAATAGATGCAGATCGATCCCAGTGAGCCAACGAGGATTGATGGCTGCATGGCGGCGGCCGCAAGAGGCTGGAAAAGATGGATCATAATCAAGCAACGGTGGGTGGATGTTGAGGCGTTGGGCTCCGCCCCCTGGAGAAAATAAAGTCGAGGACATAAGCTGATGTTTATGCTAACATTTGCGTATGGTCCAAGTGTGCCATGTTTGTTAGTGTAAGCCCAGGATGGGAGGTCAAAAGATGGGTCGGAGCGCTGAACACCTGCCCAGCCAGTGGGAAACGTGGGCACCGATGGATTTCCAAGAGACCGCTTTCTGCGGCCATGTGTGCCTGCTTGCTGTTTCACCCTTCAACCTAGAAGGGACCAGCCCCCAATTATAGCGACATATCATCTTGATAGCTTGCACCAGGCTCCAACGGGGCTCATCGGGGAGGAAGACATTGAATCCGCCAGAGTACAGGGTACGCCGACAGGGGTTCGGGGCATTCACATGATCTCTCCATACTGTAGGAGGTGCCACAAAAGACCCCTTCTTCCTCTGCATTCCGACAGGACCAACAGATGGCCATCTATCTTCCGGCCCGACAGAGTTGGAACCGAGTAATCAGCCCGAGCTCTATACTAGACCCATAGATCCGTGCTCACCGTCTGTGGAAACGACACGTTCCTGGCGTTCCTGGCATTCCTGTCAAGCTACTAGACTACTGACCATCGATTTGACGGTACGAGTCTGTCTAATTTCAATTTGAGTTCGAACCGGGGGAAATTGACATCTGGGCAAAGCGACAACCGGCAGCTTATCAGGAGCTTGCTGTGAGAAGGGTTGTTTGACACCGATGGAGACCAGCAGCGCCGCAAACTTCGGATATAAATGGGCCGAGGCCGGCTGTATTACGCAGTGCTTTGGACCATATCCCAGCTAGGATAGGAGCAAAAAAGGCGTAAGAGTCGAATGAAGTCGCCCTGCAAATATGCCTCCCCACTAACCCCAATCTCCTCCTATCTGTGGAGTCAAGCGCTGGACTGGCAGACTGGCCGGCAGGGCTTTGGGGCCATGTAACGTTCAGTATTGTGGTGAAGTACGCAGACAGACGATGCAACCATAGGCCCCAACTGCCATAAGAGTGCGCGTCAACACCTTAGACGCCATGACGCGCCACTCTGGTCTGGTTGAAGTTTTGGGCAACGCAGTTCTGGCAACAAACTGCTCTCGGCTCTACGATGTGGTACCAATCTAAATTGAGATGGCCTCCTCTATTGGAGTTGTCTCTGATCGCATCTCAAGCCGCTGCTCAGTTCAACAATCCTCCAGGGGTCGACATTTGGTGCGGCAAAGCCTATCGATCGACGTGAGTCTATGCTGCAACGCTGTTCCAAGCTACATTCATGGAGGCTTATACCTTGATAGAAACTCGTCGTATGACCCAGGCGGATGGTTCCAAGAGCCTTCGACATCCAGCCACCCGTTGCTCAGACTCACGGCAAAATCACGTATGACCATTTATCTGGATACAGATGAGACCGCAGCATTGCTCATAGGAGCCGAGGTGTCATATCAGCTGGGTGAAGCCATTAGCGAGTCTTCCATCACAACTCCGGCGCAAAAGTTACAGGTCACTGTGCTCGCTGGGGATGTGAAGCTAGGCTCGGCTTCACTGGATGTTGGATCAGTTGATAACGAAGTTCCCATTTCATTGGATGGCCTCGATCCCAGTCTTGATCCTTACACCTTGACAATCAATGCAGAACTGGCAAATTTGACGACGTATTCGACAAACACTAGCTTCTCTTACCTCCCATACCCAGATAACTACGGCAGTGTTGCTAGGCTGGACAATCTCTACGGGGGCATTCACGCGCAGAGAGGAAAGAACAGTTCCTGGGAGGTAATATTTCCATACACATATTACGTGCAATGGACCCTCTATTGGGATACTGACGTCTCTACACTTGACGAATACGCCTCCTACGGCTTCAATTTGGTTCACATCGTCCCGACGGGATCTCTTGGGGAGCAGCCGTTTCCCTGGGACCAATTCCAACCCTACCTTGACCGAGCGGCAGAGTTGGGTATATGGCTCCAATATGATGTTATATGGGAGCCAGGAAACACGACCGAGATGATTGAACAGGTCACTGCCCTGCGCACTCACCCCAGTATCTTGAGCTGGTACCAAAGCGATGAACCAGACGGAAAAGGCAACCCTACCAACTCCACAGGCCTCGCTTACAAAAAAATCAAAGAACTAGACCCCTACCACCCCATCAGCCTCGCCCTTAACTGCGAAAACTTCTATTACGGCGAATATGCTGCTGGGGCTGACATTATTGTACCGGATGTGTACCCTATATCAACCAATACCTCTTACTCAACAGTGTATGACACTGTCTGCAATTCCACTTACGGCTGCTGCGGCTGCGACAATTGTGGAATCGGCCCGACCGTCTTTGACGACATTCCACGGCGCCTCGATGAGTTCAGACGCAGGGACGAGCTCATCGGCTGGGCAAAGACGCAGTGGTTCGCGCCCCAGGCGTTTGGGAACGAGACCTTTTGGACGAGGTATCCAACTGCGCATGAGCTGGACGTCATGACGCTTCTTGCAGTAAATCATGGCGCCAAGGGGCTAACCATGTGGGATTACCCAACCACTGCCGAGCTGTTCAACGTCACTAGAGACATGGCTGCTCTCTTCACCGGCACAACGGCAGCGAGCCTGTTTCTCGGCGCGCCGAGATTCCAGGGCTTGCCAGTCTCAGGATCTGACGACCTTGACGCTGCTGCATGGGTGGACGAGAAGAACGGGCAGGCGATGGTCAGTGTGGTGAACCTGAATTACTATGACATCTCTGAACCCCTTTCCGTTGCCCTGCCGGAAGGGCTCATTGCCTCGACGCTTGAAACGAGTCTTTGGGGTGATGACCAGTGGAAAGTTGGGCCTAATGGGAGTTTGATCGCTAGTGATGGTGTGGGCGGCCTAGCTACGGCTGTTTTTGTCGTCAATATATCATAACCTCGCGGCCAGTATGAGCCACTGCAAAGGAACGTCAAGTCTAAGCTTAGTGTGAAGGTAATAATATAAATTGCTGTGCCCTATAGAAGGCCACTACTACTGAAGCCTGCAAATGAGTGTTCAAATACACAACTTTGGGTTCAATAGAATTCTCACGGCCAGACCTCCGCTTTCAATAGACATATCTGAAGTTCGGGTTCGCCTTGTCAGTTATGTCTTCGAAAGCATGCACGAATGCTTCATCGTGTGCCGCATGAACACCCTCGGCGGCCATCCGGTCGCGCTTCTTGTTCTGTGCGGTCAGGTACCAGCGGAGAAGGAGGATGTCAACGACCAGTAAGCCGTAGCAACCAAGATGGGTAGCAAATGCAATAAAGTAGCGAGGGCTGTCCCAGGCTAAAAACACTTGAGGCCCTGCGGGTAGATAAAGAAAATTAGCAAAGAAAGCTGGAAAGACTGTAGATGAGCGAGGACTTACCAATGGCATTTCCAGTAGCCCAAATGATAAAGTTGAGGGCGATCGCGACCGATTTCTTGGTTTGGCCAGCCACATTTCTGGAAATCATGGACAGCGAAAGAGTCTGGGCACTCCAGAAGGAGAAGGTGATATAATAGCAGACCAGCAAACCGATGTGCTGGGACCAGGTGTCCAGGGGTACGATCATGAGGCAAATCGTGCCGGCGAAGCATCTGTGAGAAGGCGCGAAACGTTAGCCTCCAGTATACATCGACTCGGGAGTTGGTCTTCGCTAGATGAGTGACGTGGGCAGTAGTACTCACGGTAGAACAAAACCCAACATGACAAGCAAGTTTTGCCCTGTCTTTTTGACTATCCAGAGCGACCCAAGAAGAACAATTATGATATAGAAACCCAAAACCATTGCCAGCAATTGAGTCTGCAGCGTGGTGAAGCCAAGACTCTTGATGATGATGCCCTGAAAAGCGCCCAGTCCTGAAGTAGGCAGCGTGGTGGTGAGGGCGACAATGGCATAGCCCCAGACTTGTGGGTCGGACAAGGCTTCAATGAGCTGGTCTTTCTTGAAGACACGGTTCTGTACACCGGTTTGGTTGTCTCGCACACGCTCAATCATGAGGTGCTTGTCCTCTTCCGAAAAGCATTTGGCGCGCATTGGACTGTCGGGCATATACCAGCCCACAAAGGCTCCAAAGATGATAGAGATGATACCGTATATCATGAAGAGCCACTGCCATGACTTGAGGGGGCCGTTGGTGATCAGGGAAAAGCAATAGGCAAGAAGCCCGCCGACGATCTGTTGCGCTCCATTCATCATATACCAATATGTAACACGAGCAGCTTGCTCCTCTCTTCGGTACCATATTGATGACAGCACGACAAAGGCGGGTTGACAGGCAGACTCGAACAATCCGAGCAGTGTGCGGACAATGACCAGGCCAGTGAAGTTGTGACAAGCTGCTGTGCAGGCGAGCACCACACCCCAAGCTATGATACTGAAGCTGAGGTACTTGGCAATGGGCACTCGAGCAATGGTCCAGTTCTGAGGATACTCGACGATGAGGATCGTAATGTAGATACACGTGGTTAGCCATGAGTAATCTTGGCCGGTCAGGTTGGTGTCTTCGCGGATGCCCATGATGGAAGCGAAACTCAGGGTGCCCTTGTCGATGGCCTGCAGAAAGTATGTCGCGACCATGACGGAGAGAACTCGCTTGTCGATCATCTTCAGCAGTTGGGCATTCTTCTCGGGCGGAATGTCGATACGAACGTCCGAGACATATTGCGCAAGCTCCTTGTCGACCTTTCCGAAGTCTTGATGGTCCTTGACATACTCAACCTCGTCGGCGGACATGGCGCGCTCGACCTTGTCGGGCTCAGCATTCTGTCTTGACTGAATGTTTGTGTCGGTGGCCATTTTGGAAGTGCTTCCGACCTCTTCTCTAGGGGCATCGGGTGCTACCATATTGGTTGAGAGTCGGATTCCGCTCGATATTCTAGAGATGAAAACAAAGCAATAAAACCGCAGGCCTATGAGCGAATACCCACTGGGAGGCCAAATGGACGGTTTAGAGATGTGCAGGAGGGCAGGTAGGCAGCTACGAGAGAATAACACAACGGGTCAGCGTCGAGTCTTAAACGGTGAATTTAAAGCGTTCTTCACCAACAGAGTCACTACCCCGGACGATTAAATTGGACCCGGTCCAGCGGTAAAGACCGATGGACATGTACACAGATATCTAGGAAACCGCGTGGCCAGGTGCCTGACTGTTTGTTGACAGAACCTTGACTTCCCCAGACCCCACAGAACATGGAGACAGGTCCGGCGTTGAGACTGCTGGGGGTCTAGGCGGCCATTGGCCCGAGATGCCGTCTTTGGGAACACCGTCAGAGTTGGAGCGAGTATGATCCCTGACCCCGAAAAGGTCGGGGAGGGATCATCCTCCCTGTAGACATTAGCGACTTGCCATCACTGCCACGCACAATGTCGTTGCTGCAAAGTGAAGAGAAAGTGACATGTCGGCCGAGTGTGCCCCAGGGTTGTTCGCCTCCTTCCGAGGTAATTACTATCTTCCATGGTGCCATGGTCGTCTGCTGACCCGTCATGAGATTATACTGAGAACACTGTCGCCGTCTCCCCGCACACTACGTCTCCTGGCACACCACGTCTCCTGCTTACCCCCTAGTCTTCTCTTCTCGTATCGATGTTGACACTGTGGGGACGACAGGCTCTGTGGATATGACACATGCATCCATCCCCAGGTTCCACTATCTGGCCCGCCCGACTTCTTGACCCCGCGGGGAAAGGGGTCCGAGGGAATGCAGAAAACCGGGGCATTTGATGTCGAGCGACCCGGGACAGCTTTGAACAGCCTCCGTGCTTGATTTTCTTGGACCCGTCTTGGTGCCAAGGCTTTACGGCTGCTTGGCCACCGCCTGCAACCCCGGCGACTCGTCGTCCTTTCGGTGCAGTTCGGTCCGAGCTGTACCGGCTGATGCTGCTTGTTGAATTGTCGGGGAGGGCCAGATTCTCCACCATCAGATCCTCGGTTCCATAAGACGCAAGTGTATTGGACCACGAGAACGCACCAACGCATACGCAACACAGGAGCTGCATATGTAGAGTTTATTGTCGAAGGCCTTGCAGTAGATGCTTTGAATTCCCGGTGACTCTTCTTTGCCATCCTTCTGGAGCCCATTTCACTTGACAACCGCGCCTCACCCACAGCATCACGTGCTCCTCAAGTCTCGCAGCTAGTTTCCTTGCTGGCGGTTCTATCTGTTGTCACCACGAGCCTAAGCACGATAATACGACATGCCTACTGAGATACAAGGAATCAAATCCAGCGATGTCCATGCCAAGATCAAGCTGTTGATCGATGGCATGGTCAACATCAAGGACAAAACAGGCGAGTTCCTTTTGAAGCTCGATGATGGCCGTGTCATCGACACCAAGGGCTGGAATGATTGGGAGTGGACCCACGGCGTCGGCCTCTATGGAATTTGGCAGTACTACGAGCTGACGGGCGACGAAAAATGTCTTGAGATCATCGAGGCTTGGTTCGCCAACCGATTTGCTGCGGGAGGGACCACCAAAAATATCAACACTATGGCAGTGTTCCTGACGCTCGCATATGTGTATGAAAAGACCAAGAACCCAACTTACCTGCCATGGTTGGACAGCTGGGCTGAGTGGGCTTACCGGGATCTTGAGCGGACGAAATTCGGCGGAATGCAACATGTCACATATGTCAGCTTGCACGACCAGCAGCTTTGGGACGATACGCTGATGATGACTGTTCTACCGCTGGCCAAAATTGGTCTGGTACTAAACAGGCCGCACTATGTTGCTGAGGCTAAGAAGCAATTCATCCTTCATTGCCAGTATCTATTCGACACCAAGACAGGCCTTTTCTTCCATGGCTGGGAATTTTACAAGGATGGCGCCAAGCAAGGGAAGTTGGGGCACAACTTCGCAGAAGCGAGGTGGGCGAGAGGCAACAGCTGGTTGACCATAGTGATCCCCGAGTTCATTGAGCTATTGAATCTCGACGTGGCATCAGACCCTATCGGTTCGCACCTTCGGGATGTACTCGAGGCACAATGCTCGGCACTCTCATCGTTACAAGCCCCCTCAGGTCTATGGAGGACACTGCTAGACATCCCGGAAGAAGAAGGCTCGTACGTCGAGGCCAGCGCCACAGCCGGTTTCGCGTTTGGGATCCTCAAGTCAAGACGGAAGCGATACCTCGATCCGTCCTCGCCTGTCTCCGCCCCTGAAGCCGATGACTGCCGGAAATTGAAAGGTGCTAAGATAGGAGGATACGATGCTGTGGCGGTTAAAGCCATCAAGGCGGTCATTGAAAACGTAGACGAGAATGGAGAGCTGCTGAACACGTCCTTCGGGACTGCTATGGGGTGAGTCAACGCATGGCCCTTTCCTATGAATTGCGCTAATGCTCTTTACAGCAATACGTTGCAGCATTACAAGGACATCCCAATCACAAGTATGCCGTACGGTCAGGCCATGGCAATTATGGCTCTTGTCGAGTTCTTGCGAGTGTACATCTAAGACCTCGAAGACAGATGCACAAATCACGGCTCAGCACGACAGCAATAGCGAAGGAAGTCCAAGGAAAGCTCAGATGAGAGACGCTGTATCCTTATTTCGTTCTATGTGCATGTTTACGATTGTCTATGCATGGTTTCAAAGCTTTGAAGCCGAGGGGGTTCTCTGACCTCAAACTGGTCACTATGGAATAAAAAGGCCTACTGACCTCGTCAGTATTACCACGGCTTGGGGTCAACCTCATGCCAATGGTATTTTCGAAAAATGGATCAGGACCTAGGCACGTATTGAATGGGATTCATGGAGATTTAGTGTAGGACAGGATAGGTTTGCATTGCAGAGTCCAAATCAACGCGAGCAACTCATGCCGTGTAACATCAACCTTAGTTTAGACTACTGCTGGATTTTCATAAATTTACGACCAACAATCGCCATGTGAGATTTGCCAAGAGTTGCAGGTCAGGTGTTTTGCCGTTCCTGCGGCCAGCTGCGCAGGATCCGTCCAAGATGCATCAAGCCCTGAGGTTGTTGAATGTCGAGATGCGCACAGGCCAGGGCCTGGCGGTGACTATGTGTCATCGAGGAAGCAGCTGCATCGAAGCGACAGTTGATAGGTTGGAGTAGCTATTAAACCATCTTCAAGGGACACGCGGCACCAATACCTGCGAATCCAGGTATTTGAAGGGCTGTCTCACTCTTTTGAGGCCACGAACGCCCAGCGCTTTGTGGCTAGTGTGAATTTGCAGCAGGGGGTGGCCATCACTTCAAGTACATATAGCGAATCCACAACTTTTCTCTGGCCGGCCACGCGACACCTCAGAATGTTCACAAGAGTAATGTCCAAAGACATGACCATCCCAAGTGACGCAACGTAGAACGCACGCTCGACAATTTGAGTGGTCGAGGGTGCGGGGAAATGTAACGTAGCAATCGAAATCATCATGGGGGAGAGGGAGGGTAAAAAGGGAACGGTGCGGCTCGACAGCCGATTCATGTGCCTTCTTCTTCGAGATCGATGGGCTAATTCAAAGTTGACCAGATATGGAGTCATCACCGTGGCTGCATCTACGTTATTTCAAAGACATCGTTGTGGTAGCTACATGTGCGGACAACCTTCGCGGACAAATAGCTACATTTGTTCATGGGTCATGTGACGAAATCTAGGCGTTCACCTTCTTAATCAATCGAATGGCGTCTCGGTGTTACCTCTAGCCTGCTCCAGAGACAAGTGGCTACTGAGTCAAAGGCTTGAGCTTGTGTTGGTTGAAGTCATGTTTGCGTTTCGAACCCTTGGGTCCATCTCATCTTGGATCAGCATCTAGATCGTCCGCCACGATGCTGGGCCGTCGTCGGCGTCTTCCGGGCTTCTAGAAGGCTGGCAATCTCGTGCAGTCCCGCCCCTGCTGAGCCTCCCCCACAACCTGTGTCCAGTGTCACACGCGATTGTCACACGTCCCGCCCGACTGTTCTTGACAGCTGTCGATTTCGCTGCTATTGGCTCCTCCGGCACTCATCTGCAGGAACAGGAGTACCACTGCCAACCTCTTGCACCAAACGGCGTGGCCCGATTGGCGCCTTCTCCCGCGTTGGCAAGTTCCCATGTGCTGCTATTAGCTCCGGCAGGTGGCCAAATACCTGAGTAGCCCATCGCCCCGGCACGCCAATGACAAGGCCTCATATAAGACATGCCCAATGAAAATCGTAGACTCGCCAACGCAGTTGTCCCAGGCGGCCCCTCCAATTGGGACCTCTACCAATCAGCCCCCTGGATAGCAACCGCAAGACTGGTACTTGGGATTGTTGCATGTGCTCCTCCCTTAACGGCGCTGCATTTTTGTAAAATTGAGTCCTCCTAGTTCCTCGGCCCGTCTCCTGACTTCACATTAAGTCTCATTACTCGACGACATTGCCTCAATGAGATACTTCTGGAATCACCGGGTTTGACTTATCCAGCTTCGATGCTACCCTCCAAGCCAAGGCGCCTGGACCTAATGTCCGCCTGCTCACTTCCTGACCACTTGGAAACAGCTTGATTAGGCAATATGTCTGGCATCTGCCTGGGTTTTCGGTGGTTGAAGTCTCATCCTGGACAATATCTGGCACACGCTTAACCTGCCAGTTTGACACAGGACTGGTGGCACTATTGTCCATAGCACTGCTCCAAAAAATGGGACAATGGCCAGCCAAACGGCGAGGAGAATGATACACGTCGTCCACTCAGCCTGCAGAAAAGTTATGGCTCTATATAAGCCAGCCCCGTCGCTTCTCGAGTGCTTGACGGTCCCTGTCTATCGCCTAACGTTCCAAGCCCAGTCCATTTGATTCCGGGTTAGTCCATTCCTTCAAGAGAAAGCCTGTACATACCCAAACACTCCTTACTTTGTTGTATATAAGATACGCTTCGATACATATCATACACGCGCGCCTTAGAACAGGGAGAAACGATGTGGATGCTTAGTCCAGGGTCTCTCTTGACAGGCCTGGGCCTCACCACCCTGGCAGCAGCTTGGGCATCCCCGGGTTACTCAGGCCTCACCCTACAATGGGAGTCAACATTCAACTATGCGGCTGGCGCGCCCCCAAATTCTGACAACTGGAACATCATCACCGGCTACCTGGGCGTCAATGCGGAGTGGGAGAAGTATACGTCCTCCTCCGCAAACGTCCAGTGTTCCGGAGGCCAGACTTTGCAGCTTGTACCCTGGAAGGACTCCTCTACTACCTACGGGTGGACTTCAGGCAGGATCGAGAGCAAGTACACGTTCACGCCGAAAGCAGGAGCGATTACTCGCGCAGAGGCTCAGATCAGATTCGGCACGAATGATATCTCCACCAAGCAAGGCATCTGGCCGGCATTTTGGATTCTGGGCCAGTCGCTTCGCGAAGGTGGGAGCTGGCCTGCCTGTGGGGAGCTCGACATCATGGAGACCGTCAACGGCATCCTCAGAGGCTACGGCACAGCACACTGCGGTACATACCCAGGAGGAGTGTGTAACGAAGGGACTGGAATCGGGAGTTCGATTGCCATTCCTGACCAGGGCTGGCACACTTGGAGGATCGAATGGGACCGCCGGTCAAACAATTGGGCAACAGAGACCATCACATGGTACATGGATGGTCAACAGTTCCAGCAAATCACAGGTAGCCAGTTGACCCAGGATATCTGGAATGCGCTGGCCCATTCGAACTTGTATTTCATTTTGAACGTTGCTGTTGGCGGCACTTGGGTGAGTCTCTTGCTGTTGCTTTACTTCAATACTATGGATCATGACTCACTGACTACTCACAGCCTGGATATCCCAATTCTGCTACCTTGGATGGATATGGGGCTATGATGGAAGTTGCTTACGTAGCACATTATACATCCTAGACAACGACAGTTTCTACATTCTACATGCGGCTGATAGCTGGAGCTCGGAGACGATGGGGTTCTTATTCTTGAACATAAAGTTATATACCCGCGATTGGGACGTTAGGAAGACGTTAGACGCTCGCTAAACTGTTCAGCATCGACGAATAACGTCATATGCTGATCTCTAGAAGTAGTAATTCCACAGTCATTTAGGGCCGCAGCCCTGTTTCCGATCGACTCGCCCTGATCTGAAATACTTAATGAAAGATGTGATGAGCACCGGGGTCCGCGTTGGTCAGCAGTCTTGATCATCACGCAGCACATTCCTTGTCAGCCAACAGGTACCCTTAAAATCTGTGCGGGACAGTGCATGCCGTTGACGTATTTATATGTGCAAAATCGAGCTTTCCCTTTGTTCAGAGTGGCCGATATATTTTAGTTGCCTGTTGGAATTGCTCTGTTGCTCCAAATTGCGGCCCTGACAGTACAGCTGCTGATACTGGAACACGAATCCATCGAGCTTCTAAGAGACTGACAATGTCTAAAAAGATTGGTTGGAAGTGCAGACTTGGAGGCGCGGCCGGCCCGCTACACCTTTCAACATTGTCCTTTTAGACTGAAAGTCATGTCTAGACTTTGACAAGTGTGATAATCAAGTGCATCGATTTCGTGAGAGGCCACGATGTTGGTAGATTAGTAGACGTCGTGTGCGGATTCCAGTCAGTCTGATAGTCTCCAATCAATAGAGAGAGGGAGGAAAAAGAATATTTGATGCTCGTGTCAAGGGTGAGGTTAGTATTGGATCGCCAAAATCTGAAGTCGGCATTCGGCATGAATCTATTTGAAGCTTGTTGACAGGGGATCTAAACTCCGTCTGGACCTCGGCGATCTTTCCCCTGACGGGAAGGTCGCAGCTCGATAAGACAAGGGGATAGGGGGTGACGACTCCCCTGTCCTTCATCCCAATTCGATGATGAGTTGAGATTTGCGCACTTCCTGGAGTGTTTCTATCCTGCATCCAGGCCTCAATCTCGCAGTGAATCCGGCTCATTTCATAATGGTTGGCTCTCAAATGCATTTCCTATCAGACTTGGTATTGGCGGCAAGAGGCGCGGCACGTACACACGTTGCATATCGTGAAATTGCAGATGCGGGAATAGTGTCCAAATTGAGCACATGGTCACCGTAACACGGGTTCAGAGGGGGGCATTTCATGTGGGGGACGGAAAGTAAGCCTAACCAGTGTGAGCAAGCTTCGGGAGCTCGAGATAAGCTTCCTTGGCGCCCTAGCATCTTAAGACTGGACTACTCTTTGACATCTTGTCATGGTCCAAAGAAAGTCGCCCTCTAGCACTGATGTAGCCCAGAATGTGCCGTATCTACAGTGGTACTACATGGAATATCATGGTGTATGTTTCTGTCGTGTGAGATACTCAGGGACGAGGCCGCCGGCATCGTGCAAGGGTAGGCCTATACTTTATAAATAATCAACGTCATGCAGGCACCATGCTACCATCCTGGAGCTCCACTTTTGGTGTGGCTGTCCGCATAGTGATGAGGCGTCTTCGCACGAGTCGCCAGTCGAGGTTGCACGCGTCTGGACCTGTTGATTGTCAGAGCGATCTGCATAAAAGCCGACCCTACCCTCCTCCATGTGCGAAGAGGCATCAGCACTATTGTCCTTCGCCCCTCGTTTTCCCCGCTCTTCAGTCGGCGACAGTAGCAGCCAGTATGAAGGTCCTCAGCACCGTGGTCGCGCTGGCCTTGGCAAGCCTTCCGGCTGCCTCTGCTTCCAGTTGGCATGCACCTAAATCTGTTGCCTCCCGCGGCACGAGCCATGGCGCGAGCAAGATGTTCAAGCGCGAGACCAACGGCATTACCTACAGTGTTTACGAGCATGCCGCAACGAATGCCACCTTGGAAATTGTCGAAGACAGCGGCATCTGCGAGACCACGCCCGGAGTCAAGACCTACTCTGGTTACCTTTCAGTCGGGACGAACATGTCCATGTGGTTTTGGTTCTTCGAGGCTCGCAGCAATGCGTCGACCGCTCCCCTGGCGTTGTGGCTCAACGGTGGTCCAGGATGCTCGTCTATGATTGGACTCTTTCAGGAAAATGGCCCTTGCCATTTCGTCAATGGCAGTGATGAACCCAGCTTGAATCCTTATTCCTGGAATGAATACGCCAATATGCTCTACGTTGATCAACCTATTGGTACTGGGTTCAGCTTTGGCGATGATGAGGCTACGTCAACTGTCACAGCAGCACCTTTCGTCTGGAAGTTCATGCAAGCTTTCTTCGAGGCTTACCCCGTCTATGAGAGTCGTGAATTCGGACTGTGGACTGAAAGTTATGGCGGTCATTATGGTCCTGAGTTTGCCGGTATGTGTGGAAATCCCTTGGATGCTAATGGAATGGAGTGTCTATGAAACAAAGAACTGAAAACGCAACAGAGTACTTCCAAACCCAAAACGCAGCTATATCGAATGGCTCGGTCGCCGGCGAGACGATTAATCTTGTTGCACTAGGCATTAACAATGGTTGGATCGACCCGATTATCCAGGAACAAGCTTACATTGATTTCGGCCATAACAACACCTGGCGTCAACTGATCAACGACACGCAGTACAGCCAGCTTCAACAGGCTTACGAAACACAATGCCTACCTCTCCTTGAGCAATGTCCTGGCGAAACAGGCACGGATTCGGCATGCTTGAATGCTGATAACGCGTGTTATGAATACGTGGAGGGAGTTGTTGAAGCTATGGACTTCGACGTTTACGATATTAGGCAGCCAAGCAACGATCCATATCCTCCGGAAACATACGTTGCATACCTCCAAAGGCCAGATATCATGAAGGCTATCGGTGCGCAAGTGACTTATGGAGAGTGTCCCGATGACCCGTACTATCTTATAGCCAATACTGGTGACGATGCACGGTCGTTCCTCGACACTTTGAGCACTGTTGTGCAGTCAGGCATTTCGACCTTGATCTGGGCTGGTGATGCTGGTAAGTGTGCATTTTTGCTGCAAGCATTTCCTTCCTGTGAGGCTGTCCATTTAACAACTCAATATTGCATAGATTGGATCTGCAACTACCTCGGTAACGAGCGTGCCGTCAATAAGGTGGATTATAGCGACTCAGCAGAGTTCCAAGCAGCTCCTCTGCAGGAATATGTGCTAAACGGCACGTCCTACGGACAGTTTAAGGGGGCCGGCAATTTGAACTACTGGAGAGTATATGCTGCGGGTCACGAAGTCGCATATTATCGTAAGTTCCCCAAACCCCAAGACTATTGTAATCCGTATTCTGATGAGTGCTCGTATAATTAGAACCCGAGGCGTCACTGCAGGCCTTTAAGCAGATTATGCAGGGCCTGCCTCTTACTTCGCAGTAACATTGGTCAGCTGAAGAGGCAGAGCCAGAAGTGCGGAAAGAGTAAGTTGCCATAACACATCAGGCGGTCGAGCTGTTCCTGGCTGCGGCCCTGGGACCTTCAACCCACTAAAAGTAGTTGGAACCTTCCACATTGAGAAGTTGAAAATGAATGATGTCAAGGAATGAATGAACATTTATCTCATTGATTTACGATGTTTTTGTGTGCCATTCTCATCAACAAATTCCCCGTCCTTGTGTTCTCCCAAACGCTCCCTTCTCCCAGGTTTAGTACGCTTTGGGCTGCTTCCAAAGCGGTAGACCCCTCAGGTCACTCCTCTCAAAATCCACTTTACCCTTACTATTTACCCAAGCTCCCTCGTCCGTAGCTTCCAAATTTTCCGCACCCAGGCTTTCGACCTCCTTCTTACTCAGCCCATAATTATCCCTCGGCAACCATATGACCGGTGCCTTGCTTGTGAGACTGGGATTTTGGTATGCTTTCTTGATCTCTTCCTCACTATATTCAGGAGCGGGATCGGTCTCGGCTCCTGTGCGAGCGAGAAAAGCACGCATGGCTTTGTGCGAAGCATATACGTGAGGCTCAAGGAACCGTGCGATTGGAGAGATGACCTTTTGTGGGAGGTGCATCTCTCGGCCAAGACGCTGGATATGAGATCGCTCGTGCTCATCTGCCTGAGCATCACCAGCAGCGACAGCCTGACCTTCCTCTGCGGCAGAGAGAAGAGGATCCTGCTCCCCATTCTCGGCATCGGCCGAGAGCATATGGTCTGGAAAATGATCCTCTAGCGGATTTAGGTAACGATTCGTCAAGATGTTGTACGCAATGGTTGCGAAGAATAGGACAACTAGCAAGATTGCTGGGCCCTTGGCCTTCCGGAGACCGAAAAGTCCGATCAGGCACAATTCGCCACTGCAGCACTTGGAGTTAGCCATCAAAGCACTGAGGAAGGGGATTTATTTGAGAATAGGTCGAAGTAAGTCACCATATGCCCAATGCCTGTCTCGAGAACTGCAGCACAACAAAGAGCTTTGGTTCAGGCAGTGAAATAGAACACGCAGATGACATCTCCTTCTCCCTGGAGGAGTTAAAATTGGACCCGAAAGCTGCTTACATATAGATACCCGCGAGTATTTGCTGTAGTGCGCGTGTATAGCATTTTCCCTTGGTCTCGATTTTCGGCTGTACCATGAACAACAGGGTGTATCGGTAGCTGAAGTAGAAGAGGGACAGTCCCACAGCCGCAAACCCCAGAACAAGAGGCGATATGCAGCTGTAAGCCAGGGCGATGATGACGAAATTGGTGAACTTCGGATATACTTTACCCCATGCAATGCCCTTGAGGCTGGTATACTGATTGTACTTATCACGTGGGGTTTTGTAGATGAATATCTCGAAAAACAGGTACTCAAGCAAGTCCGACCAATTCATGATGTTCTTCACGGACGCTGCACGTTTTGTCAGTAAAGTCTCAACACTTTAAGAAACTACTCGTATGTCTGTGAAGCACTTCAAATCACTCAATCAGCCAATCACTCGAAGACATGGCCACTCAGCACTACACTGCATGAAAGGCCGATGTCTGGTGAGGATATGATGCTTCGAAAAAGTTCAAAGTGCCCCCAAGATGTGTTGAAGTCTGTCAGATTTGGGGGAGAGGGGGGAGGCTGCAGGGGAGTACGAACAGGCAAGACCCTGCAATATGAAGTAAGTCAGATAGAAGTTCGATGATTTCGGAAGATTGTCGGCGAGAAGCTGTGGGATATGGTGAGGCTCATTGATGATCTTAGGGATGAACGCCGTGGCCGATGAAGAAAGAGCTGTGACGAGGAAGACCTGAATAATCTGGAACGCGTAATACCAAGCTTGCACCTGCAATTCTGCAGTGACTGTGGTGGGCTGTCCTGAGGCTTTGGCGACATCTAGGTCAAGATGTGGCGTTAGCTAAGCGGCATACAAGATCTCGTGTAGCTCCAAAAGAAGGCAAAAGGTCCCTCTGTGTTTGACTTACGTCGCATTAAGTTCGGTAGGTATGACGCAAACTGGCTCGTGAGAAATGGAGGCAGAAAGCCGGTGAGAAGCCCCAAAAGCGGATCTGGAAGGCTGTTGATCCACGATAGCCAGGACACATTGTCGGCCAGGTAGTTCACATTCGAAATGGTGCCAATGATGGCCGTTGGAATAGACCAAAATATGATCAGTACAGCGATGAGGAGGTTCGCAATGGATTTCTTGGACAGCCGCTCAGCCTGGGGCATTGCGAGGTTGCGCCAGATAATTTCGTTCGGAACCACGCCGATGAGCCTTGATTGGACGGCGAGGCTGGAAGGCACCGGAAGACGAGATTTGGATTCTCCCCGGTAGGCTCGCTGCGCAGCCGATTGGGTCGCGTACTCGACGAATATTGCGCATCGATTACGTCCATGTGAACTCTCAGCCGAGTAGGATTCCCGTTTCTCGCCAACCTTGTGCACCGCTTCCTTTACCTCGTTGCGCAGGTGTTGGATGAGATCGGCTGCATTGCTGGTGAGGTAGTATTGTCGCTCACGGGGACGTGCACTCTCGATTGCTGCATCATTTGCAATTCCGTCGGCCTCTAGGCCTTCTCTCCGGCGGGTTTTGGCGATGTTTTTGCTGGCCTGCCTCAGAAACGAGACTTCAGCGAATTCCAGCCTCACTGTCCTGTCATTCCTCGACTCAACCTCGTCATCAAGCGACTTGGTCTTGTTGACAATCCACTGATTTCTCGCATCACTGCCAAAGTTCTGCTGCGGATCAGAGACTGTGGAAGCCTCCTTTGGCGGGTCGAGATAAAGAACCGTCCGTGAAGAGAGTCGCGATGCATTCGCGCGAGCTAAGTACCATGCTTGACGAAGTCCAACGAGCCACATACGTTCCCTGGCAATGATGACCATTACGAATCCGAAATACACCCAAGCCACTACGGCATGAGCATATAATCGATGCTTGTGGCGCACATTACCGAAGCCGAGTCTGTCAAGCTGGGATGCATCTCCACCGCCGGTAGCATTCACGGGGAAAAGTATGATCCAGGTGATAGCAGCTCCGACAAAGCAGATGAAGACGGACGTCTTCAAAAACCGGAGATACAGATATGCATCGAGGGAAGAGTGCTCGAGAACGAATTTGTCGTCAAGCTGCCTAATTGTTCGGACCCACTCGAAGCGCTTCAGGCTTGAAATAGGTGTGCGATCTCTGTTGGAGGTCAGTAGTGCAGGCAGTAACCGGGGAAGACCTAGAAGGGGGGAAGGCGAGGTACTTTTCCGGGATGACATCGATGTAGGTTCTTGGTGAGTATATTCTACGGAGCGGCCGTTTGATCAGGACAAACACGGTCAGGAGGAAGACTGCACTGATCAAGGACGGGACGAGGGCAGCCAAGATCGCGGGCAGAGACGCGGACTGTTCTGACTGTTGTGATGTCAGCAGTGTGACCTCAAAATTTTGGATGCAGCTTTGAAGCTTGTTTTCAACATATTATGCCCGTGGTATGGGCAAATCCTGAGGCGAGGGTCTACTCACATCACTACCAACTGTCTCATTGCTCGAGATGGCGAGTGAGGGGCCAGTGTGCCACCCGGCAGCGGGACGCAAGACATGTTGAGAGTCCATGTGTCTGTATCACCAGATGCAGCTGGACCCTGAGAGGCCGGATGACTGCAAATGGGATGGGGAGAGGTCGAATCGGATCGGATGGACGGGCTGAGGTCAGTCAGGCTCAAGGAGGTGGATAGCTGTTGATTGTTGGGGGTCAGCAGGGTAGGACTGCGGCTGGGCTTTCTTGCCTCTCAAAATGTCGTCTCAGGCGGTGACGTCGGAGGTGATTTGACCCACTCTTTGTGCCAGGCGCACCACCCAGAACGGTAAGCGACCCTAACCCTGTCGACGTCTTCCATCCTGATCTTGGTACTGAACTTCGGGAACAGCTGCAAGGGCCATTAACGGGCGACGGGCAGCTCGAGGGTGTGCATCAATGATACACATGAAGACTTTGGAATGCATGTCGCATATCCACAGGTTCTCGAGTCATTTCTCATTGTTGTATTTGCTTGATTCAAGGCTTGCAATATAATCTCTATGAGCGAGTACAATGTATGAGGCAAATCGGACGTCCTGTCGCATGCTCGTAAGCCTGTGCTTCACGACGATGGACATCTGAATTCAATGCGGGTCCCGCACGCCTTGACAATAATTCACAAATAAATTTACCCCGAGCGCCCATAGACTCCTTGCTTAAGGTATCTCATGGATGAATCCGCCGAGCGCCAAATGCTAATGACCTCCTGTGGCACATCAATACCAGGTTGGGGCGACGGACCAATGGCGCAACATCGTGCTGACAGCATTGTTCCATTCGAATTCAAAACACTGAGCCAGCTGGTCGGCTTCCTCTGGCGTAGGTTCACGTCCACCCCACATCTCCGGCCTCATGGATTCCATGGCAGCATACGTAGCCACAAGGTTGCTGTACCCCATCATCAGCACAAGTACCCAGGTACTCAACCGGGCAGGAAGTAGGGAGTGGCAGTAATTGGACACAATTGACAGCTGATAGTGAATCTGGCCGAGCACTTACTCATTCACAATTTTTTGAAGGCAAAGCCAGGCCATGTTCCAACTGCGATTGCTCTCCGGGTCGCTCCGCACTCTCATTTGGGCGTCCGTCACGATATCCCCGCAGAACGGGTAGCTTCTTGTCAATCCTCTTAGCTCAGTCAGAAACTGGTTGCTACTGACATAGTGGCTCCATGCCTCGGTCATGGGGCCTTGAAATGCCACAGCGTCGCTCTCATCACAGGTCGCCGCTATGCGCTCAACTCGCACTAGTTCTGTGAGGGTATTGACACTGTGGGACTGGAGAGACTCGATTATCCGCCGAACGGAACGCTGAGCGCAACACAATATCGTTAACAGTGGTATTCTCATATGAGACAGGGACTGAAAGAATCAATAAGCAATACCTGAGCACCCTTCTCCTTCTTATGACCGTGAGATGAGCGACCCGAGCGCGAGGAGGACATTCTTTCGGCTTCTTTGTCTACTCTTCGCTATCTTTATATTCCTTGAATGACAAGCCCAAATCTTGAGGACTAGATTAACCTTTCTTTCGATGATAAGTTAACGCTCGAGAGAGAGCTCAGTGAGTTGATTGTTTGGATATATGCCAGTGAAACTTTTTGCTTGGTCTGAAGCACGGCTTTATATCTGGCGCATTTTGTT